AAAACAACGCATCAGGGCTTTTTCAGTATCTTTTCAGAACAACGATAGCGTGGCCGGTTCGGTACTGTGGGCAGTGGTACTACTTAGGATTTACTTCTTTTCATGATATTTCCATACATCAAAAGAAAAACACCTGCGAGGTCTCGAGTATATATAGTGTATCAATCAACATAGGTGTGACAGTGCTGCAGTATTACAAAAAAAAACAAAAACAAAGCTTGTTGACTGAAATTTATTTAACAGTAATTAATCACAACTGACAGCTTTGTTCAGGCATTCGAGTCCACGTATAGTCTGACAAAATAAAAGCAGTATCAAGGCAGTCAACACAGCTCAATCAACTACGTTTGTAATCTTCCTCGAGAAAGTTTGACACAATGTCATCACCACGTGCATCGCGCCCATCGCACTCACTAGTGTTAGAGGCTCCGTTCTGACAGTCTATCAGTACACTCGACACGGGCGCTGTCTTGGCTTGCCCGAGGTCGGGCCATGTGTCAGACGCAGAAGTCGATCCCTTCACGTAGGGACCAGGCTGCTTCGAAGCACAATTGATCGCGATTGGCTGGTGTTCCAGGCTGCTTCGAACCACACCTCGCCGCGGTCGGCTGGTGACAATGCATCCAGGATCAGTCTGAACGTTGAGCAGCCCAGTGCACCTATCAATACGGCAATTTACCTCCCGCCATCACCTACGACTTACACTCTCACACATATCTCACTTTTAACCATGCACACAAACAACAAAAGACACGAACTTTCACTAGTACACTGCGCCTTTTCTGATAGGGCTGCCGCTGCCATTTTGACAGTCAGTCGACTTGATGTGGCTTGGCTACTTGACTGTCCAGAACATGACCTACTACACTCCTGACCTGTTCAGATAGCGGGGTTCCTATGGGAGCGCGTGTCCCCGCTCTCGTTCAATCGCTCGCCGTAGGTGGCGCTACCTATAACCTGTTCGTCTGCTACTTTACGGCTGTTTGGACGGCGCTAGAGTAAGAACGGCTGCATTCCGTGATGAACAGCCGGCATATATGTGACTATTTTTTCACTTAGATGACTGGTCAAGTAAGCTGTTCAGTGTGACGAAAAATTTATTGCACACTGGTGGACAAATGCGAGAATCCGTAGACTTACATAGTGTAGGACAGCATATGTGATGTTGCGTCCATTTAATTGCAAAGAATTTGTGAATGACTTTTGAAATATTTGTTTCAAAATTATTTTTCATTAGTGCATAATAATTACGCAATATGAGTGCTCTGTTGGCCGAAATATGACCACGAACACTCAAGCTGACGTCAGCGAACAGGTGCTGACTAGCGCCACGCCGCTCGTAGGTGACGGCCCTAGCGGCAGAAGGTATGAACTAGAACGTGGGCGCTGGAAGAGGTGCTCTCTGGGCAGGTCAGGAGTGTAGTAGGTCATGGTCCAGAATGGTGCCGCAAAGTCAATGGTTGCCAGCTGCTAGTTTGTTATTGCGTGCTACAGCAGCTGTGACATTAAGGAACACGCTGTTTCAAATGTAGATTTCGCAATACCAGGTTCGATACCTAAGCCAATTGATTACGCGTGTCTCATTAGCCGGGACGCATAATTTGAAATTTTTTGCCAAAAAATAAACAAACAAGGTGAAAATACACAATAACTTTATCCCTGTATAAAACAAACGTGCGGAGAAAGCTTTCACGTATGAAATGCATCTACTTGGTGCGCAAAGGTCTTGAAGAATTATATGTGTGTGCTCAGTGCAATGCTTTTGTCATCCCCAAAAGGTCCTTGACAGGACCTTTTTAGGACCAATTGTTGTCCCCAGAAACCACTCGAATAGACGTTTGAGCCGGCGCTAGTGCATTGCTTTTGTCATCTCCAAAACGTCCTTAAAACTACTTTTTCAAGATAAACTGTTGTCCTCAGAAAGCACTGGAAAAGATGTTTCCGGGTCAAACCAGCTTGCGTCGTCCTCAGTAAGTACCAAGGTCAATGAGAACTGTGCGATGAGGATTTTACCATATGAGGACGGCCTTAGGACATCGAGTGTTGTCTGGGCTGGAGACTGTTTGTGCACGTCATGCCGACGTTGATCGATGCGCTTGTTTTTGAGCAGCTTGCGAGCTCATGCCTGCTTCTAGAACCATATATGTGCGCTATATACGCTCTGTAGATGTTTCGCGCCTGCGCTTTGACTTGGTGTAATGATAAGCTTTGGCCCCTAAAAGCATCTGTCTTTTAGAACTGGGCATACTTGAATCATGTTTGGCATGTAGCTCTTTATATACACCTGTTGAAATTGTTACCGAACTCGTCATCAGCCCGACTACGCCCGCTGCTGGGCAATGGCCGCTTCCATGATCTGCCAATGAACCCGAGCTTGTGATTTCTGTTACCACGTGATACCCGCAAACTTTTCAATCGCATTGACCCACCTAACTCTGTCTTAAAAGCACTTTGACTTAGGCGAGTTGGTACATTATTAGATAGGCTTCAGCGCAACTTAGACGAAGACAAATGGAAACCCACAGAACACAGACGAGTGCTGTCTGTGTCTCTACATTTGTCTTCGTTTAAATTGCGCTGAAGCCTATCCAACTCTGTCTCCCCTTCTTGCATTTGCCTTCTCTGGGAATCCAGTTAGTTACCCTTAAAAACCAGCAGTTATCCTGTGCCGGCCCATGCATGTCTATTCTTGATTTGAACTATATCGAGGCGCTGCTGTCTAGCACAGCCCTGGTGGCTGCGACTGATCCACAGAGCTGAACGGATGGCTCGCGCCAGTGGGGCCCTGGAATAGGGGCACCACCCTGCCGGAGAGACTTCGCTCTTCTCCCTGTATATTCCGCGGGGGCCCTGGAGTTCTAGCCTGTCTGGTAATACCGAATGATCCACACATGAATTGTCCGGAGATACGGGGATTTTTTTTATTTAATAATGGAGCACATCACGCAACGCTGACTGTTCCTTTAAAAAAATTTGTTACTGAAAAATAAATATATTTTCCACCCTTCTTTTTTTTTTGAAAAAAAAAAAAAAGTGTCAGTGGAGGTGCGGGGTATCGATCCCCGTACCTCTCGCATGCTAAGCGAGCGCTCTACCATCTGAGCTACACCCCCGACGAAGGCGAGCCGATTTGTGTGCTCTGCAGTTTCAAGAAGTTGACGCCAAAAAAGCGTTGTACATTTTAGGGCGGTATAAAGGCAGTGCGCAGATTTCGCGTATTTACTGATGATCGTATTTCTTTCGTCATAGGGGCACCATCACCATCATTTGCAGAGGAAAATGAATGCGAATGTTCAGCAGATATTCGACATCACGAAAAACCATGCTGGTCCCTTTCATTAAAGAAAAGAAAAAAAAAGCCCCCCTCCCCCCTCCCTAGGCCTGTCACAAGCAATAAATGACACAGAACGTCGGATCAACACACAATACAATCGTCGTGCCATACCAACTAGCCCAAGCTGCCACACTTCTAAGTTACACAATACAGATCGCGTACTCGGGTACGTCAAGGGCACATGACGCTAAGGGCCGAAGCGGTATGCAAAGAGGGCCCTCCCCCCGATTTTTTTTTTCACTTTTGCTTACGCACACATACAAACGTTGACCCCCCCTCCCCCTCCTTACCTCCGGAGAAAAATTCTGGCCATGCCCCTGATCAGTCAGTACCTTAGATGTTATGAGAGAAAGCCCTCATTTACGCCTTCACAAGGGTTCGGAAACTGAGGCCAAAGTTTTCTCAGGGGGTTTCACGCTATTAAACATTGGCGTACAGACATTCATCGTCAAAAAAAAAGGAAAACAAAAAAACTCCGTCGAGCCGGATTCGAACCAGCGACCTATGGATATCAGCATTGAGCATTCCTCTACAGTCCACCGCTCTACCAACTGAGCTATCGACGGGATAAGGTGCACCGGCGTTTTGAGAAGATGTAATCAGACAAAAATTATATTAAACGTTTTCACACGTCGTGGTCGTTTTGGTGCGATCACTAGCGGTCCTATCGCCGATGTTCTGTGAGAAGCTTGTAAATCTCAAGAAATTAATGCATTCAGCAGTGGTGCAGCCCCCAATCTCTGAAAATGATTGCCGCAGAAAAGAATCCAACCTTCCGCAGTAGCAATGCTCCACCACCGTACATGGCTCCACTGTTCGATTGTACACCGGCAGCTGAATTAACACGGTGGCGAATCTCGCTTTGTCGCCCTGTTCGACTTAACTTCAGCCATCATGCCGTACTTGAATACTTACCGATTTTTTCGTATGTAAACCACCTCGTGGCACAGATCTCGGGGTAAGGCGGGCACCTTCGATTACGACCAGGGCCGATCCGGATCGGCATTCTTGATCATGATCAACAACGGTCAACGCTACGCATTTCAAACTTGTCGCGATCAAGTTTGGCGCAGACGTCAGCCAAATCGCGATGCTTAGACCGCGGTCGTCTTGACTGATACCGATCGAGTCTAATTGCGATTAACTGTGATCGTGCAGCGGCTCACGATCCGGGTCGGCCCTGGTCGCGATCGAAGCTTCAGAACCTGCCGGCCCGTCACCCCCTGAAGAAGAAACCGCACGGGTCTCGATACACGGGCCCGTTTTCAATGTTAAAAACTGAAGACTAAACGTGGCTGGAGAGTGTGTTTATTCGTATCCCTATTTTCCCATCAGACTAGTATTTACACTTCACACTTGTGCACATGGCGATCTTCATCATTCCTGGTATAATGCATGTGTTTATTCGTATCCCTATTTTCCCATCAGACTAGTATTTACACTTCATACTTGTGCACATGGCGATCTTCATCATTCCTGGTATAATGCATAGCATGACTCAGACAAAAAAAAGTAACAACCAGGAAGAAAATATGGTATGCATGACAGCCACTAGCAACACCTTGAAACAGTCACCACATCTGAAAATGTAACGCTGTGGCCCCTTAAACCATGAAAATTCATTTCTCGGGTGACTGCGACTAGGTTGTCATCTTACAGGCAGGGCTAAAGGTAGGTATAAATATTTATCAAAACATTTCTCACTACATTGGCAAGAAAGTATGTACACACTGCTCACACAGCAGTGCAATCACTGGTGAAGTCGAGACACAATTTCGTCATATTCCCTCTGCTTATCGCTCTCTTCGATCTTCAGAGAGTTGACAATGTTCTGGAACCGCTGCTTGAGAGCCTGGTTCTCTATGGATGCTATCTCCAGCTCCTGTGCCTGCCTTCGCTCTTGCAGCTGAGCGATCTCTCGTTCCAGCTCAGACAACCGGTTCAGGAGCGCAGAGTTATCCTGCTCCGGCTCATCGGCATCGTCGTCTCCTTGCTTCTTGGTGGCAAAATCGATCACTTCCTTGTCCTCTCCGTAGTCTGGGTCGTCCACGTACTCCTCAACCAGAGAACTGGTTGCAGCTGCCGTCGCTGCCGCGCTTGCACTGGACGCCATCTTGTCAGTGGCAGCCAGCATGCCTCGTCGGAAGTCCGTCACCATGTCTGGCGAAGAGCCGCCATCCTGTTTGCCTGAAGACAATGGGTGCCTCTGCTTCGGGGCCCGTGGCAAGAGGTCTTCCTCGCCGCCTGAGTCAACGATGTTGACGTCGTCCTCGTCGGAGCTGCTCAAAGCTTCCCCAAAGAGGTCATGCTCGCCAACGTCCATGCTCTGCGAGTTGCTGTTGAGCAGCGCGCTTACAGAGGGTGAGCCGAAGCCACCGCTCACGTGGGGCTCGCCGGAGCCACCGTTGGCCACTTCGGTTCCGTCACCTTTGCCGTCTCCGCCCTTGTCGTCGTCGGCATTGACCACCTCATAGCGGATTGAAACAGCCTCATTGTCAGTGCGGAACAGTCGCTTCACCTGCAAATTAAGCAGAACAATGTCTTATCGCAAATGTGTCATCACACGAGTTACGTACCACTTATGTACATACTAAATAGATATAAGTACTTTCAAGACAGCTTTTAATTTTATGACTATTGCTTTATCAACTGACATTGAAAGTGCCTTGCACACAGGATGTCAAAATTTACAGTACTTATGAAACACAAAAAGTTATGGCTATATAATGCACACACTTTCACTTCCAGCACCTACAGTTCCTGTCATGTAGGCATATACTTGACCTGATTGTCAACATTACAACCAACATTACCTTTAACAGTCAGATTTGCAGTGGCTTGACGGGGTTATAACAAGCAATGGATCATAACAGCTGTTATACTAAAAAAATACAACGTAGCATTCAATTCTGTGAGTACAGTATCATCCAACAAGTTCTTACTCTACACAACAAGGTAAATTAACTCGCATCAACGCGGCTCACCTCTTAGCTGTCAAGCAAGTTTCAATTATCGATTCGGGCGCACGCTAAAGAACCCCAGGTAGTCGAAATTTCTGCAGCCCTCCGCTATGGCATCTCCCATAATATTATCGTGGTTTTGGAATGTTAAACCCCACATATTAATCAGCATACTTGGCTAATTTGTTCGTCACTGTTAAAATACGTTAGCGCCAGTCCCTCGCAGGTAACCATCACAATGGTTTCTAGTAGGCTTTGTCGGTTCTGTTAATCTTAAATTTTTTGACGTTTTTTTCTGACATACAACAATCTGCAAAGGTCTTGCGTTTAATGAGATTTTGCAGTTTCATAACAGTATTTGCTGCAGTTTTACATCCTATACCTGTTATATGATTATGAGAGATGCCGTAGTGTAAGGTTCCAAGGATTTCAACCACCGAGGGTTTTTTATTGCGCACCCAAATCTAAGCACATGGGATTCTAGCATTCTGCCCCCTTTGAAATGCAACCTACACAGCCAGAATTCGATGCCACAACCTTCGTGTCAGCAGACGAGCACTTTAGGGGGTCGGCTTGTCATTCATCCGCAGTCTCACCTCACATCCTCGCACAGTGGTCAATACAGCACTAGGACAAAGTTAACAATGCTCAAAACCTGAGAAAAGTAAACTAACATGGTGTAAGTTAAAATAAAGTAAAGGAATAACTAAGAATTAATCGCAATAATTTACTTCAAATAGAGAAAACGCATCCCGCTAATAAGAACATCCGGCGTACAGCTGTGCGATAGAGGGCGCCACCACTTCAGCAAGCGCCCGATTGCCAAGGGAATCGCCGGGTCGCCCGTGCTACGTACTCGCTAAGGTTTCACGGCAGTGAAGCTACATTAAACGCAGGATTTAGAACTACACCAGCGCCTATGCAAGAACTACATTAGCGCAGGCTGTATAACTACACCCGGGCGTGCACAAGAACGACATCAGAGTGTTTTTTTTTTTTTTCTGCACCGCAGCGGTGAATCGGAAGGCAGCACTCACTTCCTTCTCAATCTCCGGGAAGTCGACGTACTTCTTCTTCAGCACCTTGCGGAACCGACGCTTGCGCACATTCTTCAGGGACGGCGTGATGCCGTGCGGGTACTGGTACTTCTTGTCCTTGGCGTCCTTGCGTTCTTTGCGGCGCAACGCTTCCTCGTCCTCGGCAGCGGCCGCCTTCTTGGCCTCTTCTTCCTCGGTGCCGTCCTCTTCTTTGCAGATCATCAGCTGCGCCACGTCGGCCGTCTTGTAGAAGGTCTTGCGGTCCAACGTCTTGTGAGACTCGATGATCGACGGCAGGTCGACGACGCGAGCGGAGAGGGTCCAGCGGTCGAAGCGGACCGTGCCGTGTCGATTGTCCGGTTCCAGCTGGATGGTCAACCTGTCTTTGAGGTTCATGACGCCCGACCGCACGGCTGCCCGCAGCGCAGCGGCGGCCTGTCCCGGAAGTCGCAAGATGATCTGACTTTCAAGTTCAGCCGGGGCTTCTTCCTTGGTCTTCTTGATTTCCGGAGGGGCATTCATGGTGCTAACGGTGCTTTCTCGTTCGGACAACAAGGGTATCGATCAATAAACACGACTGCGATGGTTGATGGTACCAAGCCGGTACGAAGCAAACCTTTCGGAACAGGGCTTGGGCACCGGCCTTGTGATACGGCAGTTTCACTTGGAACTCGCGTGAACCGTGTGCGTCGCCTTGTAAGCACTCTTACTGGGAACGTTTCCGCGATTACTGGCCGTCACTACTTCAAAAACGTCTATTTCGAGAAAATATCCCGACTCATTCGTAAACGATCACGCACGTGGACTCTAGACGAGTCGCGAACATTGCAAACAAACACTAGCGGTGTATATTAGAAAACTCTATGCAATAGCTAGAATGATATCTACATCGATTGGGCTGCCACTGTTGTCACGAGTTTCACGTGCTTGGCTCATTGTTCAATTTTGTACCCAAGATCAAGCCACACAACATCAAGCCAAGTTTAGCCAGATTGGCTCTGCAGGTTTTCTCGGTTTCGGTGGCGAACGAGAGTGATGTTCAGAAACCCGAGTCGAAAACTGCCGTGAATAACGCTATGTCGTGTCAGCTGGTGAAGATAGCAGCAATTAACAACGTCGCCAAAGTCAAGTCCTATCTGTTTCCAGCCAGTCAAGACCAACAGGGTGAGGAATTCGGTTTCAAAACACTGTCCTACACCCGATGGCGCATGTTTTGGCGTTAGCTGCTATCGCTGTCCATGTTATTATCGGGTATTCAACTTGCATCGCTCAAATCTCTCGCGTTGCGTCTCTCCTAAGAGTCATAGCCACATCCAGAGAACTGCTTCTAGTTAAGTGTCCTGTTGTTAGGTGTCAGCAACCGTGTTCAAACCACTGTCGACCACAACTTGCTTGTTCAGAATAAGCATCTGCGTTTAGGAAGTTCCAGCTATTTCTTGTCTTGAGCCGATGCAATTGCTTCAGTTGTGGACTAAAGTGCATGTCTATACCGCCGTGGTGCGCATATAAATTTGATGTAAGTGACAATGCATAAATTATGGCTCTTCATCATCACGAATTTTTCGCATGTAGTTGAGTGAACTCGTCGTTAGTTACGCAGTTCGTGATCCGCGACCGCATTTAGGGTGGTCTACCTGCATTCGCTGATGTCAAGGCTTTCTCAGAAAATGTTGTTTTCGGGCGTCGCTTAACACGATCATGATACTAACCGTCGTTGACTGCTTCATAAAACTGTTATGATCGGCGCGATTGAAATTTCTTATTGAACTTTGATGTTTCGATAAATTTTAGACCACGGGCATAACACCTGCCACCTTTCTTTCTTTTTCTCCGCCATGTTCAAAGGGACGCGTTTTTTTTTTTTTCTTCGTGCTTGACAGGTTGATCAAATATTTTGCGTTGCATAAACCCACCGTTTTTGCTTACAGCCTTCTCTTGACAGCTGCCATGCTTCGTTAATCTAACAGCGTAGCTAAACGAGGGCTCGCTTTAGTTTCTGGAACACCCATAGATGAACCTTATTCATACCATGGGGGCTGGAACTTCTATAAAGCGCATCGATGCAGTGTGAATTATTATAGCTTAGAAGTAATGGCAGTGGTGGATCCAGAGAGGGGGGGGGGGGTAGGGGCGATCGCACTTCCCTTAATGACTATGAGCACCCCTTCCCCCTCTCTTTTCGGTGCTTTCCCTCCATCGGCTATCACCCATTAGGACAAGAGTGGGATCCCTTTGAGCACACATTAACTGTACTTGTGCTATAATAGAGCTTTTGTGCTAGTAAAAACAAAAAAAATAATGAACATGCCCTCTTCTCTGGTGTTACTTTAAGTGATTGCCCCCCCCCCCCCCAAATGAGTTGCTAGATCCGCTCCCGAGTAATGATTGGTGACCACGGTAATGAATACATAAGACAATGGCGAATGTGCTGAAACATCGCTGCAGGGAATGTCACTGTAGTTATATTTCTAGCTGGATTATTGAACCTTTCGAGCTGGGAAGATTTCTCGTGCAATAATTCAGCTCAAAGTAGGTGAATGTCCAACTGGAATACGGCTGAATTCCAGCAGGGAACTGACAAAGCTACTAAACGATATTCATCCACCTGCAGCTAAATTATCGAACCGTAAAGTGTTCCCAGCAGGAAAGATTGCTGTTTCAGTGATCCATCTGTAGATAGAGCCTTTTAAAAGTCTGAGGTGTACTTGTCTTCATCAAAGCACTGTGTTGATCTATCTGTTAATTTTCATTATGGTTGTGTCAAACAAAAAAAACTACCGTTCAAAATTTCCTTCAATTCATTCAAAGTGGTGTCGTTATATTTGAAGGAACTCCATTTTTTTTTTGTGCAATATTGCTGTAAAAGCTTGCTGGCGATACGTGCCGGACCATTCAAATAAATCTTCCAGAAGTTCAAGCATGTGTCAATTGAACGCATCTACAACCGTCTCATTCTTCACACTATCTATTCACTAAACAGATGACGCAGCGTCAAGGCCGGTCGTCGACGCTTGGGATTGGCCTTTGGAAAATGAACAGCCGACTGAAGCCAAACCAGCCAAGGAAGAAGACAAGTGGCTTCAAGACTGTGTTGTCGCGCTGTCGTCGACAGCCGATGTTTTGGCTCTGGCGAGGGAAAATGTCGTCGTGTTCCTTACAGGTGGGTTTTCATAGAGCTCTGAATTCACACTGATGCCAGGCTGTTTGAAGTCTGATTCAAAACATGATTTCAGCTTGTCTTGTCTCATGCTTACACATTAACACATACAGCAGCCCACTTTGTACTGATTTTTTGACTGCTTGCTCTATACAAACACCCTGGGATTCGCTTGCAAGGAACCACAATATTGCGCTGCGTTAGTGATAGCATACGCACAGCCAGGTTCTTCCCTGTTCTAGGCGGCAAAGGGTATCACTGGTGAGATGCTGGGCACTCGTACCCTTTTCTCGCTTCTTTTTGAACACGTCAGCACTTCGGAACTTTTGATGACTGCCTACCATCTGAGACAGTCTTAAAGAGGGAGACACACAGAAAAAACATTATAGGCAACTTCAAGCAAGAAAGAGTTTTTACAAATTCATCCGTTCTGCCACAGTTTGTAAGTGACGCCCTTCGGACGACTGAGTCAAGCTTTGTAGATCTTAGAGCAGCCAATTGAGTGGATTTGACTGTGCTGTGCAGTTTATCCAGATCTTTGCTAATTACATCAACCAAAAAACAAACTCTTCTTTTCACCACTGCCTACACACAAACTGGCCTTTGCTACGGTAAAATGACCAGGTATTAGCTTTAGATACACGATAACAAATTCCACTAAGTACTGATTCACTTATTACACAATACTGGTCTAACGGCACACATCTGATACATATATACATGCAAAAATTTATGCTATAAATGCGTGTCTATGTTGCAATTAGAAAAAACATCTCTGGCCGTCCCATTACTTTTGACGAGTTCATCATAACAAGGAACAGCTTGTCCTTCTGACGTTTCACATTTAATATACTCCGGTTTGCAGCAGTGCTCTGATTAAGTGGGCCTTCCCGTGGTTAGGGACTAGGCTTCGTTTACTATTTGAGCTAGTTCCTACACTCGAACCTCGTTATAATAAAGTTCCCTCTCACACGAAAATAAGTTTGTTATATCAAAATTTCGTTATAAAGGTTTATTCCTAACGCTCCATCTTTTGCAAGACCATTTTTTTTTTACTTCGTTGTAACCGGTATTTTGTTACATCCAAGTTCATTATATCGAGGTTTGAGTGCATTATGGGCCAAGCACCTCTGGGTCTAGGCTTGTCTGCGCCTCTTGTCGTCACAATGCGTCATGCAGTCATGGTCCATCATAAAAACAGGTATGCGCCAGGATGGGTAAATCCCATCACTCGTTCCCGTTCCATGAAACGCAAGACATCAACAGCTAGCCCAACAAATAGCTGACAACATTAGTGGAGTAGCAACACAATTTCCTATAGACCCTTTCACTGTTTATAAACACGAGTCCTTGATGACATCTGATTTCGTCCACCAATGTGCCTTAATAGCATCGGTGGGCAAGGAGAGCTGTAGAAAATAGCCGGCTGATTTTCTACACTTTCATTTTTTTATTTGGCAAAATATATTCAAATAAATATTTTTGTGAGCTACATAAAAGTTCTAACAAGTTTTCTTGAACTATTCGCACATTCCTTTTATCTGAAAAACTAAAGATGGAATTTTCTTACCCTGAAAATAAACTTAAAAACATGCTTTCAGTTCCGACGTTAGGAGCTGGTACATGAGGTGACCGGAACTTTTCTGGGGTACAACGCTTGCTGCTAGCTACTATCGCAATTTTGAAACCATCTGTATATATCTTGTAGGAAACTGAAACTGGGCATGCAGGAAGAAGAAAACTTTGGTTAAGCTGCTTTTGGACGCAGTTTTCCGGCGGCATTATTGGGGCAACAACACCTTTCCCTACTTGTCCTGTTTCAGGCTTGGTGCCACTAGTTCCGCACAAAAGGAATCTCTCTCAGTACACTGCACGCATCGACCCTGCTCAGTTTTTCCATTTCTATTAGTTCTTGACCATGACTTTCAATGAGTGTTTCTCATTTTGCTTTCTTTCACAGCCAAGCATGGCTTATCCGAAAAGAGCGACTGTAAGTACGAGGTGTCATTCCACAGCGAACTGCGCTCGTCGAACAGGTACGGTACTTCTCACCTGTCCCACGCTCGTGTACTGATAAGTTTATGGGTGGTTAAATTTATTTTTTGTGGTATTTTAAGAGAGGGAACAAAGTATGCAAGTAAACAAAAACGAGCAAACAAGTGTATATGTTTTCAAAGATAATCTTGCTATAAACGTTCCTTGAAATTTTTTGTCCCCGATTTCAGTGATGCGGTGACGTCCATGCTGTGCTTGCCAATGAGCTCCCAGAAGAGGTGAGCACTTGAAAAGGGGAAACCTCGTGTTACTACGCAATCGCGAGTTTCATGTCATAAACACTGATTTAACTACCATAAAAAGGTTGATGGGGGACTAAACCAGTGAATTAAAATTTTTAAAAAGTCAGTGTTGCTGTTTTAGCTGTGCAAAGCGATCATTACGTAACACTTGGCCATTACTGACAGCACTAGTATGCAGGAAAGCATGGTAGTTGAATTCAGTAAGAACTTATCGGTGACCATGCTGTCATAGCTTGTAACGTAAAGTCAGTGCCCCGTTGTGGTACCTTGGCAAGCAATGTGTCGTGCTCGTCAGCTCGGACTTGCGGGCTCAATGATCTTCCTTAGTGGCGGCATTTTGTTGTGGGTGAAATGCGACATTTGTGTGCTTAGAAGCATGGTAATGAACCCCTGCAGAGTAAAATGAATCCTGTGTTCCAAATTGTAGTATGCTTTATAATCATATCTTGGTTCTGGATTCTGAAGCTTCCGATAATAATAATAATAATAATAATAATAATAATAATAATAATAATAATAATAATAATAATAATAATAATAATAATAATAATAATGATAATGATGATATTATTATTATTATTATTATTATTATTATTATTATTATTATTATTATTATTATTATTATTATTATTATTATGAGAACGTGGCTGCAAGGTGCCAGTGAAGTCATTGTTTTAAAAATGCTGATTATTGGTCATAGAGCTTCATTGACCATTTGCATCCACATGTGTCCACAAATCGAAATCATGCAGACATAAGACAAAGTGGATAAGGGTAAAAATTAGCGAGAAAGCGCTCGCTGGCTCTTACTTGTTCATGTTTTCATTAGTAGTACTAGTTGATCTGCACTGTAGAAATAATAGTGCTTCTGCGCTGTTTCAAGTGCTCTGGCTTGCATCGGCTTGTTCACGACTTTGCATGCGTGGCGTTCTTTTCCCTAACATGAGGAGCTACCAGGGAGGACCTGATTGGACCTGTATTGTGGTCGGCTTCAAATCTGGCTACGTTCACATGTACACAGAGGTAAATGCGATTCTATAGTTAGAACACAGGCTTAGCACCTTGGTGTCGTGGCTTATGTTGATTGAGACAAATTGGTACATGTTTATTGTTTAGATTCTGAAACAGCACGTAAAAGTTAAGCTGGAACATGGTCATGTATGTTGTTACAAGGCGTAACGCACGCTGCCATATTTTGAATTCGACTCTACAGATAAGAAACAGCAAGGCAGAGAAAACGCGTCATCATCGCCAATGGTAGCAGCCATAGAATCCAAACCCATGTCTTTATCTGACTGATGACTCTGAAACAATACCTGTTTGTTGCATTCAGTGTCAGTGTTATCTCTGAAAATTTGTTATAAATGATTATTTGTAGCACTGTATTTATGGCGAAGCTAGTGGTTGCTTACTTCGTTACAACCAATAATTTGTTATATTTGAATTCGTTCTATCGAGGTTTGAGAGCAGTACAGAATCTGATTGACATCGTGGCTACATAAATGAAACGCATGTCCGTGTTCCCTGTCGCACCCGAACAATGGTAGTGAACAATGACACTCAAATATGCCTACAGTAAACGTCATAAACAATGACGTCGCTACATCTAAAAATTTGTTCTAAACAAAAATTTATGACACTGTAATAACGGTAACACAATTCCTTGTCTAGCCCGTTATAGCCAGCAATACTTTATAAACGATGATTTGCTTTATTCGAGTTAGATATATAAAGGTTTCACTACACACATATCACGCAAGTGGGTCTGACATCTGCAAGCATTGAAAGACTGTCAGGTGTTGATGGTCTATCGACAGCTTGTCTATCGACGTCAACTAGTGCAGTTTTCTGTACTGCGACGTAACGTTACGCTGCCTCCTGCAATTGCGGGGCTGACGTCAAGTCATCTTTCCAGGATGGTCGTCTGCTGCTGAACCAGATGCTTCATGAGGAACCTGTGCTGTCGTTAAAGTGCCAGACTTATGTGCCGCGTCGTTTCAGTGGTTTCGGGGAGCAGGTGAGTTGGCAGAGGTCTAGGCCGAGCCTGCTTTGTCATCAGTTTGTAACAGCAGTGCACTTTCAGTGGGCTCCTGTTGCGTGTCCATTTCTTGCACGAGCATTATGAGGTGTCATACACCTGCCAGTACTATTGGTAACAAATGTTCCAACTCGGATGAATTTGATGAATGCTCGATACAACAAATAGCATGTTAGTAGAACAATGGTTTCTGGCCACTGACAGTTGAAGTTTGAACAGATTTTTTAAAAAAATACACCATGTTCCCCTTAAGAGAACCATGAGTAGCATGCAAAGCATCGCATGGGTCGACTTAAAGCTCCGTTCTTTACGGCCACCTGGCCCGATGTTACCGCGTCTTTCAAAGTGCAGCACACCATGAATTCACTGTAGGTTCTGTTGCTGTTACTCGTCCCGAACCCTTGTCAGAGCACGCTATGCGGGTTTATCGCCACGCGACGTGCATTCATCGCACGTCTGTGGAATCTCATTCCCCGGCAACATCACATGATTGCTGAGGCAGTGTTCATACCCCTGTGCAATGCCTTCAGCACATTAATTGTTCACTTTAGCCAGCATCACCTCAGCATTTGTCGAAACAGTGCTTTGACACTGGGCAAACGAAGCCTATGTAATGAATTGAAGGAACTCTTTTGCCACCGGCTAAGGCACTTGGCTTCTGATCCTCACGTCGCGGAATCAAATCCCGGCTGTGGCGGCAGCATTTTCGATGGAGACAAAAATGCTGTAGGCCTGTAGGCTCAAATTTGAGTGCACGTTAAAAAACCCCAGGTGTTTGAAATTTCCAGAGCCCTCCACTAAGACATCTCTCATAATCATATGGCGGTTTTGGGATGTTGAATCCCACATATTAGTATTTGTTATTGAACTCTTTTGCCTCCTAGTGTAAGCACCATAGCTCGCTGGCTTGACCTGCTGTACATTACAGATTTCCGTTGTCGCGACTCGAAATTACGTAAATTTTTAAAATACTTGGTTAATTTCACTGAAACTTCGTGATCTTATACATATTTATGTGCGAATTTCAGATATATAATAATTTTTCAAATCCAATGTGTGGTTTTTTTTTTAAAGTACCAAACATTTCATGTCCCTTTATGGTAGCTAGATTTTTGCTAAATTGAGATAGCTGCAAAGTTAACTGGTGTATCTTTTAATGTAACTTTCACTACACAAATAATAATGATATTTGACAATTGCATTGTAATGTTATTAAAAGTTATTGTTGTTACTATAGCTAATTACCACATTATTGATGTTTGTTGTTTTTATTGTATTAGTTCTTATGTTGTTACTGTGATTACTTTATTACTTTATGTTCATTACTGTCGCTATCTTATTATTATAATTGGTGATTATAAGCTTACGATAATAATGATTATGTCCTTGTTGATTCAGAATTTCCCAAATTGACTTGTTTTCAAATCTGTTGCTTTTGCTGCCCCAGTGCGGTAGGGCCTAGTCAGGAGGTTTGGATCCTCCTTTTGCCTTACCCTGCGGGCAAACCATGTATACTTGTTACATTGATCCCCTTGTTACATGGATCTACTGATTAAAATTACGAATGACGAATGTATTCTTGACTAATCTCAGTAATCTAGACTGAGGATTGTACGCAATAAAACAGGAATTGACATTACAGACCCATTCAAATAAGAGTTATGGTAGTTGAACGCTTTGAATTGAGCTGATGCACAGCAGTGATGTTGCTCACATATGTTCAACGTACCACACTTCTTCTTGTCTGATTTTTCGTCTTTTGTATTTCTGCCAACAGCAAGACGAAGTAAGGGTCACGTACCCTCACGCCGTCGTTTGCCTGGAGGGCTTCGGCTTGTTCCAGACGCTTCGGGCATGTCGGAATCAGCTGGCCCGAGGCAAGTGATATCTTGTGTGATTCGTGGCTCCCACCTTGCAGAGCTGCGTAAAATGCATAGCTACAGGCTGCAGCAGGCACTCTACAAAGGTGCACATGCTGTAGCATTTTTTTTTTTTTTGGCACCAGTAGTCCCTATGGCTTGAGTTAAATAAAAAGAAAGAAAAAGTTCAGTTTCCTGTATGAAGGTCAGGAGTGGTCGATGCAGAGGACGGTGCGTCCAGGGCGTTAGGTACACGCTACAGGGTACATTTGCTGCAGCTACAGTGTGCTATATGCTACATGGTAGACATGATACAGTGCAGTTGCTGCAGAGCGCGGAAGCCACAGAGCGTATATGCTGTAGCGCAGACGGTCCACAGCGTGCATGCTGTAGCGCACGCATCAAGGAATCACTGCAGAGGCTACTAACCTTGCATCACGAAAAGCCTTTGTGGTTTGGTGGTTGTGGGATTAGTAAGCATTGATTTCAAAACCGTCAATTTAAAATGGTTGCTTCTGTTTACTTTCATTTCCCTGCACGTCATGATCAGCTCACTTAAACACTGTAAACACCCTATGGTTTTGTTGGTTTTGTTATTGGTTTATTTCATAGAATTGTGCTGGGTCAAAACGGGGCCTCTCAAAATATTTGTTTTTATTTGTTTGTATCTCGAAAAAAATCTGTTTATATCTCTGCCATTATCTTAACAACTTAACATGTATCTATTCATATGTACTTGTGTCTGTGTCTCACTGCATATGAATTCGCATAAGTGTTCGTACACTGAAGGCTCTGCTGTAGCTTGTGGGCTTCTTCTTCTGTCGTCTGATTCTCTGTGGCTGTCCTTCTTCTAAGCATAAAAGCCACCTAAAAACTCGTCTTCTGGTCAGACAACACAATCAATGCCCAGCCCATGCATGTGGCACCAAAATTGCCACTGTATTCACAGGCTTGATTGTGCACCAATCGAATATGTGCAAATTTGACTGAGTTCTCACGTACGCTTTGAGACTCCTGTGCAATCACACCGCTTCACCTGCTGATACACTACCCCCTCGTATTCGGCGTAACAGGTGGCACCGGCAATCAGGCTCCCGCAGTTACGCCCCCGCCGTTGAGCTACAAAAAGTGGGGACCCCAGGACATGCGTCACGTGCGAGACTGCGAAGCTGTTGGTGAGTCACGCTACTATACTGATATTCGTAAGCATTAGCATTCTCTAATATTCGTTAATGCAGTCTATAGCTGGTGTAATCAGTTGCGAGTAAATGCAAGTATACTCAGTGCCCGGTGTTCTTGCAGGTACGGTGGCCCCGCGCCTCTTTGATCAGATGGTCACAGAGTCAATCCGCAAGGCTCATGGTGGCACGGTGCGATTCTCGGCTGCCGCATCGAGCCTCATGTGCGTGACGGGATCGGATCCATTTGTCGGTTTCTACTACGCCAAGGAGGTCACCAGTTTGTTTGTTCTTATCCTTTGCTTTGCTTAGTTAATGACATTTTATTGGCACAGCATTTGTAGCGGTTACCAGCAATATCTACACAAAGTGTGACCAACTGGTTGCAAACGGAGATTTGCAGGTACCAGCTGTCCTGACGTGAGAATTTGCGTCTGTCATCTTTTTTGCGTCAAACTAAGGTCTTAAGTCTTTGAGCTCCTTGTAAATGTGCTGCTGTGAACATGCACTAAAACCGGAATATAGGCTGGACTGAATATAGGTCGACCCTCTAAACAACAAATCTCCGAAAAAGAAATTTTTAAAAATCGTAAGTATCGTAGCCTACCCTTACCTTGGTACATATGGGACACAACCAGCTGCACTGGGGTGACATTTCTTTTTATTTGGACACTAATCTTGTGCAGTTAAACGTCTGAAGGCCACGAAGTGTTGTCACTCGGACTCGTCCGAACTTGAGTCTGACGACTGTTTTTCACTAGTAACGTCCCAGAGTGCATCGTCTTTCGTTCCATCTAATGATGCAGCATTTGCGGAAAGACGGAAGTACGCCGCCTCAGTGCAAAGCCCTTCCGCTTCACAAATCGGTGCACCGAGGATAGCAATTTTTTGAATTGCACCCTTGTGAGCCCAAAGTTTCGCGCTATGTCGAAAGCTTTCACGCGGATGCACTCTGCTGTTACGGGTAGGGACCTTGCACGCGCCTCCCGAACAAATTCGGTGTGTAACGTTTCCAGTTTGGGGTGCACTGCAGTCCGTTCATGAAACGATGTTTTTTTTGGGTTGCTGTGAGATGTGGTGCACTGTTTTTTGCTTCTCCAGTTTTTGAACCTTTTCTCCAATGCACTCGTTGTGGCACCAAGTTGCTGTGCCTTTCGGCATACTCGATATTTTTTTCTTAAGGCCTCTCGGAAACTGCCGTCGACTACGACTCATTTCTAAGGGAAATAGAAAAAGAAAAACAGCATACTGACAGCAGATAACTCAGGTAAAATGGCGTTGCCAGAAGAGCGTAGGCCTTGCCTAGCCTTGGTCAGTGGCACCGCTGCTGATGCTCACGATGGGTGGCAATGGAGGCTATCGACTTGAGTGGCCCATTGTTGTGAGACTTCTACACTTTTTTCTGCCAATGAACGGTTTATAAGACGGGGGTTAACTTTTCATTGTGTTTTTTTAATACGACTTACAATTCAGTTACGGTAGTTACATATATTTACATTGTGTTTTTGATAATAATGTTTTATTTCTACCAATACACAGTTGATACACAGTTTAAAAGGTAGTTCCACTTCCAACTGTAGTGTGATGTCACATGCCCGCTCAGTATATATTGTGATGTTCCCACGATCACACCGCACTATGGCTTCATCGGCGACACAAAAGTGGCCATTTCGAATGTTTCGACACCTCACACTATCACGACTAGCCAAACTGGTGCATGAACTCACCAGAATTGACACTCTAGCCCCATGTCATGGTAGTGCTAATGTCAGTAGGTGGGCTGTGTCGAAAATCTACTCTGTCGAAATAACTTCTTATCAGCACTTACCGAGCATCACACATGCACATACGCTCAAACCTTGATATAACGAACTCGGATAGCACGAGAAATTGGCTATAAAGAAAAAAAAAGAAAAATAGTCTCGCAATAGGTTAGTGTAAAAATATGTTTATAATGAATGTTTGGATATAACAAACTTAATTTTGTGTAATATGCAATTTTGTTATGATGACGTTTGAGTATAGCTGTATCTGTATGCAGGATATTTGTGTGCCAGAGCGAGACTCACCTTGGAAAATTGGAGTCAGCACTTCCTTAACAGCTTATGGTGGCCGGTATAGAGGACACATAAAGAAATAACACTTCGATTTTTTTTTCATGCCTTGCAGGGCTTTGTGCAGCCCCACCTCGCGGATGTTGCTGTCGCGGTGGCATCGCGTGTCAAGACCTTTCTCACCGAGTAAGCCCCGTTTGTGGCAGCTTCATTCCTTCACTCTTCATGCGCGTTCTCAAGTTAAGTGGTAGTTTGCTATTGTTGTAATTTATGTTCTATGCTCCACTTCAGCTCACTCCTGGGAAAGCTCACAAAGACGCAGCAGGAGGAAGTCAAAGCCCCACCCGTCGAGCCGGCCACTGCGGTACCGATGCGGTGAGTTATGACAGGGCCCGCTTTTGATTAAAAAAAAAAAAAACTCTTTGCTGCAGATTTGTTTAAAAGTTATTGTAACATTTTTGTTGTTGTTATTATTGTTGTAAGTTAGCGACCACTTCTGTTCGAAAATGGACTCCCGCCAGAACCTTTGTAAGGGTTTCTGGGTTCTTGCCTGCACAAAAACATCCTGTCACCAACCAACGGTTTCATGTGATGACGTCTCATTATCTGATGTCGTTGTTTTGTCACAAGGACGTCACGAATTTCGGCAGTCTGTGACTATTTGATGAAGTCATGTCCCGACGGCACCATGCAATAAGGTTTTTTTAACATCTCATGTTGACGTAGGGCTGACACCAATGGTTACATTTCGTGTTTTAAGGAAGCATCTAAGGCTTCTGCATTAAAAGTGATTGATTGATCAATTGATTGATTGATCAATCGATCAATCAGTGGCTGTGTCATTTTACTACTCTGCACAATGACTTTGCTCACCACCTTGTTCATTTGGATAAGAGGCAGAGTTCAAGAGTGCCTGCATATTGTGCCCTAAATGGTCATTTCACTTTAAGGAACACGATACATGTTAAGAACAGCAGCAGGTTAAGATCAACGTGTTCTCCATTCTGAAGATTACCAAGCGCACATGTCTGCGAAACGTTGCAAATTGTGATGACCGCCTATGTTTACTTGGCAGCTGATGCTGGCAGCACAGTGAGGCACTAAGGCACTTCGAACAGCTTGACAGCTTGGACATCGGCTGCGTTAAGTTGTCAGTAGCATTTCATTGAAATGCAATACACCTTTCATACCATCTATTATTAAATGATTACAATATAGCGCCTGTATGTGGGACATGTTGCGTCACGGCGGCTCATACAATCGATTTTTACAGTCCTAGGCATTCATGTCTTGTCATTCACGCAAGCTTTTCCTAAATAAACGAATGCTTGCTTGATGCTCAAGCTTGGTTGAGGGTTTTTTTTTTTTTTGAGTACTTCTTCAAACTCTTAAATCGGTACTAGTTTTAAATATGTGAGATTAGCGAGGACGCGTGATCTTTACTGGAATACATGTAATTGGTTCGATAGCCACCCACATTGGCCATACTAAAAAATCGTGATTGTTTAAAGTAATCGTGAGACCCCTTCTTCCTGATGTGTGGCATATTTTAGAGCTGGTGTGCACAGGTCTTACAGAATAAACATGACGCACCTATACTAACTCGCACATTATACATTTTGCTTAGGGCTCTGTCAAATTTGACGCAGCTTGACTGAGCGGTACAGAATGAACTTGGCAGGCTTTTTTAATCTCACTCACAAAAGTATTATTATGCATCAAGCAGATTTACTAAATACTAATCAGCCAGGCTCATTTAGTCTCTGATTCGTCAGCATTCTACTTCGCATGCCTCACGTGATCTTACACTCGTCAGTCCGAATTCTATTTTGTTCACTCACGAGTGAGTTTGCTCATGCTTTGCTGTCTCTCTCTCTCTTTTTTTTTTTGCAAGCCCCATAATCTGATTCATTCTGACATTGCCACCCTCGTAGCCTTCGTCATTTGATGCTGATGGAAGTTTCCGTCGTCTCTCTCAGGTGCGGCATCTTCGACAAGCACCGCAATGGCATGCGAGTCTTCCTGTCTCCGAGCAAACAGATGGCCGCCGTCACCGACAGCGTCGGCAGGATCGTCTTGTTCAACGTCTTTCAGAACACCGCCACACGCATCTGGAAAGGTGCGGAGACTTGCAAGGAGCTCTGTTGTGGCAATATCAGTATAACGGGAATGATGAATGTTGCGGCTTGTGTTGTGTTCTGTCAGCTGTACACTTGGATATATTTTTTTTTCCAGAAGAATTAATCTTGAGTGTGTGTTTCATAAACGTTAGTTATACACACACAAAAAGAAATATGGTGATAATGCTTATTGAAGGTGTATAAATACATGTTTTTGAAATCGAGCCAGATTAAAACCGAATACTGTAGTGAACCAGGTTCAGTGTATAATCAATAACATTTTTTTTGTTAGCATTTATTCAGTACTAGCAAAAAAGGTGTATTATTTCAGGAAATCTTTTTTTGTTCTGACTATTTCTCAAAAAATGGTCAGAACGAGCTTAAATTGTTGTTTCCTTTTAGTCGGGCAATGCTTTCTTTTTTTTTAATTGCCAGGTTACCGGGACGCTGAGTGTGGCTGGGTTGAGGTTGAAGACAGCTCACCGGATACGGCGATCAACGGAGTGCCGAGGAGAACGCAGTTTCTCATTGTCTATGCACCTCGATGGGGTCTCATTGAGGTCAGTAATGTTTGGGTCCATTGCGTCTTCTCTGTTAGTTTGACAAATAATAAAAGCAACCATTTAGTAGCCAAAGTTTTTTAAATAGGTAAGCGAAGCAGATTATTAGGCATTTGAGTGAATATGTGGACCACTTGGCATAAAATCACTAGCATCTAAAAGAAAACTTAAATCAACTTTTATAGCACTTCCTATAGTCTAGAAGTTACAAAACATTGTAACAAATTATGACATTTCTAACCTCAGGTATGGTGTCCTCACCAATCATCAAGGGTGGCTGCGTTTGAAGTCGGCAAGGGTGGCAGGTACGGCAAACATTTTTCATTGGCCTTCACTTCTCCACCTGCAAACAATCAACTATTGTTGCCATTCAAATCATGATGACTGGCACTATCGGTGGCTGAAAATTAAGACTTTTGTTTGGTATTTTTCAGCTTGAGAACATAAATTAGTGGAGATGAGGGCAGTATATGGACAAACTGCTATGTCTGTCACATACCAAACGATATGGATTAAGTAAAGTAAGGTGGGCAGTTTATGCTTTCGTGTCTTGTTAATTACCTAAATATTTTGTTTCATGTTTTGTTAATGAACCACTTTTAATTTTTTTATTTATTTATTAATGCTGCAAACCACTATTTAGGCCCCTTATTTATTTACTTATTTATAAATGCTGCAGGCCTCTACTTAGGCACAAGCATGAGGAGCTACGACAAATACAAAGTTTTATAATGTCATAGCTCGTGATCACATGAATGTTGGAGCACTTGATCATCAGTGGTACGACTGCGTAATCGATGAACAGAAAACATGCATAAGCAGCAGAAGTCTATTAATAATTAGTTCAGGCACTGCCAACATGCACTGCATAAATGCATCATACAGAACTAAATAAAAAAAGTTTCGAATTGTTCTTCAATATCGTCATACTTAAAAACACTTGTTGATGAGTAGTTCTGGTCAGTTGAAGCATAGAAACTTTGTTTAGTAGTTGTAGAGTTTATGGCCAGTTATTATGATGGCATGGTAATAGGTAAACCAAAAAAATGTTCACGCAGTACTAAAATTTAAGTGTATGTTCGAACACTCTAGGGATCAATATTGATCTGGAGTCTCCCTCTGTGGCATTATATAATCTTACTTTAAGATGTCGGACCTCACAAATCAAACAGTTTGAGTCTGCCTTGTAAGGCGTAGTCTACATGTGCTACTGACATAAACCTTAGCTAAAGAAAGTATACTGCACAAAGCGTACACAGGATATTATCTATTTCCATGCTATTTAAAGGCTCCTGTACAACAATTACACCCTCATGGGTCTCAACAATGTCCTGGTGAAGACCGTGCGGCCCAACACCTACCAGTGCTGCTACATGACGTCCGAGGGGAAGCTGTACGCGGTGGCCGTTCCTTTCCATCGTGTCCTCAGGTACTTCCTGTTTTGTACAATGCTTTCACAATCTATGCTTAACGTCTAACATACAATCAACCGCAGAAGTTTACGGACCACGCTAGCTCGTAACCGAGAGCCTCTTTGCAACATTTCCACAATGTCAACGGCAATCAACAGCAGTGCTACACTCAAGACGCATTCCCCTTAATTGTTGGCCTAGCTGTTTTATCACTGGGTACAATTATTTTTCGTCTTTCACTATCTAATGTGACGCGCTCTTCGGCAGCCATCGGAGCTGCTGTTGCGAGAGCAGTCCGTCAGCATTACTGCTATCACCTGCGAATATTTCGCACGAAATGATATCTACCCAATGGCACACTGTACCAGGCAGCCAAGATAGCTGTGATTATGCTATTGACGTAGTAGTGTGACGGCCTCATTGAAGATAAACAGTTTTGCGTGAAAGCAATCAACTAGCAATGTGCTGCGCAGCAGTAGAAAATTGATATGCCATGATTAAAGAGAAAACCTATTTCTAAACCAACTCTGTGGTCAAAATGGGTGGTGTGGGACAGGCAGTTTAGCATGAGCTCATGTGATCCGTAAAGTTTTGCAGTTGACTGTACATGAAAGTGCAGTACATCAATGTATATTAACGTGACCTACATTAAGGTACAACTGCAACATCCATGAATGCGTAGTCAAGCCACGATGTGCACAATCGGAGAGCTTACGGAAAGGTTGTGTTACTGAAACGTGCTGGCTCAAGTAGCTGTGGCATTTCGCTGCAAAGCGTGAGGGCAGGGGTTCAGCCCGTGGCCGTTGGTGGCCTCATTTCAATGGGGCTGTAAGGCGAGAACCACAAGTGTTTTGAATTCATTTAATGTATATCTATTATAATATATTATATTATTTGTTTATTTATTCATTTATTATCTGTTTAGTGTAAAAGCACCACAGACTACAGCAGGCATATTGCGCTAAGGAAAGTTTGAAAATGTATGTATGGTATCTATATTTATTACAGTAACCATTCCAAGGCAAAAAGGTAGCTTCAGTGTAAGCATAATGCTATTACATAGATGAAAACAAGAATATGCGACGTAATAGCAAGTGACTATTGATGCACCCAGCCATTGAACAGGCGCAGGCATGCACATCATTAGAGTACACCTCGTAACACTGTCAAACTCTACGTGTTAGCGAGGAGTGTTGACCTGAAGTCCACTGCCATGCTATGCTTCATTATCATGCCATGCATTTAGGGGCAAAAAAAAGCTCAGAATCGAATTTCTTTAACGAATGTCAGAAATTGCTGGAATTGACAAAGTGCCTTTCGTCTCGTCTGCTGCAGTGAGCGCAGCCGTGCGAGAGACTGGCAGCTTCTCAACGAGGTGCAGGTGCTCCTGAAGGAAGCCGATCCGCCCCCCGACGAGGGTGAGTGCTGGTCTGAGCAAGGTCAGTAGCTAACAACCGCTTCCTCTTTCCTCTTTTCACTAACAATCTCAGACTATCCTGTCGCTCTTTTGTTCTACCTTCAGCAAGGCCAGTTTGTCAGAAGAATAAATTGGCATTTTTAAAGACGATAGTCTTTCTTGGCATACTTGAATGCAGATATTTTGGTCTCTTTGTCTGTCTGTGTGTGTGTCACACGATTCAGCCACGTTGCCAAAGTTTAAGCAATGCCGAGCCGTCTTGAACTGGTGGCTACTTTCATACTTGCGAACATTGTCGATCAAAAAGCAAATATTACATGTACCTGAGGTGCAACATCAATACGTGCGTATTAAATGGCGTGTTATTTTACTGGAAACTACATAAATACGTAATTATAAAGGCCCTAGTGTTTCTTACGCTGTGATCACAATACAATGCTATGCACGAAGACGACGGCTAGCAGAAGAAGGGGTGGCCTAGCCAAACTTGGATGTCCCTGACGTTATTGCTAAAAAACTCAACTGTGTGCAAGACGTGCTCGCTCGAAAGTTCCCATGGATGCTTTAGCAATGCTAGGAAGCAACAGCTAAAATTGTTCTTTCTTATGTGCTAATGACTTAGAACGACAGTAAGCGGACCTCGTTGGTGAAGATTCATTATAAAGGATGGCAGAACGTGTAAACATCAACACTAGAGCAGATAACAAGCCAGTACAAAGGCCGACTGTCAGCTGAAAGGGTGCTCTGCTGTAGAAGGGAATGTATATACGAAAACTTACCTGCGCAAGCACGTGTATGGTAACACCATCTATCAATCGGGCACACTTAGGCGCTTATGTGAGAGATAATGGTTTGAGCATTTTATTTATCTTAATTTAATTGAAGGCTGGCTCACGCGAACAGTTCTATTCTCATCAATATGGCAGGCCTCAACCATTAGGCGAGTTTTTCGTCCTTGGCATGTAGGAACTGTGCAATTTCAGCATCAATTTACACTCTCCATAGTGTTGGGAAAAAAATGAAATGGTGGCGAAATACAGATTAGATAAGGAGGAGATAACAGTGCTAGTGTACCTGGGGTAATCTGTAGACGACAGCAGCTTACCCAAAAACTAAATTGAGAGGGCATCCTTGGCTCCTCGTTACACATTAGAACGAAAGTGCAGAGCTGTGGTGTGTCCACTGCACGGGCAACGAGACAAGGTGCAGTTGCGACAATAGTAACAACCCACTGGCCTGAATACACCCCAAGGACTCACTGGATGATTGAATCACTTCTCTTTTAAGTGCAGAGCACTTTAGGGACCCAGGTTGTCGCATGTTGTCATCGCTTGGCATAATGTGGGCTAAACCATGTATAACAATAGGAGAAAAATAGGAAGAAGTAAAACTGAAGCAATAAATAAAAACTGAAAAAATGAGCAAGAGAGAGGGGGGACCAAGGGAAAACAACAACAGCAAAAAAAGCTGCCCAGCTTGGCATTTCCTTCAGACTTGGCATCAGTACTGCAAAGCTGCCTTTTTTTATTTCTCTCTTTTTTTTTTTTGTTCTTATAAACCCAATCATGACGACTTCGCACCACAACGAAGTTTGACTCTGGTTCTGCCTCTGATGCTTCCATAATTTTCATTTGTAAATTTTTTTTCTCGGAAAGACGATTGCGCAGTGCAATAAGACAATCGTGTTTCATCTCGAAATGTTCTCGTAGGCCTGATAGGCACACAATTTGCTTGGTACAGCCCTAAAATCACGTTAGGTTTTTCTTTCTCTCTCACTCACTTTTGTGGCACTGTCTTCCTTTCCTGCAACTGTTCCCATTTCGCACCTTTCTTCGCACGCGTAGATATATATAATTTTTATTTTACCGATCACGTCGACCACTGGAAAACAACTATGCTGGTTTACCCATCGTCGTGGCATAGTAGCTAATGTGTCGCACTGGCTGGCTAGGCTAGAGGTTGTGTTCTCAATTCCCTGGCAATGTCAGCCACATTTCGATAAATCCAAAATGCTAAAAGAATCGCAAATATAGACTTAGCTACGTGCTAAAGAGCCAGAGGCAGTCAGAAATTAATCTGTGCTCTTCCACTGCAACATGTCTCCAAATCGTGCCACGGTTTTGCCACGTAGAGGCCCAGAATTCTCACATTTTCTTTGACCGGAATCGATTTGAGCACAAGCCCTTGCCAAAAATTAAGTGCTTTGATATTTCTCCAGTCACACTTTAAACTGGTAAAGAAATAAAAATTGTTCCACAAGTAAATTGAGACCTCAAAGCTAATTTTTCAGGTGTTTTTTTTTTCCCTCAGGCCGCCATTGTAGCAGCTTACTAATTCAGTTGAATTATGCCATTCCCAGTGTGCAGACATGCACTATAATCACCCCTAGGCGTGGTTGTATTTGCACGAGTTCATTAGAATGATCCTGATGTATCCGCTGAAAGAAGAAAGTACATCAACAATGGCAAGCAGTGAAAATGAAGGAGTGCTGTAGGATTCGAAATAGCCAGTATTTAGCACACTTGTGCACTTTTATGCGCTTCCATCATTGTGTTACGACTCTTGTCCTAAACCAAACATCCCTCTCTACCTCCTTGCAGCCCAGCTGGTTGCCAAGCTTGGCCGACTGCTGCGCGACATGAAGGCCGTCAACGTGCAGCAACAGGTGATGTCACTTCATAATCGTCATGCGCACGACTTCTGTCATCTTCTACTATGTTCGTATCTTAGGTATACTATCGAATTCACCGTTCCAGTTTGCGTCTTGCTGACTACTCTCGTTTGCCACCTTTCCTTCATATTGTCTTGTCTTGCCAGATAGTAAACTTGAGGTTTGAATCAAATATTTATATTTATGAATAATTTCAAATCGAATGGTTTTAATAGTACATACCACATGAAGAAAAATTTTTCATTTGACAGGGTTGCCAATTCCTTAAATAATAGGGGTGTGGCTTTACGTGAATGGGCAAGGAAGGGCAGAAAGATTTTAGTTTATGAAATTGGTTACGAAATTTGAATTTGCATTGAGGGGCTTTTGGTATAATAATTGTATTATTTTAGTTTTAAATTCTATTGGCTCGATCTGTTATGCAGGCCTTGGAAAAGATCGTTCACAGCAGCAAGGCATCGCACTTCGTCGTCTCCACGATACTCGGCGTGCTCGAACCGAAGTCTCGGGAACAACAAGGTACGATAAGCATTGTGAGCCGTGTCATGCCAGCCATTGTGGCGCAGGGTTAATGAAAACTTCCAGCCAGGAAACTATGTTGCTTGTTTCATTTCTAGTCACCATAGCATTGTTTGAGAGGGGGCGAAAATCTTAAATGCGTGTATACCACTAAACGTTGGAAATGCAGTGTAATAGTTAAAATTAAATAAAAGGTGTTACCATAGGCAGTTAGCAATTTAGCGTTACAGAATGAGTAACAAAAAGAAAGGAAGTGCAATCAAGAGGATGGCATGTGATGAGATTTCATAAAAAAAAATAATAAAATGCTAGTGTTATGGTGAGTGAAGTTGATACTATTAGAAATTTACGAGATTACCTTTCGCTCAGGATAAAAAATATAAATGAATATCATTTAGAAAAATTCCGATTTACAGTTAAGTTATTGCGTTCGATCGAAACCATTCTTTAAAAAAATGTAAAGCAGGTACATCTGTCCTTGATTGCAGTCAGGACACGAAGGTCTGTTGAGTGCATTATCATGTCTATGCCTGGAGACCCTGTATCATATAGACCCTGTATCATATATACCCTGTATCATATAGAAGTCGCAGAACAGTTGCTTTTATTGTACTATATGCTCTAAACAGCTTATGAGACTTTTTGCTGTGTATCTTGTTTACAGTCATCGGCGTTTGTCTCATGTTTTTTTTTTTCTTGAAAACACTCCATCCGCTACTTCTCTGCAAAAAATTCTACATCAAGCTGAGAACACATTGGCCATTTGTGATTTAAAAATGCCACTTGTGCAACAAAAAAAAAAACAACACGAAAAGTACTCAAGACAAAGGACATTTATTGTCAGGCACAGCTTAAACTCCCAAGTTACATGCCTCTTTTTTTTTTTTTCATAGTGTAGGCATTTCTTTTAATACTGTTCTTTATTGTGTGCATAGTGTTGCGATGGCAATGATGACGTCTTGTAGGTCACTAAACCTGGCTTGCAAGGTTCGGAATTCTTAAGACGGCAAGAAAAAAGAGACATTTTTCACTTGATACTTACAGTCTACGTTGCGGTTACTTATCTTTCTGACCAGCATCGGAAGATGAAGGAGCCAACTGCGACTTTGACACCGAGCTGTTGCACAAGACCTGCCGACGATTGCGGCAGCTATGCCACCTCCACAAGGCTGTAGACAAGTCGCAAGTCGATGATGTTTATGAGCCGTCTTCGGAAGAAGTGTTGCTTGAGGCAAGTGCAATCTATGCCGTTCTGTCTCGACCCCGGACGTTTCGCCCGACCAACATAGAAGGCGTTAAGTTAGTGTAAAATGCAGGCTTTAGAAAAGCAGAGCATCACAAACACAGGATACAAAAGGAATTAAAATGATTATGAATTTTTTTCTTTTTATTTTCATCACATTCATGCTTTTATTGCAACATTAAGTCCATGGGCAAGTAATTTTATGGTAATATTTTTGGGCGTTTAACCCGCCTACCTCTGCATACACTCAAATTTCGATTAATGAATCCAGATATAACGTAGTATAGGTTATAACAAAGTCAATGAAGAATAGCATTGCAAGAGATATAGTGTTACGAATACACCTTTATAATAAATTTTCGGATATAACAAACTTATTTTTGTTTAAGATGCAACTTCTTTATAATGAGATTTGAATGTAGAACCTGCCCCCTCACTATGATCTGTGGAAAAATGGAAATTGCGAAAAAAAAAGAAACCCTGCATGGTATTGTGAAACTGCCTTCCTCAGCATTACGATAAAGCCGACTCACGCACCAAAATGAACGTACATTACTCACCTCAACCTTGGTCCTAAATTTCTGTAGATTTCTGTAAATTTAGGCAATAGAAAGTACAATAATTGCTGCTTTCACAGTTGTCCCCTGTGTAAAAGCGATGTGCGGCTTTGCTGCAGCGTTCCATGCACCACATTTAACACTCGTGCATCTAGTTTGGTTGAGGCAGAACAACGCCAAGTAGTTCTTTGCAAGGCCTGAAATGTGTTCACGCGGGAATACTGTAAATTTGTAATGTTCAAGGAGAAGCTAAGCATAGCGCCTCAGAGCATAAGCCAATGTTTATAATAGTGCCGTAGTTGAGAAATGCTTCGCAAGAACGTTTTGAGGTAACACAGCTCATGCGGAACTTTCTCAAATTAATCTGTATATACTTGATAGATATTGCTGCACTGTCCCCTGCGAAGAAAACGCCAAAAGCACTGATACATTATTTGCAGTTTTTATGCCGTGTTATGTGGAAGGCTTATGTGTACGATGGCAATTGCATATTATGTTATGTGAAACACTGCTAATGAAACAAGATGCCAAGTTAAGCGTAATGTAGCTTCAAGAGGGTGAAACAGTGTGAGTTTGGAAACTGATTAATTGCCAAACGAAGGATGTAATTTCATGGCACCAGTGTGGAAAAAGACATCTACTGATGAGTAGGTGCAGTAACATGTGCTGGTCAATGTTCAAGGGTTAGTTTTTTGATACGACATGCCGAGTCGTTGAGCGTGTTAAACTCGCACATGAAAAAGCGAGCAAGTTCTCACCTGTGCCATCCTTCGAGGTCTGTTTTGTTCCCAGGTTCAGATGCAGATAGCAAACAACGTATGATATTGTGTTTGCCAGCACTAACAGCGCAGTTCAGCCTTGCATGTACCAATGTACCTTGTTCACGCGTACATATGTGATGCGGAACGTATCGACCCTGTAGACCACTCATTGGATATTCACAGAGCTGAGTAGCGCACATATAGACAAGTTGATGATCAATCAGGGTGTCGAGAAACAGCAGAGAACTTTAAACAAAGATTAAACAAAGTTAAAAAATACAAAACGAGCACTGATTATGAAGCGAAAGTTCATTGGAATGAGTAACATCTACATATGAAAACTGCTTGAACTGCTCGTTCTTGTATAGGTATTATCGTGTGTCCAGAGCACTCATAATCACAGACAACAGTTGCATGTGCATGTCGGGACATATTGGCAGCTATAGAGATACGAAAGCTCTTTCTTATGAAGAGATATTTAAGTTTAGCTGATGCATTCCTTTCCAAACTTGTTGCGTGCTTCTATTATTTCTCAGCAAAACTTGCTCTTGTTTTTATATAGAACGCTGGTCTTGTCTAGAAGTGGTATATTGACTACAGTGCATTAACTTGTGTACCTTGATAACTGATGATATGTTACCAGATGCACGTGCAATAGTTGTCTTTGATTATGTGAGGGGACCAGACACGTGCTAATATATGTGCATGAGCAGTTGCAAGTAATTTTTATGTATAAATGCTGCTTATTCCCATAAACTTAGAGTTGATTGAGAGTGGTCATGTCACGTTTCCTTTTCACTTTGTCTCCATGTATAAGATTCGACGCTGTGTCCTACAAAATGGCTTACAGAGCTGTGAATGTTTTCATTTTTATTTTATTACCCTAAAGACCTCATTTAGAGGTATCAATTACATAAGAGGTGCTTAATATAATAGCACAATAAAAGCAGGTGTTACGGTGTGATACATGTGGGCAACGTGATGAAAAGTTCAGTATGACTTTTTATGTTGGCAGCATGATGAGGCAGGTCGTTCCAGTCTTTGGTAGCTCGAGGAAAAAATGAGGCTTGAAATGTTGCTGTTCGTGTTCTTGGGTGGGTTACTTGAAGCTGATGGCTGGTGCGGAATGACGTGCGTGACGACGATTTCATGATGTGAGGTGGGTGGTTCAGCGAGCTGTGAAAGAATTTGTGAAAGAAGGAGAGTGTGGGAACACGACGACGAAAAACGAGGAAATGCAAGTCTAATTCACTCTTTAAAAGGGAAATGCTGATATTATATGAATATGAAGAATGGATGAATCTTGTGGCACGATTCTAAAGTGATTCGAGCGCATTGATGATGTGTGCTTGATGAGAATTCTAGATGGCTGTGGAATATTCTAATTTTGTTTGGACAAATAATTTTTATGCAATTAATTTGACAGTGATATCTTGTTTTGTGGCGTAGCTGCATCATCCTGTCTTACTTCTGGCGACCGGCACTTCTCGTTTTTCGTGCAGGAGCTAGCGGACGAGCTGTCTATGCCACCAAATAAGGTGTCCCGCGTGTTGACGCACGTCTCGCGTTACCAGCCCTTCTGGACATCCAGCTCCAGCAAACGGGTGACCTTTGGCGATGAGAACCCCGTCGCCCTGCCCGTGTTTCTCGGCTACTTCGACGTTGGCGACAGTCACTTGGCAAGAGATCAGAACGAAGAAGCTCCCCTGCCCGTGACGACCAAGCCGGACGCGGACTGCAAGCAGCTGGGTCAGGAAGCGTCCTTTTTCAAGCAAAGCTTGTTATGGCTTGCAGATTTCGGCGGCCGTAGAGTTTTCTATAATTACACTAGGGGGAACTCTGGCGCTAGTGTCTATGGAAGCTGCAACACACGGCGCTTCAGTGGACATGGGAATGTTGGGTAGTACACACATTTCTCTAGTCGTTCTTCTGGCTCTGTCTGGCTCCGCATGCACTGGAGCCGCTTTGTCACGAGACGACAATTGGCAAACGTTTAGCAGCTACGCTTCATCACTCTCATTTTTTAGGCTCATCAATTCATATCGGGTCACGAAGTTCACAATGGTCTGTTCTTTTATTTGACACAAAGCCAAAACAGTCGAAGCCCGCAAAGTGCATTCGAAGCCCGCAAGCATGAAGACAAGGTAAATTTGTGTATTACCCATCACTCCCATTATGGCTGCACGATCGCATCTCCGAAGTCCCATTTGGTTACGAGACTCTGTGTTCGTGGCAGTGGCTTGTGCAAATATTTTGGTGCTGGTGAGCGCAAAGAAGTGTGGCCCTCGAAGTTGCGCCGGTCACTTGCGCTGTTTTCTATAATTTGCTACATGCTGTTTTCCGTAAATTGATGCTCTCTTGATCGTGGGCTTGCTGGCGGCCAGCCGCTTTTGTTAGGACAATCTGATCTGCCACCCAGGTCACTGGTTATTTCTTGTTGCCAAATTTCATTGTTGCCTGGGTAGGACTTTGTGATTGTCGTTGTTGCCTGTAGCAAGGGTATTGTTGTGCTGCTAAGTACGTTGACACACTTTTTGTGTCGGTTGACTCATTCCTGGTGTTAATAGTAAGTGTACTTTGCTTTATACAGTCGTATGAACCCTAGCGACATGCGATGTTGCCGCAATATTAAAGCAACATGTGCCATGTTAAGGTAACATTCGCAATGTTTCAGCAACGTTGCATTTGCAGCTGGTGCATTTGGGGAACGATACGCAGCAAATTACAAAAAATGTCGAAAGGAACACTTCGAACTAAGTGAGCAGGCTGCATTAAAGTTCACGTCATTGCAATCGCCAGGCTGCATGTTCCAAAGGTTCTGCCAAAGCTAATCCTGCTCGAAATAAGTATAACAGGTGGGCACAAGCAATAACCCACTCCCTGATCCCTAATTGCCATGTTGATTGACACCATAGGCCAGTCATTTAAAGGTATATTTATAATTATTTGTAATTCTTCCTCTACGGTGTTTGCCTTGTGATTCAATTCTAACAAAATAAAAAGCGAACGCTTGCCATAACACTTGAAGGTGTTCTGGGGTCCTGCTTGTGTGGAGGCAGGATATCATTATATATATCAAAAACAGTAATTCGTTGATTTATTGATATTTTTTTCCCTGCTTTTGCAGGACACCTCCTGTTTTCGAGAGCACTTGGGTCCTGTGGTTGTCATCCGTTGCTCCTGGAAGCTCTGAGGAAGTCCGGAATTGCACCATCCTCGCTTGTGGTGAGTGCAGCAACTTTTCATGATTGCGAGTAGCTGCCATTAAAAAGTGCTTATAAAAAACATGCGGATGGTTCTAGGACATGTAAACAACAACAGCGACACAGCATTGCCACTGACAAAAATATTTATGTTGACGCAAGGGCTCGTGTATAAATTGAAAATTATGCAGTCACATTGCCTAAATTTTTAAAATGTAGAGATCTCATATAGTCACCAGCACTGCATGAGATAATGAACATGCATCGCATTAATCTTCATAAACTACAATAATTATTTTTTGATAATGAGAGCGCTGTAATCTCGTCACCATTTATTTTTTCGTCTTTGTTCTTGTCGCGCATGGTTTGTAGTGAACGCGTGCTGCTAGGAGCCACACCGAACTTACCCAGGTTTCAGTTTCCACGAATTCGGCCAGAGGACTAACTAAACTTCCTCGCACTTTTCTGTGCATGCTTGATTTAAGAAATATCCCTTTTGATTGTATGGGTTTCGTACAGCGACAGCACGTTCGTGTTTCGATCTGACCACATTCAGTCTATATTGATCGTGGCTGACAGCTTCACTGCGAAAAAAAATGAAGCAAGTTAGCTTGACCATCTTGATTGTGTCTCGTGCAGCAATGCCTGCTTCACGAATGGCTGTCATCCAGTTGGGCTGTGACCAACAGAAGAAGCTGGTGCTTGTTCAGCTGCTTTGCTGAAGTCACTCGTGGAGATGGCAGGTGGGATATTGCTATGGGCTTGTTGAAACGCTTTACACCGGAAAAATGTCTGTCTAAATGAGGTTAAAGCTTGTTGTAACGAAGCAGCATTAAATGCGGAAATAATGCCATTATATTCAGCAGTCGTTAAAAGTTGGCATGTATTTGAACCTACTTCAACACGAATTTGAATTACTCGAATTTCAAAGTGTGCAAAATGAACATACAGGCATGTGAGCCCCTTTGAAGGTGATTTCATTGCAGCGAAAAGCAAGCATATTTTGATGAGATAGCAACATGAAAGTGTTTCTTTTGGCTAGGTTGACGAAGTGCCGGCAGGGTAGTGTTTCTGAGGGGTCTTATCAAGAGTGAGGCAATGCAGAGGTCAAAATGTATTTATGTACATAATTTGATGAAACCAAAGTGTGGCTATTGCTGACAACATTTTACACGAGAAAGTCAAAGATGCTATTTTCTCACCCTCGTCTCCTACAAATTCAACTTCTTTTGAAAACCAAAGTGATGTGGCAGACAATGGTGTGCTCCCATTGAGCCCGGAGTTCCAAATCTGCCTGGTAGACATCAGTATGTAAGAACATATGAAATTTCCCAATCTAAACATTTTCAGCACCTGATTTTTCAGACTTCCTGCCCGAATTTTAGGCCCAAAACGATCCTTTACCTCTGCCACATCTGTCATCTTTATGTGAAAACCAGTGTCATCTTAAGAACATTTTCGACAGTAGTGGAGCTTGAAAGGCAGCTTGCAACAGCATATCGAAAACCCAAAGGGGTTATTTTTAATTAGACGACTGTATTTCTCTTTGGAAAGTTCGAATAGTAATACTCTAGTGCGAAAAAAATAACAAACACTATTGAAAAACATCGGAATATTCGCACACTCCTTTTGATAACCTGTAGAATACGTTACATATTAAAATTTACTGTACTTAGATCATATAAGCTAGTATACCAAGCTTTGAAACTTAAAGAATGATGAATCGATGTGTGGGTAAAATTTTCATTTAGCCTTGAAGTGTGGCTTTGTGGCAGTGCTCACTTACCCTGAATAAGTGTATTCACAGTATGGCAGCATCCTTCTACTGCAGTGAAACCACGTTTACTTAGAGTTAAACGTTGTTTATTCGTTTCTTTCGAATAATTTACATTCGTGTCGAGGTCAATTCAAACACTGTAATAGTCCGAATCTTCGAAGGACTCAAAGGTTCGCACATGCCTAATTTACGTGCATCATGGCATTGCAGGAGAAGAAGCTCACTTTACGGCGTCAATGACGATGTCGCCGTGGTGGCGAGGCATCCGAACGGTGCTAGCCGGCTCCGCAAACCTTCCGGCCGCCTACGTAGGAGCTGCCATCGTGAGCTACGTGGCGCGAAGCTTTGTGCGGTTTCCAAGCCCACAGAAAGACGACCACGGTGCCGATACCTCAGAAAATGAAGTAAGTTCGCTTTCATCTTTAGCCGTCAAACCAGTGCTCGAACGTTCATGATCTGAATTTCTTGTGGTTCCTTCATAGAAAACTATACACGATAGTTTCCTGTTAAGAATGCTATGGGATGGTGAAATTTATGCCATAAAAGTACTGGACGCAGGACATTAAGGGAGGGAAAGGCATGCAAGATTATTTCTGATGAGCAACGAAAGTACGCTTTAAAGGTGAAACTATTTCAAGAGAATAGTTGCGGCACAGGTATCCGAAGTTCCATCCTTCTTGCTTCTCTTCTGCAGCCTCAGACAACAGAGGAAAATGAAGAGAAGCCTTTGGAAAAACCATCGGCACTGCAGCGTCCTCCCACTGGTGACCGAGATGACCCGGTCATCATCAACGATGACGGCGAAATCGAGGAGGACACCTGGGAGCCCGTGGTCATCGAGTGTGACCACTGGGAGTCGCTGCTGAGCAAACTGGGGGACGTGCTGGTGCTGGCATCACTACTGAAGCGCTCTTGCGAAAGACGTCAGCTGTACCCCGAGCACCGTGAAGTCTCTCTCACCTCGCTGTTCGCCCGAGGCCAGGGTAAGGTTTGCAACAGTGCGCTGGTGCTAGTAGCAGTAGTACATGTAGAACTAGTGGTAGAATCAACTGCAGCTGTTATTAGTAGCACTGGAGGATTTAGCAGCAGCAGTTAGTGACAGACACAGTAGCTCTTAGCAGCAACAGAAGCGTCAGCAGTCATAGGCCTAGTAGTTGTAGAATCAGGAGCATCAGTAGGCGTCCTGTTATAGCAGTTGTGGGATTAAATAGTTAGTAGTAGGTAGAACAATCAACAGCAGCAATCATTAGTAACACTAGCAGCTCTTGGCAGTAGCAAAAGTATTAGTAGCAGCAACTGCAGTAATGCAATTGGCAGCAGCAGTGAGCAGTAACACTAGGAGCAGTTAGCGGCAGTGCTAGTGCTAGTAGTAATTGTTAGCAGTGTCTATAGTATATGAATACCTCAAAAAAGAAGATCAGCAGCACAGCATCATTACGAGTGATGGTAATATGACCATGACTGCTAATGGTACAGTCGAATCTCAATAATTCGAACACACTAAATTCGAACTTCCGGTTCATTCGAACTCACGATAAGGTCCCATCAAAGTTGTGTGTATTTTAATGCGCGAAAACGCTTGGTAATTCGAACGTGCAAGCACTTGCGATGGTTAATTCGAACGTACCACGCTCGGAAAATGCTCTCAGCACCCTGCCCAATCCCGCGGCGGCACGTCCGACGCCTGAACGCTGTGGGAAAAAGGGAAAAAAAAGGAAAGAAAAAGCTGCGGTGGTATTTTCGCTCTCTCTCAAATGCCGATCTGCGATGCACCTTTGCCGCACTTCTCCCTTTTCTACCCCTGCCACGTAAAGACCCTTTTCCTTCTAACGCCGTGCGCAAAGAGAGAAAAAAAAAAAGCTGTCGCAGAGTGTGGCTCTCTCTCACACGCCTGTGCCACGCTTCCCCCTTTCTCGTCCCTGCCACGCAACCCTTCTCCTTTCAACAACGAGCGCGAAGAGAGCAAAAAAAAAAAAAAAGCTGCCGTGGAGTGTTGGTTTATCTCAAATGCTGATCTGCTTCTCTCCGCATAAAGACGCTCCTCCTTTCTTGTCACCCGCTGGCCAAGCTGCGGCTTTGGCGCAGAGAGTAGTAGCGAAGGTGCAGTTGTTGTTGTCGTCTTTAGAGAGTGTCGGCACTGCACATTGCCGCGCGCAACTTCTCTTGCCAGGAGAATGCTGAAGCCAAAGTAGACATGCTTCGCAAGCTGCGTGCGAAATTGATTGACTCACTGCAAGGCAAACGTGTGCAGACGCGCATCAACGATTACTTGAATTAATGACGGATGTTCCGTGATTTGTGAATAAATGTAAGCCTTTTGAAACTTCCGCCTCGTGTGTTAGCTCAATGCACATGCGCCACTGCATGGGGAGCCCTCTGTTTACTTGGCCTTCATTAATTCTTTTTTTAATATGAACAAACTTTTGGGCCCCTTCGAGTTCAAATTATCGAGATTTGACTATAGTAGCAGCAGCAGGTACAGTCAACATGACAACTTGATAACACAAGTTCATGGAGGTATCAGCAGTAATTGTAGTGGTTATAGCAGTAATAGCTCTTGCTAGTACTGGTGGTTGTAGCGGTTAGTGGGCAAAAGCTTTGTGCAAATATGTGGAAAGCCAGACTGTTTGGCTTGCTGAAGTATTGGAATACTATAACAGTCTCACACAGTGAGCTGTGGAGACGAAGCATCACAGTGTGCAGTGAAGTCACAAATTTTTCGTTCTAGTCAAGTTTCCATGATCACGCAGGCGTCATTACCGAACTGGTGTCTGCTTGGGCCTGTGACCTCGAAATGACGGCTGACGACCTGCGACGACTGACCAAGCTCCAGTTTCCCGCTGCGTCCGAGTCTCAGGAAGATGGTATCGATTGTAAGTTTTAATCAGAAAGCATTAATATACGCCTAACCAGGTAAAAGATAAGGTGTCTATCCAGCCAGTGCTGTTGCCACTTAATGGCAAGAACACTCATGTGGCCTGGTAATAATATTGTGAAACGTCACTGCAGAACACAATGATGTCATGAAAACACCACATCATGATTTCGGGCGAAGTGGATTTCAAAATAGCAGTTATGTCGTCGTAGTCATCACACCGAGACACGCCATGCTTTTCAATTAAATGGAAGTAAAGAGACTTAGGTGCCTCTCCAGCTTTTTTTTTAATCCTTCTCTAGATTTTTTTATTTCTCTTAACTTGAAAATGCAATCAACCTTCGTGCTCTTTATTGTTGCTATCATGGTGTACTTCTTTGGTACTCCCATGGCCGACCCAAGCACATAATCCAATTTTATTGTTAACGAGAGCTCCTGTTGGATCTTTTCATTTTTTTTTTAAATTCAACTATCTGATTCATATGCATATTGTCATAAAGATAGCAAACCGTGCAGTCGTGGTTATTTCTTCTGCATCAGTGAACTTCATGTTTCCCAATTGACGCAGTGCATTTTGTGCGGGTGAGACGACGATTCGCTCGATCCTTGGAGCTCGACTCGCTGCTAGTCAACTGTGCCTCGGAGCAGCTCGTGCGATGGGACCGGGACCGGGACCAGATAGACCGGCTGTCCAAGGCCTCTGCTTTCCTCTCGGCCGTTTCCAGTAGCATACTCAAGAATGGTCAGTGCAGTTCCCTTGTCATTGTCACGTATCATGACCTACTGCTAGGGTTCCATTTGTGGCCTAAATGACCTGTACAGCTATGACCCTATCAACTATAACTAGTAGGTGTTTGTTAGTGTTTCAGCCCTTCAGATGTTCTCATAGTATGAAATTCGAATTTGCTTCGACATAAGTTGAAGTGCTCAAAATTTTGAAAAGGTGACTGGAGTGGTGACCAGAGAAAGTGTACACCGGCAACACTGGTGTACACACCAGATGCCATCGCGGGACAGGGCACAAGCATAATAAGCTTGCCGAGCAAACTCCTAAAAAGTGACATTCGCTGCAGTGTAGGGACTAGAGTTCAGTTTGAACTGTAGAGAACGTGTGAAATATTCACTGGCAAATTTTTCAACAATTTCACTTTATCTGAAAAATACAGGCTGAAAAAGAGAACTTTGAATGAACTGCCAGAGGCCAGTTGCTGTGCAAAAATTCTTGTTAAAAAAAAAAAGCATCCTGCTATTCCTAGCATGAACCTTCTCGTATGATCTTGTAAGTTTTGATACTTTGGAGCAGATTGAGGTCGAAGCCACGAGACTTTTATTTTGTGAAAAAAAATGGTAATGCCTTGTGGCCGTGTGTGCAATGTAGCGCGGTATTTTTGCCATTACTCCTGTGCAGGTGTGGGCCTAATCATATGGAAGACGTTCTTGCAAAAACGATTCGAGGCATTAGTTCTACTGATGGAAAAGGTAGGCACACTATTGTCGTTGTCGTCGTTGTTGCCATTTTTCTTGTTACTGTGCAGCATTGATTTCTGGTGTCAAGTGCTGAGGCTGACCTGTTCTTGAGATGTTCTTTGTTCTTGCACAGTTTCTACTGCTGCATTCCCGTGCAATTGTGTTGAATGCTAGAATTATATATCAAAGCTGAGATGGTGCAAGAGTGCCCAATAGCAAACGTTATGGCCCAATACAGCCCGAGATTGAAGATAGAAGTGAATTTGTCTTGCACGGCTTCAAAAGTCTTCCATTGCCTGTAATGTACAGATTTTCCGAAGCTCACCTCTACAGTCTTTATCTATGTCAATCTGTGATTACCAATCACTGATTAGTATTTGTATCAGCCCTTCCCTGGCCCCTCTTGTGCAGTACAATACCCTTATCAGAGTGCCCTTAATATTTTTGGTTCAGACTAATGCACGATTTTGAGTTATGTGCACAGTTACTCCATTCTGATTTTTATTCTGATGTGAATCATTGATCAGTATATTTAGGTTGGTGGACTCGGAGGCAAGTGCTAGTTTTATTTTGGTTGTGACTTCTTTCATGACAGTGGCTTGGCTTTGGCTTGGCTGAAACATGCTTGCCTTTCAGATGGGAAAGACACCCAAAGACCGCATCTGTCGGAGGGTGAGTATTGGTTACAGCATGTGCAAAGCACGTCCCACCACCGTGATGATCGATTCACCGGCTGCATTATTTCGTTTGTCCCAGGATGTAGAGATCAGTGACATTCACCTGGAGCCGTTCGTGCGGTTTTGCACGGAAGTTTTGGATGCGATAGTCGACGTAAGTTCACACAGATTTTCTTTCCTGCATATGACCGAATCTGTTCACTGCACATTTTCGTGTATGAAGATAATGCTGTATGACACAAATCAGTAAAGCAATTCTCCCTACACCTTCCTTTTTGTTTGTAGGAAAAGCCACTGCTTCTGATGTTTAGCTGCAAAGCCAATGTTTAGCTGCTGCTGAACACCCTTTACAGTTAAATCTCAATATAACAAACTTCAGGGGGCCGCGGCAATTCATTCGTTATTTTGATAGGTCGTTATAGTGAAAGCCCAGAAATTAACCACAAATTCTCATTTTTCACCGACAAAGACGACTTACCTTTACAACAGTGAGTCCTTGAACTCGTTTTTTACGAGAAAAAAAAAGAACAAGTGAACACTAAAAAATGTGCACGTTTACATTAAAGAAGTCTGTTTTTTTTTTTTTGCCGCCTGCAGCACAAACTTTGTAGCACGAAGGCCTCCAGCTCATCCACATTCTTGTGGTGCGATTCAGTTCTTTGGTCACAACAGCCTGCTTTTTGCCTTCCAGTTGCCAAAGAATATCCACTTTCTCGCTTACCAAAAACTGCTTCCGCTTCTTCGTCCCAAGCAAAGATGAACTCATTTGTAGTATCACTGCAGCGCAAACGCTGACATGCTTTGCGGAAGCGATAAGTAATCACCAAAAAGAGATGAGCACGACTGACAAACAAGGCCTCCTAGAGTGCATGTAGAAGTGACAAAGAAAGAAAAACCCGAAGCGTCGTGGCTGTCATTGCCTCTTCCGGAGAAAAAAAAATTTGCAAAAAAGAAAGTTTTATTTTCTGCTCCCTCGATGTCTCAAGTTTTCCGCACCCATGCTTACTGCTCCGGAACTCCCACTCTGCCTCGCTGACCGTGGCCTCCTGTGTTGCCCTCGCCCCTCACCTTTGCGCTTGTAAACCTGCAGCGTCGGCGTTTCAACAAAAAGAAAGAAAAAAAAGTTGCCCTTTCGTTTTTTTCCCCCTCTGCACCGACGCACGTCTTCCGAGAAGCAAGGCGTCCGTTCGCTTTGTCGTCTGCTCATGTACCGCTCCGGTGGTCGCGACGGATTTCAGAACAATAGTTCGTAGTACTGAGGCATTGTTAATATAACACGAAACTAAATTAGTGCTCGTTATTCTGAAAAGTTTGGTATTTGGAGGTATGTAGTAGTGAAATAATTGTACATTGAAACTATTAGCATTAGGTGCGGGATTGTTTAAAAGTTTGTTAATCTGAAAAGTTCGTTAATGTGGGGTTTGTTCTACCGAAATTTCACTGCAGACAGATTATCTGAAATCCAGCATCACTCTGACATCTAGCATAGACATGGACTTCTGAGATCTCTATTATAAGCCAACATACTGCACCACAGATATTGGAAGCCAACAGCGGCTATAAACTTTACACATTCTTTCAAAAACACACTGGTACAGACACGAGCTTCCGAGATTTTTGTTTTAATGCAGCACACACTACCCCGGATTGTGGAGGCAATCTAGAAGTGCCTATTTGTATGCATTGCTTTATCAGTTGCAAATTATTTTGCAATATAATGACCATTCTTGAAAGGGGATTTCATTTTTTAATCCTAGTCAGGGGCTGAGAACTTTTTTTGATGTTTTGCGAATATGAACCACATAGCTATACCACCCACATGTTAGGTTCATGCATATTCAAGTAAGTTAACATAATCATCACAAGGTACTGTACGTATAAGAATGTAAAGAATATTCAGGGGGTAGCCCTAAAGCAAGAGCTGTTGGAAGGCTTCCTATCAGAATTGGACAAAGGAAGCGTAGTGAGCACAGGAATGGATTGACTATACAAATCCAAATATGCCAAGTGAATAAACAGGACATGGAATAACATCAATAAAGTCCATGCAGGAACTGAAAGACTGTACATGTCCCAGAAGCAGTAAACACTGGAAAAATTGACCATGTTTGCTGCGGCATGCCTTTTTGAGGTCTCGTTTAACGCGCGATGTGACCCACCAATGGGTTACTCGGCAAGTCTTTCAGGTGCGCATTGATCCACTTGTGGGTCACTAGTAGGTCACAATATCTAGCACTGGACGGAATTCTTCCGTTTATTTATAAACTTTTGCAACAAGATTCGCGCTTTTGCGTTCGTGCGTGGTGAAGTTAATATCGCATCAGGAAGCAGATGCACGCTCGTAACATCGTGGCCACATAGAAAGAGCACAAGCCGTGAACCCCGCCGGCTACCCGCGCCGTAGTGAATGTGTCAAGGGCCCCTAAACCACTCCTTGCTCAAAGGCAAGAGAGTTGTTTGTTTATTGCAATCACGACCCTTACTACTTGTGCCATCTACTCTTTGCCACATATTTTTTTATTTGTTTATTTATTTAACAATACTGCTATGTGTTCCTGCATCTTAACAGAGTTGTTATACATTTTAAATAATAGGAACAATTTAGCACACACAAATTTGTAAAGCAATTTAGCACAAACACTTCTAAAAGTTCACAAAGAAAAAAAAAACGCTGGTAATGAACGAATGAAATAACACAAAAAATTTCATGACATATTCGATTTTTTCATAAAACATGTAAACAATGCCAGCACTGAGTTTCAAGCCTATAAAGATTTAGTGCTTTTCTGCTACATCCGTTATCTCTATTTGTGCAGTTGGAAACAAGTTGATCATATATGAATTTCATGCGAGACAATGCATAATGGGCGTGCAACTGCACGTCAAAGCAGGGTAGGCGGCGATTCGCAGCTGATGTCTCTCGTATATGGACTATTCGAAAACTTGCTTCTTTACGATGTAGTGTTAAGAAACTGCTGGCATCATGAGTTGCACTAGAAAGACAGCCACTACCAAGAAAGAATAACACGCTGGTTGTTCGTATTTCCAGAGGTTGCCTAGGGGCACTTTAACGATTATACATTTATATATAGGTTTTTGTGCATGTTTCGTCAGTGATCTAGAATGCCGTGCAAAGTGTTACACCACATTTTTTGTGACTTGCTGAGTTTAACTGTCGTCTTCGCACCGCAGGCCTCGCTAGGCCCAGAGGCCGAGACTCTGCCGGTGCTGCCGCAGGGGGAGCCCCTGTGGGAAGGGGTTCCGCAGGACGCCTCGCGGCCACAGCCGCTCGTGGCGCACGCGCTCGGCCAGCGCCCGCCCAACCTGGCGTCGGTGCGGCACCACCAGCTCTTGGCCACCGTGGTCCAGGTCGTAGTGATGTTCAGCATGCGCTCGGTGCGGCCCCTGTCCCTGTTCACACCGACGGTGAGTGCTTGCAGTATGGCGTGCATTCTAACACCCGTCCCTGCCGAGTCTTCTGAATTACCTGCCGAGCCTGGGATTTTGACTTGTTTTGAGGTTGTGCAGACATTACTTTATAGTAGAAGTACTGGCATGACTCATACAAATCTTCATATTGTTACTCTAAGGAAGAACACTGGTGGTGAGGACCCTCGAAAGAGAGACATGGTGCCTTGGAATGTATTGAATACGTTTTTAATATCAGTACCTAAAAAAAAAGAAAACTTACGGTACTTACGGTATCGTTATTAAGGGGGTTGTCTCACAGTGATGCGTCGAAAGTCTGACATAGGTGAAAGTCACGTAGGGACGACGGCAACTCTGTCATCCGCTGTCAGCATTCAGAATTGAGCCTGCCAGGCAACACATTGTTACGCCCACCTGCGCAGTCGTGAACGCGCAAAATGAAGTGAAATGAGTTGATCACGCATGATAGTCATACAATAAAATTCATAATTGTCATCCAGCAAGTGCAACAGCTATTTTGGCAACCTAGGCTGCATGCAAGGTTTACAAGCTTGGGGAACTGTGTTGACTTGTCGCGATAATGTCCGTTGCGGTGGGGCTGGCTTGCGGATACTTGGCGACAAAAACTTCAAACTAAAATATTTCCTAGGTGTTTCCTGGCATCGGTGTGTGGAGAGTGTTAACCTTGCATACCAAAGAAATAAAAAATTGTCCCTTTTGCAATGTTTCAAGGACTTTTACAAAAAGAATTTCAAAAACGCAATTCAGCTGTTCTCATTATAGCTTTCATGTACTTGTTTTTTACACCTGCCACTGAAGTCCTGACACCCAACCAGGCATAATACTTTGAGCGAGAAAGACTGGTCAGTAGGATTCAAGCATTGTAAATACCCATGTGTTCATTGTCTGTTACTTCATATGAAGGGGGTGCAGGTGGTGAGTCATAACTTTACTGAGCCATTACATTGCAAGGTAAAGGTATAGTTTTTTCACTGTATAGTAGTGGGCCCCTCAAAAGTAATCACTATACTGAATCTAATCACTAGAAGCTAAGACTTGAGAATCCATGATTCGTCTTGCAACGTACATGGTGCGTACGTAAAACATGCACGCACCATTTGCGCACCAGTCAACTTATCCGCCTCCAGCGGGAGGATTGTATCGCTGCATCTAACGTGTGCTTGTCTGCGTGCGCAGGTGCGCAAGGCATTCTTTCAGGACCTGCACGCGCCGCTGCTGGCACCAAGCGCCCGGATTTCTTCATCGCTTACGTCATCACCGCAGCAGAGCTTTCTTCTGCGTGCCGCTTCGGCTGTGATGCAGTCCCTGCCAGACAATCCGGACAACAGCGTGCTCGGCTCGACTTTCGGCTGGATGAACCGGCTGCTCGATTTGGCCTGCAGTTGGGGAGAGGACCGAGACCTGGTGCGGCGGCACTGCGTCTGCGAGCTCTACTCGGCCGGCCATGACATCCTTGCTCAGGAGGTGCATAGCGTTCTTCGTTCACTTAACTTCTGCCTCATAGCTCAGTCCCTGCCTAGTAGTCATAGCTCAGTACTCGCAGAGGATGGTGGTTATGTGCTTAGAAGCAACACCAATATTGATTGACATGAATGATCGTTATGGCTAGGCTTGTGTGAATATTCGAATGCTTCGAATATTCGAACGAATAGTGGAGTATTCGAATTGGCTTTGATGCGAATTTAAATTAGCAAATATTTTCGAAGTATTCGCAATGAACGAATAGGTGTATAGTATATGTCGGCATGTCACCACCTGTAAGAGTGGTTTCACTGCAGTGTAGGAGTGCTAAACCGTGAAAACACCTATTTAGGAAAAATTTGGTTTGCCGCGAAGCCCCCTATAAATTTTAAATGGTCTCTGCAACACTTATTAAACATGGCCAGAAAACGCTGCAGATTTGTAGTCCAGGCTACCGAGAATACGCGAGGCAAATATTATAGCGCAGCACATGGCCTGTAATTCACAATAAATTTTGAAAGCCAAAAATAGCTTTCTTCTCTCGGCAAATGACACTACAAGCTCAAAAATCGCTTGTCACGGCCATTGGCTGATATGAGCATGACGCGCTCGTCGTTACCAGGGCCACCGCGGGAGGCCTGCGCTTGTCCACGAGTGCGTGCGCGATCACACTGAAAAGCCACTTATTCGAAGAAAAAAAAAAAAGAGAAAAGGTGCTCAAGGTCACGAGGTACTTATGACATATTTTCTTTCGCCCTGACATCCCTCTCTGTTTAACTTCCAGCTGTTTCGTCTGGACGAGAAGAGAGAATGCAATTACAGTGTGTGACAGATTTTTGGAACTCCGCTCGTACTGGACTGATTCTAGAAACCTTGCGGCGGTAAATTCGCGAGGCAATAAGCATGTTTACTGGCTCCATGGCTTCTTGAAAAAGTGTTGCAAGGCCCCTTTAAAGGAGCATGTTACCCTCAAATCAATTCATTTTATTAAGCTTGTTATGACGGCTTATGTGCTTCAAGTATAATAAATTTTAAAACGTTAGATATCTTTCAAGTTATCACTGGCAATCCTACCGAAACTACTACTGAAGGTTGTTTTGACTTCCTTTGAACGAAAAAAAAATGGCATTTGCTTAGAGCCCCTATTTCAATTCAAAAGAAGTATTGTGCAGGTTACTAGGTCATGATTAATATTCCTTTTTTTTTATTATATGTTATACATACCATGCGAATTCGAATCAAAATTATTCGATCAAAATTATTATTCGCTTTGAATTTGCTTCGAACCTAAAATTCACTATTCGCACAAGCCTAGTTATGACACATTGTTCAATGTAAACCAATCTGGTTGGTGCGTTTTTAAAGTGTGCTGTCCCAAAAAATTCCTGAGCATGTTAGACCCTACATTTATCTTAAAGCGTTTTTATTTATTTTTATTGCTCAATGATAAATGTATGCATTTAATTGAATTGAAAGCTATGAGAGATGCTGTAGTGAAGAGCTCTGGATAACTTTCTTCTATGAGGATAGAGTTTTCTAAAATTAACTTGAGGGTACTCTGGTGCTTCGATCGTTCAGCGGCCGTAGGAATCATGGGTAGTACACGGATTTGCCTAGTCTTCGTACTTACGGGTGGTGAATCGCACTTGCAGCTTCATTTATCGCTGGTTTTGGTTTCATTTTGAAGGAAAGAATGAACGCTTTCGAACATTGTGACTCGATTCAAAATGGTAAGCCTAAAAGAATAAGGTGGTGAAGCGCAACCACTGAACATTTGCTGATTTTTTTTTTTTCGTGAGAAAACAGCTTCCAAGCCGCAGAAACACACGCGGAGCCAGAAGCAGGCCAGAAGTATAAAGATCAGACAGATACGTGTACTACCCATCATTCCCATGCTCGCTGAAGCGCCGTGCGTTGCAGCTCCCATAGACACCAGCGCCAGAGTTCCCTCTAGTGTATATTGCCACGTTCCATTTCCCAATTTTTTGTTATCGTCCCAAAACACCACACGATTCTCAGCGCTAATCGCGCCTGCAGTTTTCGAGAAGGTTCCGGACTGTAGTAGATCATTTCGATAAGATCACGCCCACTGTGTGAATGGTACAGATTTTTCTGGAACCTTTTTGTATTATTGTTGTATCGTAATTTATTCATTGTACTTTCTTGCATTATTATTGTACCTTCATCTTTAGTTAAAGCATCGGGACGATGCCTTTTTCAGAGGGGGGCAATGCCACGTTCCATTTTCCAATTTTTTGTTATCGTCCCAAAACACCACACAATTCTCAGCGCAAACCGCGCCTGCAGTTTTTGAGAAGGTTTCGGACAGTAGTAGATCATTTCGATAAGATCACGCCCACTGTGCAAACGGTACAGATTGTTCTGGAACCTATGCCACCGCCAGCGATAACACTAGAACATTCGACGGCAAGAGTATAAATGGCGACGTGCTTCGCCGCTTGTCAGTTGTTGATCGAAGGCCGATGCTCCGTTCGCCGCTATCAGTCCGAGACAGCTATCTGTGCGAGACTGCTGCTGTAATTGGACTTTCCGTTTACCGGGCACAGGTTCGCCCAAATACACAGTTTAATCCCAACACGAAGTCTCCTGTCTTCGGCCACGTCACGACCCCGTGACAATATTAGGAAACTATGCCTGTGAGGGCCTTTAGGGGTGACACAAATTACTTCATTTTGACCACGTTGGGGACATCACACAGTACACAGGCTTCTCGCATTTCGCCTTCATGGAAATGTTACCGCCACATCCGGGATCGAACTAGAGTCTTTTGGGTGGGCTGCCAAGCACTGTAACTACTGTACCGTAACTGCTGTGCACAACCTTGCAGTTGCGGCATATGCCCACGCATGACTGTCTTTGCCCCGCATTTTTTACGACTTCATTGCTGAACCTCTGTGACTTTGCTAAACTGGACCTGCATTATTTTCTCACTTGTTGTGACTAATAATGCTTGGTTCGGGCATGCCACGCATCCGTGACAGACCTGAAGCATTTCTTTGGTGAGGCTGCCCATGCAGTGGAACGAAAATTCTGTTACAGAATCGGAGTCTAGATTTTAGTCATTCTGTACATCAGTGCAGATATGTTCTTTGTATCCTCTGACGTATAATCTCCTTCTGAAATAGCCCGTTTATGATGCATAGGAAAGGCCTAGCCTTTCTTACGTACTTCTTTCAAATCCTTCCACCCTACCTTGCTTTCGCTCCAACTTTTGCTGTCCCAAATTGAATTTCTTGACTAGCTAAGCCGAGTTCGAGACAATCAGCACATCTTGAGCCTATTAACCGAGAACTTTAGAGATTCGTGCGCTCTTATTCACCTCCCAGGTGTCCCTGGCGGTCAAAGACAAGACCCAGCTAGCCTCCTGCCTTCCTGGTGATCGCTGGGCAGCGCATGCACCACCTGCTCTTCATGAACGATGCCCACCGACCCAGCCAGATGGCACTGCTGTCTCCCCACGTCAGCACTTGGATTCTGTCCCTGGTGTGTCCCATGGTCGCCTGGTCACCGGCGATCATTGCAGCTTTGTGCGAGACATCAGTGCTCGCGAGAAAGGCGCAGCCAAGGAACTGAAATAACTGGGCCCGTACAGTAACGGCGCATCTATGCAAACACTCGTTAATTTGAAAAACCAGATGATTCGAACAGGGTTCTCTGATCCCGCCCACGCATGCGTTGTTTAATGACGTCAAAACTTTTCATTCGATCGTATTCGGACGTCACTTGGTAAATTCAAACGTCCCTCGAAGCGCGCTGAGCACGAAGCACTGCAAATACACGATGCAAAGATTGTAAAGCGACATTCACCCAATGCCGAAATGGCTGCAGGCTTTAAGAAAGTCATGGTAGCAAGGGATTGGCTTAGAGCGTGTTTTGGATTGACCACATTCACATAATGTAGTCGTCACCAATGAGGAAAATTGGGACTTTTGCCCTGCTCTTGTGCAAAATAATGACCGCATTTACTAATCCTTCCAAAAAAAATGAAGGTGCATTGATGAAATAGACATTTATTCATAATTTTCTTGATAATTTTGATAATTTGTCATTTGGTTTATTTGAACTGTTTTTCCAATCTTATAAAATTCAAATTAACATGCTTTTAGTGTACAAACCAGAAGAGTGATACTTTTCATATGTTCATGTTTAGCAGTTAAGGGCAAGGTTATAAAACCTCTACAAGATATCAATTTTGGTGACGCATTCCTGGCACCAGGTAGACCAGAAACTGGTCATCGAGAATTCTAGACTTCGATGTCAGCGTAATCGCACATTCTTGACTCCAGCAAGTGTATGAAAGAGTGGAAGTCAATCATGTACCTTGCAGTTGCATTGACATTGGCTACATCATTAATGTATGAAATGGACACCAGAGAGAGAAAGCAGCTTTCTCGTATTAGTAAATTACTCTCTCGCAATACTTAAAGGCATGTTTGCTGTAAAAAGGTGCATGGTAAGCAAGAAAACACACAAACGAGAAATGCTGGTGGCCACACCACGTTGATGGTTTCGCACCAGTTAACATGAATTCTTAAATTCTGATGGCTTCTACTATCCATCAAAATTCTTAATCGGTTAAAATGAGGTGCATTTATTTCTGAGTGACGTTCCTAGTTTCAGGAAATTTCAGTAAGCCAATATGGCCAAAATATGAAAGAACGCTTTGAAATCAACGACATCACCGTTGGATAGTTGGAATGGGAGTTTTGGAAGTCATACACTTTTCCAAGTAGCCATGAAATGGATTCAGTAAAGGAGCTTATTGCCTCGCGAATTCACCACCGCAAAAATTTTCGTAATTCGTCCTGTACGAACGGAGTCGCAAACATTTGTCACACTCTGCAATTGCATTCTCTCTTCTCTCGTCCCGAGGAAAGCGCTCGAAGCTAAGCTGGGAGGGATGGCACGAGAAAAGAAAATGCGTCACGCCTGCCTCGTGACCTTGAGAACTTTCTCTCTTTTTTTTTCTTTCTTCAAATGTGCGCCTTGTCAGTGCAATCACGCGCGCCCATGTGAACAAGTCGCGGCCTCCCATGGCGGGCCGAGCAACGATCATGCGCGCCATGCTCCAATCGGCCACTAACTGATACAACGGCTGCGACGAGTGATTTCTGAGCTTGTTCCGTCATTTGTCGAGAAAAGTGAAATTAATTTTGTGCTGACTGAGAATTTATAGTGAATTCCAGTCCCGCTTGCTGCGCCACAATATTTCACTCGCGCGCTCTCGGCTGTCTCGAATACCAATCTGCAGCATTTTCCGACCATGCTCAAAAAGTGTTGCCTGGCCCTTCAATAAGCTTATGGTGGTCAAATTAGCAACACGGAAGTTTTCAGAGCGTAATTTATAAGTCTAAACTGGTTTATTGTTTCAGTTTAGTGTGCCTTTATTATAAGAAGATACGGTCTTGGTGCGGACTCTTGTGATATGAAATGCTGATGTCATATAAAAAGTACAAGTGCACAAATAGCAACGGTGTGAGTGTAAAGACTGTACTGCATTTATTGTAATGCGAGAGCTGATTTATGACTTAGTCCAGCGAGGAAACATTGTTATTTTGGTATTCAGCTGTAATGCGATGGTTGGCTTTAGGTAGCGAAGATCCATAAAAAAAACTGGTATTGCATTAGATAAATGCGATATGTTATCATCCATTTTTGAGATTTTCCAAGTTTTAACCTTCGATTGGCATGTTCATTTTCAGGACCCAAGCAACCTGCGTTGCTGCAATCCGCCAATGGTGCAAACAGTGAACCTCCTTCAGAACATTGTCAGCATGCTTCCCGAAGACCACTCCGAGCACCGACTGGCGTTGTCCCTGTTAGATGTCTTGGAATCCCTGCCCGAACCATCCTAGCCTCAGTCCGAGGATGCCTAGGAACAACGTTTGTGATATGGGTTCGCACTTTTGTGGCCGGCTCACCGTTCAGATGGTTCCTCTGCGAAACCGAAGTTGAGTCGCAGCATTGTGACTCAACTCAGGTGTGAACGGCTCAATGTTCAGATGCTTCCTCTACGAAACTGAGGCCGAGTCGCAGCGCTGTGACTCAATGCAGCGATGGCTGACTGACCTGAAAGTGAATGCGCGCGTCTCAACCTTCAGATGGTTCATCGACGAAACTGAGGTTGAGTCGCAGCACTGTGACTCAATGCAGTGATGGTTGACTGACCTGATAGCTCACACACGGTGCTTTTGACGACTGAAATTCCGGAAGGTGGATTCCTGATAGATGACTTATTCAGCATTATTTTGGACAGCTTTACCCTCAACGTGCATCACCGATAAGTTGTCTGCTTTGACAATGGCTGTCTGAAAGCGATGTGTGTTCGTTAAATCCTTTGTTACTTTCAGCACACATAAATGCACCTCTTAAAGTTTTGTACAGCTGAACTATGATACTGCGAACTCGAAGGAAATTCCTAGCTAGGTCTTTGTGTTGGTAATCCAATTAGATGTAAAAATGCTGTATGTTGTACGCTTCAGTGCATAGATGTTCTTACCGCTCTGAAGCATATTAAGCAATTATCAATAAGAGCTCTTTTGTACAAGCCATCTCTAATATGAGATTTATATGTGCTCATTTCTCCACCTTGCCTTGCAACTTTCTTCTGATTTAATGTCTTGTCTCACAGCATCTACCGAACGGTTCGTTATCATGGCTTCAAGGATTTTCTGTGACGAAAAAAGCGACTTCAGTATTTTATTATGAGAGGCACATTCGTACTGAAGGGATATTGAAAGTTGTGACTTATTTTTTGCGTGTGTGAGACCGTAGCATTACGTCCAGACGTAATGGTGATGATAGCCATGGTTAAAATGAGCATTTCAGCAAATAAATGCAGTACATTAGGCACATTTTTTATATGTTTGGTGTAGGCTTGTGCAAATGGGGAATTTTAGGTTTGTAGCAAAATCGAAGGGAATATCAATTTGGTATGAATAATTTCGAATCGAACTGAAATGGCATGTACTATTACATATTATAAAAAAAATAGCATATTTGTCATGATCCAACTAACCATGCACAATATTTTTAGAAATTGAAACAAGGCATGTGAAAATGTTATTCTTTTTGGTTTAAAGAAGTGGAAGCAATGTTGAACAGTAGCAGGATTTGACTTTCAGTAGAACGCAAGTGATAACCTGTAAACCTCGCTAGGTTTTAAAGTTTATTATACTTGGAGCATGTGAGCTAGTGTAACAAGCTTTTCAAATTATAAAAATTGGCCGCGTATCAGCTCGCTTCGCTGCAATGTTGTCGAAAGACTATAGTCTTCTGCCGGCCATACTCCATGAGTCCTGGTCCCACCCGTGGCCACCCATGATGCTGTTCTCATACCATTTCCGTCCTGCCAGGTGGCAGCATCGTATCGCTGACATAGGGCTTTTTCGTGCATAGCGTCTCGTTGGGAGCACAGCGTAAGAAACACTAGGGCCTTCAGAGTTGCATATCTATGCATTTTCTAGTAAATGAAGGTGTATATTTAAGGGCTCATTTTCTTTGTTAGACACAATAATAATGAGAACTAACAGACAATAATGCCAGGGAACTATACGGGGTTGTTATTAGAAGTAATTGTAATGTAAATTGGAGGAAAGGAAAGTGGACAAAAAGATAACTCGGCATTGGCGGGATTCGAACCTGCGACCTCCGAATAACGCAGCCCATTGAGCCACTGAGGTACAGTGCCGATCATTCTTCTGTCTACTTTATGGGGTATGTATATGCATTTAAACATGTTAGCATCATTCGGTGCCACCTGTTGCCTTTACAGGGAGCGTGGAACTTTCTTTCTGGCCTGTTTGGCCAAACAGGTTAAAAAACACGAGAGTGGCTCTCAGTGTTTACGAAAATATTCAATTATAAATTAGGTGCTCAACCTATTGCGATGAAATTTTGCCAGCTTATTTGTGAATGCACAACGATTGACCCACACAAGGTGGATTATGACCGAAAATTGAGTGCCATGACCCCTCTAAGGCAGCCGTAATTTGTGCATCCAATCTCGTGTGGCCTGCCATGTGTGACCTATTGATTGAGATCCTATCGGGTGTGGGTATCCTGTTGGGTATCTGGTAAGGGTGTGGCAAATACTATTTGGGTATGTGCCACAGAAATTGGGTGAATCTCTCTAATCCTCACTGATCCGCAAAAAAGAAAGAAGACAAGAGTTATCCCAACCCTAGGGAACTGGAAAGGCGATGGAGGACTCTGAAGCGATAAAAGGCCTGCGCCAGCCACAACATGCCCGTAGACCTACAAGACGTAATCACACCTCGTTTCAGTGCGGGTTTCTGTCTCTGAAGTTTGAATACCCACGTCATGTCTAAGACTTTCTCTGGTTTAACTCGAACCTCTCAGAGTTGAATATCAACGTTGAAATAACCAAGAATCACTTAGCTAAAGTTAGCAACGACCTAGAAGCAATCTGGAAACCACTCTCATCACCCAGCTAAGGGCAAGAAACAAATTAAAATTCTTTATTTTCTGCCTTACAGTGGTACGGAGAGTGGAGGCACAGAGAAAGCAGTCAGAAACAGCTTGACAGAGCCGCAGCACACTTTTCCTTGGCCTTCACAGGCAAGGCTTGTTAAATATCAGTATCGACATAGTGTAATGACAAATATAGAATAATCAATAAATAAAACCAAACAAAATAGGCTATACAGTATAGTATAGATAATGTTCACATTTGATACACACAAGTATGGCTGCCAAAAATATCTACATAACATGCTAAGCACTGCTTGACGAACTGAAGAGATCAGAACTGTTATGTGCGTACGAATTTAGGAGGGAAGGAAGAGTGAATCGCAGACATTGTATACCCGATTTTATTCTGGGTGTTGGCACAACCCAAGTCTTTTATGCCTTGGGTTGTGCGAAAGAAAACTAGAAGCAATCATATTAGTCTTCAGAACCATCCGGCTTTGTCGTGTCAAGCTTTGCGCATCCTTTGTGCAAGCTACAATACTTTTGGCCTTTGTTTTGTTATATCAATGTTTAACACTTCCACTAATAAAGAACCATAGTCCCATTAGGAAATACAGTGGAAGGCACACCAGCATTTGTCACAAATGAATGAACGTATCAGAGTGCTTGACTTTTGGACGAAATTTTCTAGGAGGTGTCTTCATCTCTTCTATATGCCCAGCTATTCAACACATTACCGGGTTCAATGGGTCTAGGTTCAACTGTATAAAAGCTTACATCTTATTCTATAAAATGTATAAATTTGTCGCCTATAGTGTTTCAGTTAACGAGTGTTGCTTCAAAATGTGAATCACCTAGAAGCAGTCGCTACCCTGACGAAGAGAAGTACCCTTGTCAAAAGTTGGCTTCAGCGACATTCCTAGTTCGACTTCTCCTCATTTCAAGCGGCCTGTACGTCAAAATGAAGCTAAGGGTCATAGCTCACTTGCATTGATCCGTAGCTCTCTTTTTCAAACAGCATCTGAGAATCCTCAGTAGCCTTTGTTATCATATCAAGATCGTATCTTTTTTGTTATCACTGTTACCACTTTACAAGTGGCTGCTACATTTTAGACCTGCCTTAGTTAACACTTATCTGGTCATGCCGCTCGTTTATAGTCAGCTGCCTCGACCAATGTGTTGTCATCTAAGAACTTGCACTAGCCTACTTCAATGCATGATGTGGCATATGTACATACAGCTTCGGGTCGATAAGTGCTTTTGACAATGCTCGTGTTGACGGCAACGAAGCTTCATTTTACATGCCAGGGTGCCACGATAGTCGCATCATGGCTGATGTGCTAAGTCATTGCTCGTCGGCATCATTTTTTCAGAGCCAGTGATATGTACCCTCCTAGTCTCTCGTATGCCTAGCTTTGGTCTGCTTGCAAAACAGGGAACAGTGATTGTAATGAGTCATAGCGCCATGTCATAGTGTCCAAACAAGACGTTTCGTCGCGCGCATGAAACAACTTTTTTTAGCTGTCTTTAAGAGCCGAAACAGAGTGTAGAAGTTTAAGTGCGAATAGCTACTGAAGGAAATATACATAGATTAAATGAACATGTGCGTGTTACAACATTGAAATCTCTTCATCTGAATCGATCGATAATTCACATTGTACAGCTGGTCTTTGCAAAGTTGAAAGCTTTTGAACAGGAAAATACAGAAAAAGTGCAACTTGATATCTACTGATGGTTCAATTTGAATTAATTTTCTGTTTTAATTTGCAGTTGCTATAAGCTTCACCCACAAAATAGCAGTTTAGCTGCCACCTTCGTTTGAAAGTTGTACCAACGAGTGCTCATTTGAAGCGCAAGGAGTGTCTCTCTGCTAATATGTTCGCACATTGAAAAGTAATACCACTGTCACACGAGCGGTTGGAAGCATTTTAAGAAAGAACACCTCTTTTGAAAAAGAATTTTGCATGCAGACTAATAAAAGAGTGATACCTATGTTTCAGAAGTGGTCTTTTCTAAAAACAGAGCTCATCTATTTATTTTGTGGTCGTAAAAGAGTAGCCTGAAAACAAGTGAGCAGCAGTGATTATGAATTGATGAAATGAATGGGCAAATGTTTCTTGTTCTGTCACTTAGACTCATTGTAAAAATAAATTTATCATGTCATAAAAAGAGTCATTAACCCTCTAAAGCATATCTTCTTGTGTACAATCGTAAACAGGTCAAATGGGTTGGAAATACCACATGACGACGTTTTGTGTGTCGCATGCATGAGTGGAAGAAGCGTGGCGCCGTACATGTATGACCATGCCAATGACCAAACAGCTCTGGGTCAATGCCTCCTTAGTTTCTTTCAAGGCCAGTACAAACGCACGCTTCTCAACGTGAGCCGTCGGTCCGCCTTAGTTCAGGGAGTGGTCGTGATGCGAAGCTACATGATGGATAGCGCCTCTTGCGTCACACGTGCGTCTGAGCGTTCTGCCCTGGAAATGCGATAGATGTGTTTCCCACTCCAATATCATACGTCTGTCATATTTGTTCCTTCACGCTCCTTCTTTCTGGCTAAAAGTGATGCCGCCACTGCTTGAGAGCGCAGCGCATGCGGTGGCATTGCAGTGACACTTCCCTATTGGTTGCCTGTATAGTGCCACGAACATCGACACACTACTTCAAAACGCCATATTTTTTACAGAGCCAGCATGAATCACCAATATGAACACGAAGAATGCAAGACACCGCCACACGGATCTGTACACAACTAAAGAAAAAAAGTACTACACATGATTATAGCTGTGAGGCACTGCATGAGGGGGTTCTCTACGTCGTAATGGCAAAACAAACCCGACGACTAGGCAATGGGCGAGAGCAGAAAAGGGCTAGAGGAGCGGGCGGTGAATGGCTGGATCGGTTGCAAATGGCTGGCATTGATAAAATAGAGGAGGCGTTGTCCAAGGTCACACAAAAAGCAACAACTTGAGTGGTCGAGGAGGAACACCGGGACTTCATATGCTGAAACTCGCAATTTCATTTTGGCTGATTCTCTTTTGAAAGCTAGCATCGCCCTTTCAGCAGTGCATTCATAAGAAAAACACTAAAATAAATAGTTGGTGCCACGTGTCTGCGAGGCAGTACCTCTTCATTATAGGTCTTTAATCTGCATGAAAGACTATGTAAAAGAGTTTTTGCGTGCTCATGCAACAAGGTATGCGTATTTGTTTTTTTCTGACTGAAATATTATTTTTAACTGAGTATGGATGTCAGAATCTCTGCCAAAATTCAGGATATTCGAGATTTCTGTTTACGAACAGTGGCACAAGTAAGTATTCATTTGGCAAAAGTTCGAGCATCCAGGCATGCAGAAGTGCTTGATTTCGCAGAAATGCGTGAATGTAATTTCATCAACTTGTGGAGAAGTGTGGAAAAGTTTATCATTTGTTGGAACGTCTTAGCACTCGCCTATAGTAGGCTACACAGCACTCTTAATTGTTAACTATTTGATACAAACATACACATTTTTTTTGCGTGGGGTGGCTCAGGTGACTGTGGGTGAAGCTTATAAATATTCTCATGGTTTCATACAATTATAGGCTTTATTTTAGCTTGCATTTTACCAATAATGGCAATGTCAGAAGCGCTTTTAATGAAGTAACATGGTTTCTATTTTTTTTCTGCATTCACAAGTATGTAATGATGCTTACATTAACATGCATTACTGCACAAATTGCAGGCCTCTGTCTGGGTCTGCTCACACTGCTTGGGCTGCATACCTGTGCATGTTCTCAGGTCTACACATGCAGTACCGCACATTTCGGAGACATGGTCTGCACACACTGCTCGGGCTGCATACCTGTGCATGTACTCGGGTCTACACATGCAGTTCGGTGCATGTGGCAGACCTGGTCTGCACAGACTGCTCGGGCTGTATACCTGTGCATGTGCTCGGGTCTACACATGCAGTACCGCGAATGTTGCAGGCCTGGTGTGCACTCACTGCTTGGGCTGCATACCTGTGTATGTGCTCAGGTCTATACATGCAGTTCCGTGCATGTGGCAGACCTGGTCTGCACAAACTGCTCGGGCTGCACACCTGTGCATTCGCTCAGTTCTACACATGTAGTACCACACGTTGGAGACCTGGTGTGCACACGCTGCTCGGGCTGCATACCCGTGCAAGTGCCCCAGTCAACACATGCAGTACTCCACATCTTGCAGACATGGTCTGTACACACTGCTCAGGTCGCATACCTGTGCATGCGACTCGAGCAGTTTGTGCAGACCATGTGCACCCTCCGAGCAGTATGTGTACCAGTCACTAGTGGCATCTACCACACATGTTGACGCCATCGCTGTAACTCGAAGAGTGAGGGTCAGGGCATGGAACCCCGCCTCTGTTCAAGCTGCTAATTAATAAGTGATGAATACCTGTACATGTGTCAACGTCTACACATGCAGTACTGCACAGGGAAACTACATTCAGTTCTACCAAATTTCTGTCTCCTTGTAGTTCGAATTGATAAGTTTGCATTGCCAATGCCAAAAGCACTCATAATGGTAACGGTGTGTCTGTTTTTCTTCCACATTATTTTCACCCTCTAAGGGTGCTGCTGAACCTTCTTTCAATTTGTCTACAAATATATATTGCACTACGTTCGCACTTGGTGTTGTTGAAACTGATTGTCAGCCTGTGGTTTCTCATTTGAAAATTCTGCATAGCTTTTGGGTTGTTATTTTTGTGTCAGCAGCAAGTTTATACATAGCACTAATGTAAGTTTCATGCATTGCAAGAGAGCATGTTTTAAGTCATTCACACATTGTTCTTCTTGACAGGTGCCATCTAGAAAAAAAAAACTCTGTAAGAGCAGACTAGTGTTTAGTCTATCACATTGTGTGTAGAAGGTTGTTTTGAAGATGAGCAGTCTTTGTCAAAAGTTTAGAGAACATTTTAGAGTCTAGTGCTTTGACCTTGTTAGCCTCATGTTTGGAGCGTCTGGAGTTCCACAGTGGCTTTATAAACTTTTAACAAAAACTGTACAGCATTTGATGGCCATAATATTGACTTAGCATTTAGTGTCTCTTGATTTTAATTTTCAGGAATTCATTTGCAAAAGCAGAATTATTTATGGTAAAGCGTACACACAGCTAAAGTGAGCTGACTTTTTTTTTTTGCTCAGAATGCACAACTATTTTGGAAGGGAAACAATTTTTATTCTCTTGCACGCACACAGAGTTTGTTTGTAATTACAAAAGCCTAGGGCCAATTCTTTGTCTATGTCCGTGACTTGGTCTGGATTTTGTCTTCTTGTTCTGTAAGGAAAAATAAATGTACAAAGTGGTTTTTGAATTTATACATACACATCAATCACAATCAAACTTTATTACAACCAAGTCAAAGGTGCTTTTAATACATTCACCTTTGGTTTAGTCATGCATTATTGGCAAGAAAAAAAGTCTGCAAGTTTGTGATTTAATCTGTTCTGTAAAATAGCTTTCTGTATTCCAGTTCTCTTACAGCACTAGATCCAACGTCTTCTCACTGAGTGAGATGTTGAGGCTGGTGCTACAGTTTGTGCCATCGCTGGTGCAACAGTTTGTGGCAAGTTACTAATTCATTTTTACCAACGTCCCTGTTAAGTGACAGTAATGCTTGTTTTCAGTATATAGTGCCCATTATATAGCAATGCACATTCTTCGCACTGCTATTTTTATAAACAAAGTGTGCTTACCTTCTGCATTGGCATTGCCTTTGAGGGCATCCCACTTGAAGTGCAAACGCTGGTAAACCTCCTCGCACCTCTTGCACAGGCAGCCTTGCTCACTGGAGATGTTGCGTCGACACCGCTCGCAGACGGCCATCTTTGTGGGTTCAAGCGCGATCAGCACCTTTTCATCCTCTGTGAAAAGTAACACAATAGATAATGACACGTTGTCGTGATGGTTGCAAACATGGCAGCCAAACAGTACCAAGAGTGCCATGTGTCGCTTGTTGGTGTAAGGTGCCGAGTTGCATTAGGTCTTGCAAAATAGCTGTGTCCATAAAATTTATCACTAGTGATTGACAAGTCAATCACAGGTGAGTCAGTACTCAAATACTACTGAATCACTAGTGATCACTAGTCAGTATTCATTGCCATGATAAAGTTCAAGGTTTGTCTGATGTCTACATCTTCTCACTAAGAAAAGCTCTGCTCTTCAAAATAATGCTTTGTGGAGTGTGCTTTAGTAACTTGAATGACAACAGACAACTTCAACATCGGCATATAGATATGAAACTGTCAATAAGCAATCGTTGTCAATAGGCTAACCTGTTTCCAAGATCACAGCCCTGTCCGAACCCGCTTGCACTGTCGGGTCATCGGCTTGTTCGAAAGTGACCGAAGCCACTTGCAGCACATCCGTGAGCCCGGAGTGAATGGCCGAGTCTTCTGGCTGAAGGAGCTGCAGTGAACAAGCAGTGTGGTAAACTCGTGGATTTTGTTTTGTTTTCTGAACAACTGTGCTTTCACTATTTTAGGCGAACAGCACGGGAGAGATGAAGTACAGTGCACCTGACATCAGTCACTTCCGGCTGTGAAGTTTGTGACTACAACTGCAAAAGCGCAGCTGAGGCACGGAGGAAGCATTTACTTTAACAGGCAGAAACGTTCAGTGCTAGTGTTAAACATCCACTTATGTAATTTTGTCAACAAAGGTACAGTTGAACCCCATTATAAGAGGCATGCTCCATGCAGCAATTCTTGTCTTTTATTCTAAATGTCTCCTATAAGCAGGGAACCTCGTATGTATTTTCTTATAACCCTGTATTTTATCAAAGGCATACTGGCATCTCTTATATTAGTTTCTCTTATAAAGGGGTTCGACTGTATAACTCCTTTGTTTACCGCAACCACACTAGGGCTGCTGCAAGAGCGGGTATCATGCTTCGATGCATGATATATATGGAAGTCATGCTATAGTGATGCACAAACATCTCTGTGTAAAAAATTCCAGAGTTCAAATAAGTTGGTTATAGTCTGATAATCTAATGTATAATCTGATATTAAGTATTGTTGAGGTTAAACATCTCAAAACTACGCAAACATTATGAGACACCCTAGTGGAGGGCCTCTGAAGGTTCAACCACATGGATTTCTTTGATGTGTGCCTTAATCTGAGTAAGGTACTCATGCACTGAAACAGGTTAATTTAGGATTAAGTTATGCACGTACTTTTGCTACCGCCGTCTCCACTTTGGGTCATATCGGCGGGATATCAACTCAAACGCATAGATTAGAGCCAACGTTGCCTTCAGAAACAAGCTTCGTCGCAACAAGACGTGGTTAGCTCGAGCAAGCGCACACACCGGTCATCATACTAAAGAAAAAATTTGATGTCGCATTTGAATCTATGAATTGTATACATGTACACAGGCATTGAGCATTTTCGCCTCCATCAAAAATGTGGCCGTCGCAGCCGGGAATCAATCTCGCCTCCTTCGGGTCAGCACTTTACCACCATAACTGCTAGATCACAGTGGTGGGTTACATAGTATGAAACATAAATTTTTAATTTGTGAGAACTGTCGTTACGAGATGTATCAGCCAACTTGATGGTTATGTCTATAAAAATAAGGTGTTACAGTGTTAAGTTCAAAGCTTTTAGGGTGGTAACACGTTGACAGTGGGGGAGGCTAAATGGATGACAGAAAATATCTGCCATATATTAAAAATATAAAACATACGGCCTTAGTCTGAGCAGACTTCGTTTAGTGAATATTGTATTTTTGAAACTAGTTCCGTTCCATATATGTGTGTTCAAGTACGCATATCTCCTCAGAATTTCGGTCTCTACACTATGGCTGTTGGCCATTATAGACGATTGTCACAGCAGTACAGGCATGCTAAAACTCTAGTTCACTGTAAATGCAGGACTTGAGAGAGAACTCACTCTGAGGCAGCTGGCAAAGCGACTGTCCCTACTGGTAGAGATGATCCTGACGTCGTGCAACAATGGCCGGGACTTGGCGGCGGCTTTGTTCACGGCTTCCCTCAACCTCGCTAGTGGCTTCTCTAGCTGGGCAAACTCCAGCCTTTCCCAGTCGTGTGGAGGTGGTTGCCACGCACGCCGAAAAATGCCAGTGTCGTCTGCTCGGAAGAGAGGCAAAAATAAGTGGGGCGAGGAAAATTGGACACTTTCACACAGATGCCTCAACGTTTCAGATAAGGTACTACAGCCAAAGCTAGTGTAGGAAGTGAGAGATGAGGCAGAAGGTGATGCTAAATTTCACAATATAAATGACGAAACCTATTTGCTTGGGCAGTTGCGATGTTCTGAACAGTAACAACAAATGAAACCGTTTATTTGTTTCAAATATTTACAGACACTACTGCCCTATGCTGGGACTGCAGGGGAATGGTAAATTAGCTCAAGCAATACAAATACAAGTAAACAATTTCAAAGCAGGTAACATATGAAGTGAAAATAAGGAAAAAGATTATTTTTAAATGCACAAGTCAAAAAGGCCACAGTGCAAGACACTTAGCAATCCAGAGTAAGGCATTGACAGCTGTATAAATAATCAGGTTTTGCTATTTCCAAGGTGTAAAGCATATTCATTTAATACTCAGCCTAAGAACAAAAAAAAAAAAGAAGTAAAGTACAGTAGGTAAATTCATTAAACTATTTCTTTGCTCCAATGTATCTAATTCAAGAAGTCTTGCTAGCTTCCACAGCACTGCACCTGATGTACGAAACGGATTATAGGCACCTTGAATGTATGAAATGTTTTGAGGACTTGCATTTGCCAGGGTCTCCATGGTAGTAGAAGACTTCTTCCCCGAGGTGCGGAATGATTGGAGCAGTAACATTCACCAGCACGTCGAGGACGTGACTCAAGGCTGTCTGGCAGGACCTACGACTCGTGGAATCCTCCGCATCGCAGTAAAGCCTGTTCATGCAGAATGGCAGCCACAGAAGGTCGCAGTAGGAATTACGGTTGCGTCTCTCATGCACGGCGGCGAGGTAAAAGATTGTGCACGGCCAAGGTCATCACGCCACTCGACCATTTTGACGTTTTCTTAATGTCAAGTGACGCTTACCTGTCCTTTACAGCTTGGAAGTAGAAAGACGATGTTTCGTTCACGACAAAGTTCAGCACTGCAGAACAGGCATGGTTGTACCTCATTTCATCATAGAGTGATGTGACCTACAAAAGAGGATGCAGTAAAGTTTGTACAGTGTATTACATGCGCTCTATTTGGAGCCGTAACGTGCAGGGTCACTCGCTAATAGACACCATGGTTCACTCTTAACTGAAACAAAATGTACCTGTTTTCGCTTTGGTTTGTAAAATAGTACTATTTAACACACAAATAAAATGAGAATGGCAGTATTATGTGCTATGCTTTCCACATGGGAGTTATATATGTCAACATCATCGTTGAAGTGAATTTTCTTGGATGAAAAAACAGATTGAAGCATTTGTGGTGGGAGTTTATTTAGCATGAAACAACATTAACATCGCGCAAGTTTGGCTACAGCTCAACAACAGTACAGCGGGTAGTGACCGAGAGAGGAAACGTCATTACAGACTAATTTAATACAGAAATAGGAAGTCGTTATATTGATGCTTCACTTCTTACGGATCAGCGTTTCACACGTTGCCACAAATGCACCACCCGAGAGACCAAGCATAGAGGGCACAAACAAGACATCGTTTCAGGCATTTTCAATTTCGTTATGTTGCCATAACTGGCAGAAAACGGAAGTAGCAAAACGAGCAAAGCATGCAAAGCCTTACACGAGCGTGAAATCCGTGTAGGAGGTGGAGCACGAACCGGTCCAACGGGAGCATTTCTCGGTACCCCAAGACGTGATGCGTGTGATCAAAGTCGGATAGGGCACCCAGGCAGAACCTCAGAGTGCCCCTTATCTGTCGATGCGAAAAGATGCATAAGTAAATGGGGGTGAATGTCCACTACCATAGCATAAGCTTACTGGCCACAGTACGTTACTGGAAGTTCATAAAATAGCAGAAAAGAAGATGCAAATGCCTTAGTAAAAGCAGAAACCAATTCGTTGTTCTGAGAAATGCACAGACACTTTGCAAGAAGTAACAATCTATGCATGAAGACCTTCCTTTATACAGAATCATCACGGGTAAATTTGGGCGTGTGCTGCCGCCATTAATGGCATGCTAAGTCTTAACTAAAAGGTGAATTTCTTAACTCACACGCGTAAGCAAAACTCTGTTACGGAGGAGTCTGCTTTACAACCTCTGCCATTCAGTGTAATAACAGGTGCTGTTTGACCTGTGAACGAACATTTATGCTCGGCACATGACACAGTAGCACATGCATCATTTTCCCCCAACTATTTTGCTCTGCGACTGCCACACGTCGTAAGCTATTGAAAAGACGAATCTCGTAATAATAGTCTCCTTCTGGCATAAAAATAGCGTTGCTAAAATCAATAAATCCCGACAAGCTTATACCTGTGACACCATTTTAATGGCAAGAACAGATTTGATTGGCTTAGTTAAAACCAATATGTACTTCATTGTGTCAGTTCCGTTATTGAACTGTATTTTCTCAATGTCCAGACAACTGTTTTCACCACTGCCTTCTCTTGAAGCAGCACGGACAATTTAATATACTCTTCCTTCTCCACCACCGAGTGACTTTTCGCCTGATGGTTTACATTTGCATTATTCTTTTTGTGCGACGCTTGAAGTAACTCGCAACTCCAGTAACTTTCTGCACCTTCAATTGTTCTAAATGGCTGATAATGTACTAACCCTATGAAGCAATGACAAGAAGCAAGCTGTTCATCAAATATCTGCACAAGAGAGAGCTAGCAGATATACACTTCCCTTGTGTGCTCTGCGCTATAGTAATGAAAAAAATCTGTTAACGTGGGTTGTGTGCTTCAGCTGACATTTTGAGCACACAAAGCCTCTTTATAAAATTTTTCATTGCAAGCTTCTATCTTCCTTTTTTCGTGGTTTATATACAATACTATAGAAGCTTCATTTAATGGAAGCATTTGCTTTCACTTTGACATCCGTAACAGAGTGCTTCGCAATAATTTCGATGTGTCTTTTTACCTCTCGTCGCTGGAAAAAAGAAAGGGCAGGAAAGTGAAAACACTGGTGTGCCAGACAAGTAGCACAATTTCTGGTGTTTTGATTCATACTTTGGCGACGTTTTCTTGGCACTCTGCTAGGACGTGCTTGGCGACGGGAACGTTTTCGTGATTGCTTCGTGTGAGCGGCAACCCACCACCGAAGGACGTCAACACCAAAGGCAGGGTCCTTTTTGAGATCCTGAAAACGGGCAATGAAAACGACAGCCCTCAATGTAAGTGGCAAAGAATAAGTATTTCGCCTATCCAGTTGATTTCATAAATAATTACCTCTACATGTACTGAAGCTTGGTTAGCTAGTGCGCTACATTCACAAAAATGAATTCGAATTGAATTTTTATTTACATATATAAAAAGTTTACATTAGTTTAATATTATTCAGGTAATCAATTTTTAATTTATTACGGTTCTACTTCTTGCATTTGCAAAGGACTTGGCAAATATATACAGTGTCGTAATTGCAGGATTTGTTTTTCTTTTTGTCTTGCAGAAAGTTACATTAGGGCACTCATTCAACTTTAAGATTTTAACTTTCTTAGCTACACAGCCACAAAAAACTAAGCTGTTTAGAAGAGAAAGTGCCCATGTAATTCTGAGCATTGTCTCTTCCATAATGTTGTCATTAAAGGAATACCGAACAGAATTTTCGCCGCCAATATTTGCAGCCAAATTGAGAGATTGGGCCATGAATTGATAGAGACAACCTTCGTTCCAGGCAGAAACTACGGCAAAATTATGAATTTGGTCCATTTTTCACAAACTGCTGCATCTAGCGGCTGCGCCGTGAACTACAGAAGTTGATGCTTAGCGACACACGCCCGAAACAGGCGCCCACACACAGCACAGCCCAAAACAGGGGAAGTGGCCAATGCCAGTCGTCGCTCGACCTCTTTCAACACCCACTTCGGTTCCCAAAACCGGTACGTACAGCAACAGCAGCGAACAGTGCTTCCGGCTGGGGTGAAGCATCAGCGCTTTTGTGGACGGGAAAGAGTGGGATGAAAGGAGAGGCGAAGAAAAAGAAGAGGAGGACAAGAACACGTGCACCCTGCATGCTCCTTCGGTAAGTGTGACGTCTAGTCACGGCTCGTACTCGCGAGCAGTCCACCGGACGCTGACAATCCATCAAAAATACAACCAGCTGTACAAAAGTACTGGGAAAATTAACTTCGTTTATCGGAACAGTGGCATTTTCTGGGTCCAATTTCAAAGTTCTGTCAGTTTTCCCAATCTTCGTTCAGTGTCCCTTTAGCATCACCGATGAGCTTTGCTAGCACAGTCGCTTTGCTCGTCTGGTTTTCATAGATGTTTGTGCTTGTGTATGTCGCCAATGCATTTGCTAAATCACTCATCCTGTGTTAACTGAACCAGAAGTGTTCAAGCTACACTCAAACCTATAACAACTTATACCTATTACAAAGTTGCATCTTGCACAAAAATAAGTTCGTTACGTCCGAAAATTCGTTATAAAAGTTTATTTCTAACCTATATGTATCGCAAGACTATATTTCTTTTACTTCGCTATAACCAATATTTTGTTATATTCGGGTTCGTTATATCGAGGTCTGAGAGTATTACGAGCCGGTCATAGTTCAAGTTGTTTATCAGCCAGGGCCACAGCAAACTCTCACCTTTCCACCCTTCGTTATCGTCTCGGGGTCGATGACATTCCCCAGTGACTTGGACATCTTGCGACCCTCAGCATCCAGAGTGAAGCCGTGCATGTACAATTTTCTGGGAAGTCCCCCGAGATCCATTTGGAAAAAAAGCAGCACTCAGCGTAACACGCAAACTTAATCTGCTGCCATAGTGCAGCAGTGTTTCTGATGGCAACGCTTTCCACGAGGTGATCTAGTGAACTGCCAAGATGTATTTTTTCAGCGACTAAGCTAGCATTCAGATATCAGTCATTTGCTTTAGTGTTGAAAGAATACTGAATGAAAATCAGCAAAACTGACGAAACTTGCACATTTACACTCAAACCTCATGGTAACAAACTTGTACCTTACACAAAAACAAGTTTGTTAAATTAAAAAATTCGTTATAAAGGAATATTCCTAACATTATAGCTATTGCAAGACTGTTCATCATTTACTTCATTATAACCAATGTTTTATTATATCCGGTTTCACTATATCGAGGTTGGAATGTATATAAACTCTCATAGATATGATTACCTGTAAGGTGCTTTTCCTGTAAGAGCTACACTCGTGAGCAGCGAAGACTGGAACCAGCCCCGAACTTGGTCGAGACCTTCCAGATAGACGTCTGCTTGGAAGGGTTCTGAAACAATAGCACCGCAGCATCGTTATGCCACAATAATTTGTATACGAATTGGTCACATATGAGATTTAACACTATAGAGACTATAGCGAGGCATCAACGCTTCTATATTGTTTTAACAGTTGGAATAGGTTGAATAATTTTTTGTTTGTTCAACTTGCCTGGAAGAACCATCTTCCAGCTGAGCCCACTGTCGAGCCAGATGTCCATAATGTCCTGGCCTCGTGTCAATGCAGCATCTTTGCAGACTCCAAGCTGACACAAAAAACACACATAGTTAAACTGAGTTCCAGTAAAGCCTTACAGGAGCGGATACACTTAGCAAGATGATAAGAATAATCGGCCACGTTTTATAACTCAGGTTAGCTACCGCAGCACATCGGCATAAGAAAAGCTACAAAACAAAACTTTGTGCCATGATTCTCCTTTTGCCATGGACTTGACATGCATTGTCACGTGCCTCAATCGAACACTTTCTTTCCGGCGCTCCTCTCTCAACACCCTGTTCATGTTTCAATTCACCAAAACAGTACAGCAACAAACAGGAAAATTTTCAGCTGCTCCTGACCTGTTCACGAACTTCATCCGGCAGAAGCTCCTTGTCTGTGGCTGTCCACCAGATATCCGGTCCTCTTGCATTCATAAGCTTGCAGACGTGTCTGACAAATTCTCTGTAATTTGAGACTTAAGATCAGACAAACGCAGGCTCATAGTGCCATAGTATATACTCTGCTATTGTACTGAAGCCATACAGGAGTTCACATGACTCTCATGACAGAGGTATCATCTTATCAACTTAAGATGCACGAGCTACAATATATCATACGAAAGATTGTGATATAATATAGGGCACTACCATCATGCCACAAGCAAGAAAAATACAGTCGTTACACACTTTCTGCTATAGCAACAGTGTCAAGTCGCTGATCATCAGTTGGAAATGCCTACCTTACGCACGCCTTATTCTTTGCTGAATTTCCTTAACAAAAGTAGCCTTCCCTATTAGCATTTGACTTAGATATACACTCAAGCTGCATTATAACAGAAAATGAGTTCGTTATATCTAGAAATATGTCATAAAAGTATATTCCCCACACTGCATTTATTACGAGTGTGTTCTTAATTTACTTTGCTATAACCAATATTTCGCTACATCCGGGTTTGTTATGTCGAGGTTCGAGTGTACATACTTTTCCACTGATTCCAGGGTACAGTCATTTATTACAAATCCTCAGTCTTTTGCCGGACCGCCTAGTATTATCTTTGTCTTCTGCATAATTATCGTCAACCCTTCTTTGACAATTTGTTGGTTTAGATCTACAGGCATTTTTTACAGCTCGTCGCTGTCACTGCTGAAGGGTATGATGTCATCTGATCTGGTTCTCACAGGCAAGAGAATACATCTTCAGTTTATTATTCTGCGTTTTTTTTACTGTTCTTTTTTTTCTAGCCCTTTAGTTTTTACTGCAGTCAGAGTTCCTGTCTTTCACTTGTGCAACGGTCACTAACAACCAGGCAACTGTCATCAAAATCTCAGCTTCAGGTTTAGGCAACTAACACTTTCCAGTGAACAAAAACATGCAGTCACCTTGAGGTGAGTGACCTCTCGTCCTCAAAGACCACCGGTATCGGTACGCCCCAGAACCGTTGCCTGGAGATGCACCAGTGGGGTCGTTGTGTCAACTGGTTCTCAAACATGGTGCGTGCTGATTCCGGTAGAATCTGTACTCCTTTGAGGCAATTCTGTTGCAATGAGAAAAAAAATCATTAAATAGGCAAAACAATCCTTGAGCAGATAAATGAAGTACTGTCAAACCCAGATGCAACAATTTTGAAGGGAGCTTAAAAACTGCTTGTAATATGAACTTAGGTGGAACATATTACCAATCTGTGAATTTTCAATGTCTGGAAAAGTTAATTTTTTTTAATATAGTGAAACACGGGAATTCGCCAACTTATTTCTTCAAGGCCGCTCCGAATGCATAAAAGTATACTTATTTTTCATCGACACCTTTTTTCAGAACATCTAGATCAGACTGGGGCGGCCTTCACGTTGTGAAAGCCGCTGTGGCAGTCCCCTTCTCGATAAGGAACACCACAGGAGGCATGCTTCACCGCACGACGCTTACTGTACTACACGATTAGAATTCTTCACCGCATTACAATAGTGTACACTGCCGTGAAGTGTGCTCAAGCAAAATCGTTATTACAGGGTGTCGATGAAATTTCCACTACACCAATCGTCCGTATCTTCAGAAGCTCTGATTTTGTTCTTATTTCTTGTAGTATTGAACAACATAATTAGATTCGAACAGTTTAATTTCATTCGACATGAATATTAACGATAATGGAGCAATTTACTATTAGATAAAATGGTTGCTTGGGCAAGTTGGTATGACATTGTTCACATAGAAACAGTACCGAAAACGAAGTTACTATTCCCACATAGGAAAAAAAAGGGCATTTTAGGGATACATCATGGCATAGCATTTCATATACTTAATGTGAAATTAAACAGGACTTTAGTATATTTATAGCATATTGCAATAAATTTGAATGAGATCTTTTACAACTGTTTGACACATGAGCTGAAATGTACATCACAAAGCCATAACGCTCAATGGCGTTAGGCCTAATTCAATGTGATGCAAAAGAGAATACAGCTCATAGCGTGTCTACTACCAATGCCCGCTGCCTCATGTTGTCGTCGAGGTTGATGAACCACTGTCGAGAGGACCTGACAATGACGGGCTGTTTGCTGCGCCAGTCATAGGGATAGCTGTGGGTGTAGCTGCCGGTCCGGACCACGTGATCGGCCAGCAGCTTTGTGACGGCGTCCGACCCCTCGGTGAGCACCGGGAGACCACGCAACTCTGGTCTGCAGCTCGACGCAAAACGTCCCTCCTCGTCCACTAGACATTCCTGGCAGTGTTGAAAGAGAGAAAAAAAGAACAAACATACAGAGTCTCAATTACAGATGAAAATTGTGCAACTCGAAAATTATTATTCAGTCTTTAATCTGAAAAATTGCTGGATGTTAGTTTCCTTTCAGATGCCACCCATGAAGAACCATTTGTGTCAAATCGCTACAACGTTACTTCAAGACACTCAATATTCTATTGCAACAAGAACAATGAGATAATTCTTTAATTTATGACTGTTATGGCAACTAATCCTAATTAGGTTGTAATTAAATATCTCTTTACCCTAAAGTCATAGGTACTTATTTTTGGCAAAAATTTCAGGCTAGAAATATAGCACAAATTTATTTTATGCTTTGTATATTTTGAGCGGAAAAAAATTCTTTTCACATCTCTAGCAGGAAGTGACTCAATAAACATGGTAATGCCTTCAAAAAAGTGATCATATGTGTCAGTACACTGCAAAATAAAGTTAAATGAAGACAAATTTATTATACAGGAAGATAAATTCATCAAAGAACAATATATCTTGCTCTTTCACAGCCTCTACTTGATGCAAATAGCAAAAACGAGTGGTGTACACTGTTGTGTACAGAGCGTCTCAAAGGGTTAAAAAAAAACATCATCTCATCCTTGAAAATAATCTTCCAATAAGGAGAGCGCATCAGTCAGGGAAATGGGTGAAGATACCTCCATAGCTATGCCATGCTTCAGAGCATTCTGGTAGTCCTCAAAGCCATGGCTGGGAGCCGAATGAACCAATCCCGTGCCCTTGTCCATCGTTACGAAGCCTGCCGGCAGAAACCTCAGTTCTTTGTCCGGATACAGAGGATGTGTGTAAGATGAGTTGGACAGTATGTCACTTCCTGCGAATAAATTATGAAAATTCTGTCACTATGAACAATTTTACACTTTGAAAAAAAAAAAAAAGCAGAGAGATTTTTATTTCAACTATTCTGCATGTGTCAGCTTCGTTTTAAGCATCGGAAGGGATGATTGCTTTTTCTGAGGCAAACACCTTAGACACCCCTTCAAGTGAGAAATTTGACGTCCCATGGCGTCAGGGATGAGTGGTGCAAAAAAATGTCGCAGCATATCCACAGTGTGAATGATGATTAGTCATTTCGTCATTCCATCTGTGCGTCTGTCCATCTAGTGAAAACTGCAAGTACTGTCATCTCGCATCTTTTCATCATATATTCATCATATACAAGTACCACCATCCAGCAGACATTCCTAAGACTAAACGAGAGGTGGCTACCTACTACTACTACTACTACTACTACTACTACTACTACTACTACTACTACTACTACTACTACTACTACTACTACTACTACTACTACTACATACATCGAGGACGCATGGCTTAAGGAGCTTCGGCCATAAAAATCATCGCGTGACGACATCACCATATGACGTCACAGATTGCAAAAAATTGCGGCGTCATTATGCCATCCCAAAATTCTGGCATGGCATCCCGTGACATGATGCTGCATGATGTTGTTGTAGCAGCCTCGTTTGGGCGGCAAATGAAAATAGAGAGCACACGACCTGAAGAGAAGAAAATGAAGACTGCACTTGGGAGTGGCACGTGGAACGATGGCTTGTGTTTCCTGATCCCTTACACATCGGCTAAGAAGAAAAAAAAAGATGGTTTCTAGCTTCGAGTCGTCTTAGGTGAGTGCACTGAGATACTCTACGAGTTTATTCAAATTTAAGCTTCTGTCACTCTCTCTGCCAATAGCATTGCCCTAAGAGTGTGCTAAATGTAAACTGGGGGCAACCAGCATAAAGTTATAATTTGGTTTCTAATGATCGAGACAGGCTGAATTAGAGATCAATAGCAGTACAGGTAAACAAGTCAACAATGACAGGGTAGGAAGGAACAAATTGGGCAGCAGGTGCGACAGTTTTTAAGTGCTGTGTGAACAACACATTAACAAGTGTTTATCTTAAGTGCAATTTAATTGGGGTATGTCGCGGAACAGTTTGTTGCGGAACTTGAATCTGATGATTCCCCCAAAAATTAGGGCATTTCAGCATTTTACTGCTCCTCAAAGAAACATTGCTCTCAAAGACACCTTGCACCAATTATGATCGAAGTCCTCCTAGCATGGTTTGTGAAAAGTTATAGAACTTATGCATCATTACATATATGTACATATGCATATTTTGTGCCCATGAAAAGATGCCCAACAACGTCTGTCAATAAGCATTGCTTCTTGCGTTTTATGAAGAGATGACCAACCGCTGAATTTAACTAATTAAAAAATTACTGTACACCTGTAGTGCAGATGGCACTACAGGTGTACAGTAATATGTGTCATTTTAGGCACAGCAGGGCCAGACATTACTTACCAGATGGGCATTCTAAGAAATGGCATTTGTGAGGTTCAGATTATCCATATACACACAAAAAAAATTTTACACACTTTAAACAGAGCCTAGCATGGCTGCAGCAAAAGGCTGTAAGTACCTGAGAAAGATGCAATGACCTGCAGTTCTTCTCTGAGCTTTTGATGAAGATGAGCGATCAAGTCAGAAGCCACAACTAAGTGTCTTCGAGTGGTGCTTGTTCGAACGATGCTGTACCTGCGAGTTTTCGGACATCGCAGTCATTCACATAGCTCGCACGTCTTAGGGCATGCACACACTCAATCAAGCAGTTCTAAAATATCTCCGAAGCAACTGCGCCGCACATATACGTACATTCTAATAGCCTATTCACGTATGCGGATGGTCACTTACGTCTATTCCAATAGTCTATTGACATACCTAAACACATATGCCTATACCATGTATGCCGATGCCGAAAGTCTATTCACGTATGTGAATTCATATGTATATAGCCATGCACAGATAGTCATGCATGGCAATTATTTGCTGTAAAACTTGACTGTTTTTAACAAGTACAATTTCTTAGATTTTATGAAAAAAAAATTCAGGTGATTGACAAGGTTACATTGAAGGAATCGACAGTAGGAAGAAGGCAAGCCCACTCACTGGTGATTTGGTGAGAAGCAGATGGCCTGGTTTGCTGGCAAGGTCCAGGGTGTGGTTGTCCAGATCAGCGCTGACAATTTGGTGTCCTTCGCTGTGATTTGTATCACTCAAAATTAACAACAAATACATCACACTGCTAGTACAGTACCTTGATTGTAAAAGCCAAAGTAAACATTAAGAAAACATCAACGCTGTGCTCCAAGAGTATAATTTGCTGCAATTAAGCATATGCTTCTCAATTTGATACTTCCATATCAGTGCCACATGAGTGCCCTCGAAACCAACTCATCGTTGCTTTCAGTCAGGACGTACAAATTCACTCGAATTAAAGTACAGCTGATTCAACTCGGCAACTTTAATACCTTCTTTAAAGCTACGACACTGACCTGAAGGATGACGAGTGCGTAGATTTATGGACTCCTATGTTTTCATTAGCATCCACCAAAGCACAGTTTCTCATCGCGGGCACAGTTTTCAAAAGTAAGGAAAAGGCATAAGCACAGTACGTATCATAAAGCTAAAATTACTGTTAAATACTGACTTGCTAAAACTACTATAATGAATTCTGGTACTACTGTCTGCATGCTCCACTGGTACAATTTTATTTACTGAGAGTAGAAATTGTCCAAATCCCTGCTTAGATTTTTCGCACTGTAAATGGCTTAACACTGCGGAACAAAATTATTTCTATAGACTGAAACTGTTGTACGCTTATTGATTCACTCATTTGCAAACCTTGCATCAGAGACAAAATGAGAGAAAATCGATGAAACAATCAATCAATCAATCAATCAATCAAAATGTACACAATGAGCATCATCAGAAAATGTATTGTGCTGCTTGCAGCCACTTTGACAGTCACCGCTAATTTTTGACTAAATCACTCATTGTTTTATCAATTGACTAACTACTATATTTACTATATTAAGCTAACTAGACAAAAGTGCATGCTCATTGACGAAGACTGTCGATAATAAAAGCAATGTCCACTTACGCAAAACACATTGCACGGCATCTGGAACTTTCGCTATTGGGAAGGCAATGTATACAGACTTGCTGAAAGGGATGAAAATTAAGACAAAAATTTATGAAAGGCAGAACTGATGCAGCTGCAACAGGGAAGTCGCAATACATGTGATGAATTCTTTACAAATTTCTTACCTGACATGATTGGCATTGTACTCGAGTTCGGCTTCTGCGAGTGCAGTTCTGCAAGCAAAAAAAATGTTTAAGTGCGACACGACTTGCCTTTAACCAAACCTAACCTAAGGGTAATTACAAAGAAATTTATACGTTTATATGTCTTTTCTTTAGTGCAACAATCCTCACAATATTTTGGTCAATTATTGCACACTGCAACATGTTTTGATAGGTGCTTATTTTTAGATGGGTAGTATGTGAGCTTCCTTAGTTTGAAAATTTTGAAACTAAGAAAGAGACTTCTAAATGTAATTTTTAAAAAATGCGCTTTAGGAAGGTAACGGTGAGACATAAACTGAAGCGTACCGGTTAGATGGCGACCAGTAGACAGGCTTGAAGTCTCGAAAAACGTAGCCCTGTAATAATATTTTTTTTTAAAGGAGGCAGTTGTCACTTTAGGTTGCCCTGATTGCAATATAAGACGGGTTGTAATGTTTCTTTGCTGGCGTAAGAAAAATCAGCAATAACATCAATACCACTGTTATCATCTTATTGATGCCAGATTAAATTTATATGCTGAACTTTGATTCCAACATTGGAAGTAGAAATACAGACACCCATTAAAAGGAGCCTGAAGGGACCACCCGTTTAACGGGTGCTCCGTTTTCTGAGAGATGAATATGGGCGCAGAATACAAGCCTTCAACCAACCATACAAGAGACAGTTGTTCTAATTAGGCTGCTGAAAGCAGCTATTCCATTTAAGAGATTTCTATTTTTCAAGAGTCTACTATATTTTATTTCCAATGTGCCAGCTACTTATCCTGATAACACTTACAATCAGCAAAAACAGGAAGGCGTCTCAGAAGAATCTTGACTTCATGAGGACTTGCCTTTTCATAGAGGTCGTAAAAGGCCTCAATCTGCTTGGTGACGTAGTTGACGTCGTACGTCTTGTACGGTTTTGTCCAGTTGGCCATGACACCCCAGTGCCTAAAGGAGTTCATCTGCTTCTGAATAGTGGCTGCCGCAAAGCTGCGCGCTTTCGTGGTTCACGTCAAATACGGTTCACGTTGAGTTCGATGAAAGAGGGAAAAAACAACAACTGAGCATGTAGTTTTAGCAGGAAATGTATTCTGACCAGTTTTGTTCATACTGTCTCAAACTTACAATGACGCGAAGGTCAGCTGGAAAGAAATTACGATTTGATTAATTTGGTTGTATGAAGGAGTGGTCGTACACCCTGATGAAACAATCTTGGCAGAGACGGAATTTATCTGACACAACTTTAAGGTACAATATGTTTCAGTTTAGTTTGCAGGAGTTTGAATTTGATGCGGCACTAAAATTAAATTACCTATCATTTTTGTTTAACAAGAATGCCAGAGATAAACCTGTAAATATAAATTTTGAATTAGCAGGCTAGTAGCAGTAATGAACAACAAAAGCATTCTTGTCTGTGGCTGTTAGGACTACTGGAAAGATAATAAAAAAAGATGAAGTGCTCGTTTTGTTTGATTATAGTTTTGATTGCAGTTTTGTGTCATTACATCTTGTTTTGATTATAGTTATATGGTAGTCTATATTCCTTACTTTACCTCTATAAATATTTTATCCTCACTGTGATTGATTGACTGGTTGGATTAAGTTTGATGATCCTCACTGTGAGGACAAACAACAAATGTTTTTTCGATGATACACCAGTTTCCAATCCACACAACACCTTTAATTAACGTATGCAGCCAGGAAATGTAATCGACAGCATTAAATCATTAAAGCCTACAGTTTTACGTACCTAGCCATAGTAGGATCATGACGCATGCGCTTGTGTACAACTCTCAATTAATTTAGACCACCGGGAATTTCTTACTGTGTACCTAAATTTAAGCACTGGTTCATTCCTTTCAAGTGAAACAAAAATAAACGTCATTGAGTTTGGCTACCTTTGGACCGAACATCGGTTGGCGATCCTTGGCTCTCGGCTGTGGTCAGGGCTTTCGTCTCAATCGGAAGGCCGTGACAGTCCCAGCCCGGCACAAAGTGCACGCGGTCGCCTTTTAGGGACCGATACCTGATGGTGATGTCCTTCAGAATCTGCAGAAATTTACATATGTGAGCATATTTTTCCACCGACACATCGGTGACAACAAAGCCGTTTACAAAGGTCTACACACTCGGTGAATTTCCTGGGTACCTAACCAGACGTAATGACTCAACTTTCATTCTCTTTGCTTGAATTTTAGGGGCAGGGCTTGCCATAAAACACATATAACAAAATAAAATAATAAGAGCTTGTAATCCGACATCTTGGTCTAATGAGTGTAAATTTCGGACACATCTGGTTGTGTGCAGACGTTCTTATATCTTGACGACTAATTTTATCATTTTTGCTAGACTGACTCTTCTTTGTTTAAAGACCACCACTTTTGGTGCGTCTTGCTAGAGCTCACCTTGCAAAGGTTTGCCAATTCATTAAGCCCCAGAGCTTCTATGTGAATTGACTATGTTTTTATCTTCTTTTGGATGCGTACTTTATCCAACTAACAATGTAAGCATCTGGACAGTAATGTTGCATTCAGCTTTTTTTAGTTTAGCTCCTTTTGTGACTGTGCTTTTGGGGAACACTCTACTCTTAATCTCTGTCTCCCAAGTTCTTTGGTTTAGGTTGTTATCATCTCATCTAAACAATGCTCAGGCAGTTAGTGTAGGAAAGAGCAATGCCAGCGGAAGTCACCTTGTTGACAGCATGACCCAAATGCGTGTCTCCGTTTGCGTACGGAGGCCCATCATGAAGGATGAAGTCGGGTCCCGTATTGTTTTCTCGTTGCCATGCATAGTGGTCTTCAAAACATGCATGCTGCAAGCGTACAGAAAGGAAAGTATAGTCATGAAAAAACAAAACAGGACTAAGACAGAACACACTAGAACAGCTTTCACATGTTACAACTTGAGAGTAGAAGCTCGCATCGGTGATTACATGGTTGCAAAAGATTGTTTGGGCCCCACAGTAATTGTGTGAGGTGAAATTAGGCCAACATTAAGTGTGCCAGTGAAAACAAATACGAAATAACACGTTCTAGTAAACCTTAGCTTGTTAATATTTGAATCATCCGTGAGTGTAGATTCGTTTCGATGTGTATGTGCTGTATATGGAGGAAAGTTACAAAAAAAAAAGACATCACAAAACATGATGCAAGGCAGATAACTTCAAAAGTCAACCTTCCCTGATGCCACCACACTTCTTCGACACCAATATGAATGTTGACTGTTGGAAATATGGTGCGATCTGTGGTTACGACGGGTTTGAGGTTACTGTTCGGTCTGTGGTATCTCTTAGTGAAGCCCTTGCCAGGACTGCCCCTCACCACCTTTCTTCCCTATTCTCGCGCGCTTGGCTCTTAGATATTACCATTCACCCGTCACATGATGAGGGACTGCTTCCACGAATGCCATCCTCATTTTCATGACCTGGGGCTATGTTACGAGATAACATTCAACAACGGTGTTGCTTCGAGCCACGTAAAATCTCGCGTTTCCGATGAGTGCAACGACTACTTGCCCACCTTTTCCTCGTCTAGCCTGATCTCGAATTCGAAGTGCGACCCCAGGATTCAAATTTGCCGTGTTATGCTCCCTGTCATCTTTTTTGAAGCTTCCTTGATGCATAATATATTGAAGCTGCTTTGAAGCAGTAGCGAATACGTTTTCATCAAAGCATCCCGCTTACCAACTGCTCCACAAATCAGGGGCGTATTATATTTCGAGTGGGGTGGTATGGTCCACCTCTCCGCCATCTGTATGTGCGTGTATGCATCGTTTTTTAACGAACGCTTCCTGGGTGCTGCAATAAATAAGGCTGTCTAGACTGTAGCAAATATGCATGGTACCCCATAAATGCACTGCCGAGGCAGTGACGTCAGCTTTAAGTAGTTCATGAAACAGTTTCTAGAAAGGAGGTGCTCAGCTTCTATATTGAAAAGATTGACAGATGGATGGAACACCTTCTTACTGAACTGTTACATAAAAATACTATGGCTGACGTCTCTGTCACAACAGTGCATTTTTGGGAGTTCACGTACATTTACAACAGCCCAGGGGGGATAGACTTTCTTGCCCCCCCTCTTTTTTTTATAAACAGATTTAAAAAGTTTAAATGACAAGGGTAAAATAAAGCTTGGCGCATCATCGCAACAATTATCAAGCTTTGGACGTCACAGCTCGTGCGCTACTATGAATGCAGTTCTGCTGACAAGGCTATTCTTGAATAACGCTCGCAATTAGTTGCAGCAGTGAAGAGTCTTGGCTCAACAGCGCGCAAAATGTTGTTGAACCATACGTCAGGAAAGCAGAATGCTTTTTACTCCAATTGCCATAAATGCGACGACACAAACCAGACACATCAATCGATTATTACTAGTTATGCTTGAAGCTGTGTCGTTTACTTTGAGCTTTACTGCACTTAGCGGGGTGTTTGCAAACTCCTATAAACATGCAAAGCGGGGGTCGAAGTGGTTTTGCGAAGTACAAACATGCCAAACGAATGTTCACTGGAAACCGTAAGTACCCATCACTTTTGCACAAGAGCCCCGCCGTGGTGGTCTAGTGGCTAAGGTACTCGGCTGCTGACCCGCAGGTCGCGGGTTCGAATCCCGGCTGCGGCGGCTGCATTTCCGATGGAGGCGGAAATGTTGTAGGCCCGTGTGCTCAGATTTGGGTGCACGTTAAAGAACCCCAGGTGGTCAAAATTTCCGGAGCCCTCCACTACGGCGTCTCTCATAATCATATGGTGGTTTTGGGACGTTAAACCCCACATATCAACTTTTGCACAAGACACGTAAGACGCCGTGATCGGCACAACGCATCGCGCAAAATATGGTCCACTTTTACTGCGCTCGCTGTAAACCAACGGCAGTTCGCAGCTATAACGGAGTCGCAGCTAGAACCGAAACTCACTTTCGCGATCTTCTCGTCGTTCTCCGACCTTTTCGCGCCTGTGATTCGCTGGGGAAAGCCTGTCTTGGGCAAAAGCACGGTGCCGCTGTACGATATCTTGCCGCTGTATCGAATGCAAGTCTGAAAGCATGATCTCTGTCTGCTTTTGCTGAAAACGCAGCACGATCTGGTCAGTCCGTGCGGCATTTTAGTAAGCACATTGAACTGCTATGGGCGCGGCCATCTTAATAAACGTGTTGTCCGTGACGATGAACTGCGAATGCATGAGCGAGGTCTTGCTTTAAAGTGAAGAGTTCACAATAAACTACTTACTGTGAAACACACACCATGCAATTTCTTAACGTTGTCAATTATTGTTACATAACAGTTTCTTGTAGCGACCTTTATGCTGCTACGAAAACTACAGACAAAATTAATTTTAAAAAAACTTGTGTGCTGCCTATTTTTTAGTGTGTAAATTTAACCTGCACACGCGTATTTTTTTTATCTGATACTTTTTGCGCTTATTTGTTGCTACCCTCTGCATCAAGCCTTTTTTGTTTAACGTTCATATTTATCATATATCCAGTTTTGGCCACCTAAACTGTTATAATGCCTAATCACCTTTTTTCAAAAAATTAAAAAAGCTTAGTAGTTTGTAAAATTTCCACTAGAGGTGCTACCAACCTAATTAGGCAGTAGATAGAGGTTACGTGTATTGACAAACAGTTTTACATAATGAGGACATTATTTTGAATCGCTACTACGGGCACGATTCTAACAAAAATGTCTAGATTACTGTCCTGCAATTTGTAGCTAATTGGTCACAGAAAAGCGCGTCCTGTTGTTGATACACTACGTCGACACGCGCTGCACAATTTCTGTCCCTGCTGGACAGGCATAACAAGCACATGTTGGGTGGTAAGCACTACATTAATATGTCCACGTGTTTATTACCACAATGTGTCGTAAGCCGTCAGAAGAACACAACGCCAATTTATTTGTGTTTATTTAAAAATCTTTAAAGCACTGTCTACTTTTTAATTTTTAGTGTTTTATTTTAAACTGTACACGCATAATCTTCTAATGAATAATGTTTTGCACTTATGTTGTTACTACTTTCTGCATGAAGCTATTTTTGTGTAACTAAAGTTATATATCCAGGTTTGCCATCTGTTATATCCAGGTTTGCCATGTTGTTAAATGTCGTCAGTTTTTGCAAAAAGTTTTAAAAGTTTAGTTAGTTTTTAAGTATCACACTAGAGGCGCTACCAACCTAAACAAACAATGAGTAAACAATACGTGTATTGACAAAAAAATTGCGTGAGGAGGAAATTATTTTGTTTAACCAAACACTGCTATTGCAGGCACAACCCTAACTAAAATGGCTAGATATTGACCTGCAGTTTGTAGCCAATCAGTCACAGCAAAAGCGCGCTCTAGTGTTGATAAACTACGCCGACACGTGTAGGAATCTTCGATTTGGCTTGCACTAGTTCAGAAAAGTGCAGGTGCAGAAAAAGCGGTGCCAAGCGGTGCAGTGAGCGTGCAGCGCCGGTCGAGCAAGTGCAGGTGCAGCCTCAACCACGCCTCGGCACTAGCCGACACTAGCGCGCGACGGCTACAGCCAAAACGAAGGCGTGAGTTGACGTGAGTGCAGGCCGGAGAACACCTTGTAGTGTAAGCCTAAAATAGCCGCCTCCGCCGCCTTGTCCGATCAATACACGGCCGTGATGGCACTTCTTGTGACTGCGATGGAATTGCTGGACTCGAGCAGCGACGACGATTCCGTCAGCGGTGCCGTTTGCAGTGACTGCGACGATGAGTACGACGATGCGTGCATCTTGGTCGCGTGCGCGTTGGTGCGCGACGATGCCAACCGTGTACCCGGGTACGAAAGCATTATCGGCAGGTACCATGAGTATGAATTCAAGCGCCTCTTCAGGCTGTCCAGGGAGACTTTTGATAGTTTCAGTGCCAAGTTCAAGACTTCAGCCTTCTACCCAAGGGCAGTGCAAGGCCGCCAACAAATCAGTGCCGAAAAAACATGCCTCATAGCGCTTGTGTACCTAGGCTCACAAATATCTATGTACGCCATAGGCGACAAATTCGATGTTACCGAGTCGTCTGTTCATGTTTGTGTGACACGGGTCGTTCACTTCTTACACGCTATTAGCGATGAGATAATTTGCTGGCCTAGTAGCGCGGAAGTGACCCGCATAAAGAACGGCTTCCTCGCCAAAAGTAAAGGCAAGGGCCCAAGAAACACCATCGGCTGTATCGATGGATCACACATCGGGATACTCACTCCAAGCGAATCTACGCAGTCTTACTTCAACCGGAAAAAGTGGCCTTCGATAATCCTGCAAGGAATCTGCGACGACAGGAACAAGTTGCTGAACGTGTTTATTGGGTTTCCAGGTTCGGTTCACGACGCCCGTGTCCTGAGGGAGAGCCCCTTCTTTGCACGCGCAATTCAGGAATGTGAAGACAATTATATACTGGGTGACAGTGCATATCCACTGATGCCATGGCTCATGACCCCATTCAAGGACAATGGAAGTTCTTTTCCTACGTGGAAAAAGAGCTTCAATAAACGACACAGTCAACAACGAGTGCTTATTGAGAACACCTTCGGCCTGCTTAAACAGCGTTTTAGGAGGCTCTACCTTGTTGATGCAAAAAGTGTGCAACAGTGCTGCTATATAGTTATGGCTGCGTGTGTGCTACACAACATGTGCAACGATGAAAGGGACTTCCTTGAGGAACTTGCAACGCTTCCCCAAGAAGAAGATGTGGGCAATGATGAAAGTGCAGGAGATTTTGATTGCAGTCTGCCAGGCTACAGTCAGTCTCTGCGAGAGTTCATTGCAAAGGAACAGTGCTAGAAGTTCATCTTTGCTTCGCGATTTATTCAGTGTGCAAATGTTTTGCGAAGTGGGGTGCCGCGTCTAGAAGCAATGTTTTTTTTTAACAAATTAGATGGAGTAGACACTGCTAGTGTTATAAAAGTTTATTGCCCATATTATAACCCGTCCTTATTTGAGAGTACGTCGATCAACCGATCGAATCGCTGCATGCGCTCATCATGCCGCTTTGCCTTTGCCTCTTCCCATTTTTTTCTTTCCTCCAGTTGTTTCACTGCTGCCTCCTCTTGCTTAGCTCTCGAAGCTTGCATTTTTTCTAATGCCTCCAAGAGCGGCGTGACTTGGGACCTACTCTGGCGCTTCCTTTTTGGCGTTGTGCTGCTCCGAACTTTGGATGCTGTGTTGCACTCGACTGGGACTGCTGCATCTTGAGGTGCTTCAGTGATGCTGGTGCTGTTGAAAGTAATTGTACAGGTGCCATGTCATTTCCAGGCTACAGCACAAATTAAGTAATTTTTACTTACTCTGGACTTGCACTAGGCAGGATTGTTTTTCCAGGCTCCAAGAGCAGCCTTGGATTTACACTATGTTCTTTTTCCAAGACTTCTGCCAGCTCTCTGTAATAGACACTATGAGAATCACTGAAGATATGAAGACACAATCGTAACTTACTCTTCATATTCACAGTTCACACGGTGGTGACCTGAAGAATTGTTGTCTTTTTTTGACTTTTTATATGCTCTGTCCAGCGACTTCCATTTGTTTTCCACTTGTGTGGCAGTCACGTTGCACAAGAACTCCGTATTGATGGCCTCAGCCAACTTCTTCCACAGAAGCCTTCTTGTGCTAAACAAAAAAGCAAAGCACAGTTAGTAGGAAAGAAGGAAGCGACGTAACGTGACCCAAGTCTTGCAGTAGCACATGAACCTTTCCTTAGTACTTCATATGTGTAGCTTTCAGGGATAATTGCTAGGGATGTTCGATTATTCGAAAATTTTGGATAATGAATCAAACAGCACTGTATTCGGTTCCTAAGTCGAATCGAATTGCACATATTCTAAGTAACAAATATTCTTTTAATAATCGGCACTGGCGGGAGAACCCCAAAACAACGAAACAGCTACAAGTCATTCTTTCAATCCCTAATGTGACCTGTACGCAGCCCAAGCTTTTGCAAGACTACCTACACTATATTGATTGTCGAATGAATGCGCTTCTGAAAGCTCCATTCTTGCTCAATTTTTACTGCACTTTAGCTGTATCGCATTTATCAGCTCCTGTCTTCGTCTTGTAATAACCAAAGGTGGGAACTACGAGTGCTTGCAGCTTCACGACTAGCAACAGATACAAGTTTTGCGTTTGCGTAAATTGTTCTTGCAGATGTAAATTTCAACGCCCATTGTTATCCGCTTTTAGTGCGCAGGCCATGTTGTGATGACGGGTTGATCTGCTCCGTTACATATTTAGTTGTATCTGCAATGTTTGGTTGTAAATTGTTTTGTTTTTGTGTCCCAATTTTATTTAAAGTGAGGTGACAAAGTCTCACGTTGATAACGCTAGTCAATGCCGTAGTTGAACCTACAATTACAAAATGTTACGAATATTCTAGTTCCTGCTGCATACGAGATTACCTTAGTTTTCGTAATTGTGGTATTTTGAGTAGATTCAAACTGACTGTAATGGCCTTTGTCGAAAGTTTGTGACTATTTGTTTCAAATAAAATGTTCTGTTCTAAGGCTGTTTTGAAAATGGTCTACTTACTATTCAAACAGTATTCAATTACTATTTGTATTCTATTTGGTGCCATTACTATTTGACTCTTACTTGATTAGGTTCCGAAATTCACTATTCACACACTTCTGATAACTGCGAACGTTCTTTTTGTGCGGGAAGCATTATGTTGGAGAAGTTGAACATTGTGTAAATCACTCTTTTGGATCATAAAGCTTCACTAAGGAGACAGCCATATTCTAACCTGTCTTTGCATTGTAAAACATGCAGCTGCGCAACCTTGTTTGCTGACACGACGGCGCAGTCTAGGTTCAAAGATAGGGTAGCACGTGTCAAGAAGCATATCTCTTTTAACAATGAGCTGCACCATCTTGAAAAGTGGCAGTGCGAGAGAAATGCGGACAGACAGTGAAGACACAAGGACTGCAGGGCGAGACTTGCTAGAGATGTGCCTCAGAATAACAACATGCAATTCCCTCTAGTGCAAATTCTCAAGGCAGCACTACACTTGCAACATGGCTTGAGCTTGGAGGTGCTGCACCTTTTCGGCAAGACAGCGGTTGTGCAATGCCCAACACAAAAGCACCGTCGCTGTTTTTGAAGATCACTTGACTTAATGAAACATTACGAATGCCTTCGTTGTGTATATATGTGCGTGACTATACATACTGTTTGTGTGTATATGTAAACGTATATGTCACAGTCAGGCGCATAGCCAAAATTTTTTTTCAGTGGGGGGGGGCAGTAAAATGTAAATTGCTGGCAGTAAAATGTAGGCAACAATAACCATCGCCATTGTGAACTTCATGCGCCCTTATCTTGTTGGTGCTTGCCTAGAGTGAAACGGAATAATAAAAAGCTGCAAATAATTTTGGACATAGGATGACATACCGAAGTGCCCTGGTTTTTCCCACCAAGTCCTTCATTTCCGAGTATTTGGCGATGAAGAACCTTGTTTTTCGGGCGCTCCAAAGCTCTTCCACATCTTCAGCCGACGCGGCTGCTGCTGGAAATGCGGCTAAAGCCCCATCGCTGTCAACGTCGCCGTCGCAGGCAGGAGAAGGCGTCGGCGGTTGTGCCGGAGGGGGGTCATTTTCACGATTCCCTGCCATGAACCGCAACGTAACGCGCTTGCCGTCTGCAAGGGCGAAAACCAAGATTAAAAATACCGACATAGCATAAGCAATGCTACGAGGCTGTTTGCTGACCGACTACGACTCCTGGCCGCTAACCACGTTTTTTGGCAATGCATGCAGCCTGACTTACCTGATGCCTCATAGACGTAACCGTTGGCGTCCGTCATAAATGACCCGTCGGGATTGTGAAGTGCCTTAACTTCCTTTTGAACGCCCTGAACAACTATTTGCAACGTCGTCTGCTCTGGCCTTGGGGGGACGCCCGCCATGCTGCACTACTCTGCACCTGCTTTGGAGTGCGTGCACGCCGGTACAGAACTCGTCAGGAACTAGGCTTACACCTAGACAAAACGAGGGAGCCAGTGCAGAGGGTGCGACAGAGGGCGCGCGCTGCTCCGGCAAAACGAGGACGAAGGTGCTGCACCCTTTGAACTGGTTCAGCCGGTGCAGCCAAAACGAAGAGACCATCAGTGAACCAAAAACTAGACTTATTTTTTTTTCCTTTAAATAGTGGCGTTGAAGACTAGTACTACAGTGTCTAGAATAGGTACTTTTTAGACACTGTACTGGTACTTTGAGTGATGCGTCACATGCAGCGCCCTAGTGAGTAAAACTGTCTCTGCTGGACAGGCATAAAAAGCACGTGTTTGGTTGTAAGTACTACATACATGTGTCCACGTGTTTGTTACCACAACGCATTGTAAGCCGTCAGAAGGACACCACGTCTATTTTATTATGTTTGTTTAAAAAACTTTTGAGTGCTGCCAAATTTTTTAACATTTAGTGTTTTATTTTACATCGCACGCGCATATTTTCTTACGAATAATGTTTCACACTTACTACTTTCTGCATCAACCTATTTTTGTGTAACTAAAGCTATATATCCAGTTTAGCCAGCTATGTTGTTAAGTGTCTAATCAGTTTTTGCTAAAAGTTGTAAAAATATAAGTAGCTTGCAGAGTTCACACTAGGAGCGTCACCAATCTAATCAGGCAATAGCTAAACAATAGGTGTATTGACAAAAAAGTTTTCTTAACAAGAACATTCTTTTATTTAACCAAGCAACGCTACTGCAGGCACAACCCTAAATAAAATAGCTAGCTACTAAATCAGTCACAGGAAAAGCGCGCCCTTGTGTTTATACACTATGTCCACACGCGCTGCACAATTTCTGCGCGTGCAGGACAGGCATAAAAAACAGGTGTTGGGTGGTAGGTACTACATTCATATGTCCACGCGTTTATTACTACAACCAACGCCTCCTAGAAGGCATTGCTACAACGCGTCGTAAGCCGTCAGGTGGACACCACGCCTATTTCCTTGTGTTGGTGTTTCGTCTACGGGGGAGTTTGGGTGTGATTCATCGTGTTTTGGTCGCGCAATCGTCTCGGACCACCATCGTTGCCAAATGTCATGTACTGGGTGTAGCTCGAAATTCGGGCTTCTCCACAGAGAGGTAAGGCGCTCGTAAAAAAAAAAAAAAAAGTAGCGCTCGCATCTTTTATCGCAAATCGTTTCCCGTGTTGGTTTCGTCGCCAGCCAGCTAGCTGCTCAATACCGAGCGACTTGCACAATGCGTGGACGGTTTCGATTGTGCAATCTGATCGTGCTCTCCACTTTTTCTCCTCAGTATTCCTGTCCCAACTGCCAATTCTCCTACTGCGCCAAATGCCTGAAGACGACCGTGTTCGTACCTAAGCTGGGCAAGCAACACAAGGTCTGCAGGACCTGCTGCGAGACTATAAACAGGTGACTGAAGCGCTTTCGTTGAATCGCTCGCTCATAACGAACCGCTTTTATTACTTACTGAAGGCCGTTACGGCAAGCGTGTGCGTGATAGCAACCGTTGCCGTGCGACAAAACACGAGGTCTTATGCGGCTTGAAACTTGCACCCGTTAGACTGGAGGCGATTTGGTCTGAATCGTAAAGCACGAGTGATTGAGTGAATTTGTTACGCTAGGAACTAGTAGCCGCGTGTTTTTGCACTTGGTGTGCGGTCGTACAGGCACGCTATTTGCACGTTAAGCGGCTGATAGCCAAACTTGCAGCAGTTCGGCGTTTGAATCGATCACTACCCATCTTGATGTGCGGCCAAGAAAGGGTATCTTTCGCAAGGATTCTTATTGCACTGGGGGCTTAATTGTTTTCCCACTTGCCTGCTTTGCTTAATTAGCGAATAAACGGTTTAGCTACGGAGCTCTACAACGCGGGCTCGACTCTCGGCAATGGTGGTGGCTTTTCATGGGAAGTGAAATGCAGATGCAACCGCACACATATATTTTAGTAGACATTAAGAATCTCGGATAATCAAATTCAATTCGAAATCACCCACAACAGCGTGTCTTACGTGGTGGTTTTGGTCATAACGCTCCTGAGTTAAAAGGCTTGTTTCTTTCAGATTAATTGATGACGGTGGAAGGTGTCCTTAGTGTTTCATGACACAACATTATGCCGTAATAATAGTCGTAACATTAGCCCCATGATAATGGCCAATGCTCATTTAGTTTTCGCGGGCGGATTTGTAGGTCCAGCCGCGTCGCTATGAAAAAGGACAAGGTCTGCTTTTTTAGATGTAACCTCTACAGTTAGAATAATAATTCAGTTTCAAGCTTGCTATGTTTGTTTCCGCAGGACTACTGCTAGCAAAACAGAAGAAATAGAACCACCTGCAGCTCTACAAAAGTAAGTCAGCATGGAACTAAATGTATAGTGTTTTAGCTGAGTTGGTAATGTTCTACAAGGATAGCATTACAACATGAGTGAAATTCTGTGAAGTCATGCGAAATTTCATTGTCATCTAAAGGTTTCTCAAAAACAGAGGTTCTTTGTAGCACCATATATGGGCCATTCAAGTTCTTTGTGTGGCAGTTTTTTTTTATACTAACACAGAATTCGTCATGAATACAAGTCGCATAATCTTTGCCTGTTTGTACTGCACTGCTGCTGGGCTTCGAAACTGTTGTGATAGTTGAGCCCTTGATTTTCTTTTGTGCGAGATACACATACAGAAAGATGTAGAGTGAGAAATGATCTGCAGTAAATATTTATTTTGCCAAGCTCGAACAGTGCGACATTATGCAGACAGATTGAAACGTGCACACACTCAGTGCTATGTGTTTGCGTGTATTCTTTGTCTGCATTCAGTCACAATCTTCAAACTTGGCATGATAAACAAAACTAGCCCGCCAAAGGCACTTTGGCTTATTTTGGCTCCTCTATTTGTTTACGGATGCATTGATTATGAACATCAAGCACTGCACTCTAAAAAAATTGAGACAGACTAAAAGGGTGTTGCTATGTCCCTCTAGAATAATCCTCATCTAGCTCTATAAACTTCCTTTCTTGAAAACTCGGTTCTGGCCACTTTCCTATAAAGAATGCTACTACGCTGCTGATACTATGCTACGCTGATAAAACACATGGCGTTTGGGACCTGAAAGGGTCGAGCGTTCAGCGATAATGCAAGAAACGCAAGATAGATGACGATTATTCTTCATGGACAAAAAGACACCCTTTTCACTCGGTATTTTCTTATAGTGTAGCTTCCCGACTTCCAAGAACCTCGTTTCGAAAATTCCTTGTGAATGCCTTGCCTTAACTGCGCAAAATAATGTAGAAATAATTAGGTGAATAGAGCAAGACAGTTCTGTACAGTTTATTTCATGCTATTTTTTTTTTACATTTCTTTTTTTTTTTTTTGCCTGGGCAACATCGTCCCCTAGCCTTAGGTACACTGTTTCTAAAGTTGCCTCAATCATTGAAACCAGGTGAATGTACTGAACGTCAAGCAGGCCACTGACAAGTAGATGAAGTTTATCATACTTTGTGTTGTTAATTACATTCTTTTGTGTGCCTGGCCAACATTGTCACCCCCATTTTGGTAGCCTGCTTTTAAAGCTCCGAATTTCCACCCTGTCTTGACTGAAAGGCGGATGGATGCCTTGAACAAGCAGCAACCACAGGGCGAACGTTCCGCTCCACGTGGCGATGATGGGTCCTCTCTTCGGATTGAAGAAATCGAGAGCCGGCTTCAGAAGCTGCGTCAGGACACCAAAGGCAAGTGCTCCAAAACACCTTTAATTCCACTTGCCCTACACTCTTCATGATTGAAGAACATATTGTTGGTTGCTCTTACTTAACGTAGTCATGACTCATGACAACATTCATTTAGCTATTGGCACACAATCTCAAGTACGTAATGACTGAGGCTTCTTTTTTGCGTGCCTGAGCATCGAAAGTACTAAACATAACGTATATTATGTTATAACATATATTGATTAAATGCTGATTCCTAGATCTGTTGCTACAGTGAAAAATGCTTTCTTGAAATGGCACAAGGAAAATCAGTAATTTTTGCTTTGTCAGATAGCTGCTGACTTCGTGGCTTGACAGTGGTTGGTGGCAGGTATTTTTTTCGTGAATCAAGAACTACATCTCCTAAATGCCCACTAAGCTTAGCCTGGCATCTTGCCGTATGGTTTAATTACTTTCTATCTCTGGACATCGCTAAAATCAAACGTGGTGACCACAAAACGGATGCCCATGCAAATCAGTATGGTCCAGCGATGACAAGTCGCACAACGGTCATGTCTTGCTGAAAACTTTGTGTGCTGCATAAACCATTAATCTACTATTTTACTCTGTGCATATCTGCCTTCCATAATGAATATTAATCTTGGGCTTCTTTATTTATTCCTCTGCGACACACAAACTGATCGACTGTACGGAAGTTTGTTAAATTCACATAATTTGATGCCAGGTTCGGGAGACTGAATTTAAAGCAAGTGTTAGAATAAGTTGTAGTGTATCTTATAGCTAACCATTGTGGTTGCAAAGTAAATAATTATCTTATCGTTGTACAGGCAGTCATCCTGTTCATAAGCCGAATTTGACAACCCAATCCAATTGCATGCCATCGTTATCGGCTGTCAGTAAGCATGCCTAAAAAAATATTTATGAGATATTTTGAAATTCTTTCCAAAATGTCTTATTAAACACGGTGTGGCCATCATGAAAGCAATCGTATCTAGTGAAATATTTCAAGCATAAGTGACATCAGGAAATTAAGACAATAAGAAAAAAAATTATCTTTAACAGCAGCAGAAATGCTTAATTTACCATTAGTGCAGTGTTTTTGGCCTCTTGCTTGCTAACATTTCACAGTAATGGCAAGAGTAAGTTGCGTCTCAAAATGTGGATGCCTTGGCACAAAGTGTTGTACCTGAAATACTACGCCTAAAATGAGGAACCAACATTTCTGGTATAGTAATTCTAATGCATTGTAATGTGAAGGGAACACTTGCCCAGATTGTAAGGTGTCGACTTGACTGATGCTTTGTGGTCATCGATGTGATGTTGTGCTATGGGGATACAATTTGCATTGCAGATGTCATTCCAATCCATGCCGACATCGAGGAAAGACTCGCAAAGCTCAAAGAGGTTGACGTCTCCTACTATCGTCAGCCCCCTATCACTGTAAGTGCGGGCCCCACTACAGTGTCTGCCTCAGCGGCACTTCCAGAGGCAGAAACTTGAACTGCAAACCTTTCTGAAGTAGACCACACATACTTTTTTTATGCTAAATCTAACTCTTCACCTGGCAAATTGGTGTGCGGCTTCATCGGAACCTGCTCTAGGAGTAATTCACTCTCAGACCATTGCAGTGAGTAGGGTACACTGAAACCTCGATATAATTAAACCGGTTATAAATATATGTTGGTTATAACGAAGTAAATGAAAAATAGTCTTGCAATAAATGCAGTGTTGGGAATATACCTTTATAAGGAATTTTTGGATATAAGAAACCTATTTTTCATGTAAGACGCAACTTCGTTATTATGAGGTTTGGGTGTAGTTGAGCTTGAGCACTCACATTAATTTCTTCTATATTTTGGGATTAACTTTATCCCCTTCTGTGGCGAGTACAGTTGTACACATCGACTATAGCAGCATGTCATTCACTGCATCACGCGTCACTGCAAACGATCTGAAATGCGAGGGACAAAGTTTTATACGTCGCCTTAGTGGACAACCGAGGAAGTGAAACACATGTCCAATGTATTTAAAGCCTGAATTTGATCATTTTTAGACCAACATTGAACATCACTGAGTTCAGAGTTAATTGGTCTTTATGTACCATATACCGTATTTACACGATTGTAAGACGACTCGAATGTAAGACGACCCCCCCAAAATCGCATCTCAAAAAAAAAAAAAGAAAAAAAAGAACGCGCGCATTTTACACAAGGGAAATTTATTCACGTGGTTGCGGAGGATTATTCATCGTCGCTGGAGTCGTCCTCGCTGGTGCTGCTGCCGTCATAGCGTAGACACGGGCTTGCTGCGTGACCATTTCGCAGGTGACCAACAACGATCGATCGCGTAGGTCAGTCACGTAGGCCGCAAGCTTCGCCTCTAGTTTCGAAAAGCGGCCAGACTTCGGCCCGCGAAAGCTACGGCGCTTGGAGTCGCACGAGAAAATTTCCTCCCGCTGAAGCCGCCACTTCCGCACCACACATTCACCGATTCCGAACTTCCGTCCTGCTGCACAGTTGTTGGTTTCCTCCGCATGAAGAATAGCAGCCCGCTTAAACGCTGCCGTAAACGAGCGCCGAGTGTTCTTCGAGCCTACGGTACTCATGTCAGACAGAAGTGACTTGAGAGAGCCGGTCGTGGACACAAGCGACAGAAGCACGCGTCGACGCGCCCGCTTAGAAAATTGTATCCCAAAGAGGAGCTCTTCCGTCAACTACCAATACCCCCCTACGGCGGCTCTTCCATCGATTACCGGTGCTCCCTCAAGAGTCGTGCGCTCGTCATAAAGGCACTCGTAATGCGCGCAGTAGATGCTAAAAAAAGAAAAGCTTTTGTATAAGCACGCGGAAAACTATACGCTTTGGGTTGAGCGGGAAACTATTCGAGATGACAATACATATGGTTCGATTTCGATTCTAAGACGACCCCCCTACATTGGATTGTTAAATTTGAAAAAAAGGGTCGTCTTACAATCGTGTAAATACGGTAATTGCAACAAATCACTGGAGATGTGCTGATTGACATTTGCCTACCTTCTGTATCCTGCAATAGAATATCAAGTGCCTTGAAGTAAGGTAGTGCAAATTTGATACATTTATTCACAGCCTATCACAGTTCGCACCTAAAGGGATTGTCAGAGTTTGTTTAGCAGATATTTATTCGAAGTTTTTAGTTTCCATAGAATTTTTTTTAGTTGACGTATTTGTGGATATATATGTAGATGACCTGTGCATACAGCAGGCTTTTTTAAAATCACGTCACGAATGGGCAGTAACGAGACACTAAAAAGAAAGGGAATATTGTGCATTTTTTTAAGAACATGCGTTGAAGAGACCCTGAACTGAAACGTTAAATAAGCTTAGAGAGGTAGAATATTCTTCCAGAGCCATATTCTCAATAATTTTGCTTTTGTAGAATAATAACTCGAAGAGAAAATGAAGGTCGACGTATCGTGTTTGAATTTCACGCCGTAACTTCCATATGTGAACGTCATTGCGTCGTTGTCAAGAATTCCAAAGTGTTTTTGCATGCTCTTGTCACAACGGTGTGTTGAAAATCTTGATCCTTTAGAATGCAAAGACAGTTTTTACCAAAACACAAATATGCAGGTTCTTAGACATGCCGCTGAAATAAGCGATGTCATGATGAGCCAATGGGAAAACCTTAAGGCGGCGTTGCCAGCTGCATTTTCTTTTCGCATATTTTCTTGCTTACCAAGCATCCTCGTTATAAAAGTACTTCTTTCGGCATTTCGGAGCGGCAGTTTATTAATGCAACAAAAACTTTCCTCTTTAGTGTTTTTTTAGAATGATTTTTGTGCCAGTATTAACATTTCTGAACGGGCTTAAGTGGATGATTAATCTTTTTAGGTGTACGCAACCGATGCAGAAAAAGCGAGCAGTCTCTTTGCCGAGGTAATGCACAAGGTGTCCATCGACAGACGTCGAGCGCAAGTCATAAAGTCGACCACTGACGAAATGGAACGCCGCCTCAGATGCCTGCGCGATCTCAGCAGAGATTCTGTGGATTCGGGCGCTCAGGTTAGCTTCCTTTCAAACCTTGTGCAGCTTTGCAAAGCTGTGCGCATTTTTCTGGAACATCATAAGTGTCGGAGTTTAGGCACATTATCAGTGTATTCAAATTAACAGCATGGAGGTATGTTCAAAGGAAACGATTTCTTCTTGTTTGCTCTGCGTGAACATTTTAGATTCACAAATTCAAAAAGCAGTGTAGCAAGTTTATGCTACACTGATGCCTATATAACAAATCCAGATATAACGAAGTATCAATTATGACGAAGTAAAAGAAAAATAGTCTTGCAATTGATATAGTGTTAGAAATAAACCTTTATAACGGATTTTCGGATATAACAAACTTTGTTATAATGAAGTCTGAATTTCTTAGTACTCACCGTGGTGGTCTAGTGATTGTGGTGCTCAATCGTTCTCCCAAAGATTACTATGACGTCTTGGTTGCAGCAGTCTTATTTTGATGGTGGCGAAATGCTAGAGGTCTGCGTGGTTAGATTGTGTGCCATACAGGAAGTGGCGCACGATAATCTTCTTTTGCACTGTTTTTTTTTTTTCTAATAAATTTCTTTTCAAGTCTGTGCTCGTGATGTCAACTCTTTTTCGTCCGTCCTTGTTTTTTGTGAAATGATTGTACCTTGTCTTTTGCTTTCCGTATGCCTGCACCACCTTACAGTTTTCCTCAGTGCGATCACCCACGCTGATTACTTGTGTCACGGAAGTACGCGCCTCTTTCTTTCCTGCAAGTGTGTTAGCAGCGATTCCTCTGAGCCACTGCTCGAAGTGCCGAATCAAAAGCACTATCATTCAGTGCCAGCATGTCATACCAGGAGTTACTAAAAAAAAAAAAGAGTTTGTACTATGATGTTGATAAACGAGCAACATCGCGAGAGGGTGCGCACTTACGTGCATCCTCTTGCTTACTGTAACCAAGGCTACATGTTTACGTGTGACCTTCGTCCCTTCGTGTAACCTTCATGTTTGTAACCTATATGTTTAAGTTTGACATTGCCTATTGTGCTTATTTTTGTATGTTTGGGAATTACACAGGTGTTTATTCCGAGATATAATTTGTTAATTCTATAAGCCTTCTGTAGAATTCGTCGAGCTGTCACTTGTGAATAAACCATGTGTATGTAACAATACGAACAATTTTTTTGTCGCTTTATAATCATGCTGAAATAATTTAGACAATTTTTTAATGAAATCAATCTGCCTGAAAATAAAATTAATTGGAAATTAAAATTGATCCTGTGGGGGCACATTTCGTAAAAAAATATGACTCTCAAAGGGTTAAAATCGCATATGGTGAAAATTTCTGGAGCCCTTCTACAGTGTTTTCTCATTGTGCCACAGTTTGGGGACAACCCTATCAGTTATATGTTGTTTATATTACCGACATATAGTTCAATTCATAGCAATCGCTTTTTGAAACGATGACATTTGAGTGACTTGGCATGTACCACCCAATCTTATTTTCTGGTGAAGGCTGTTTCATCGATGAGATGTATGGATTTTTTTTTTTTTCGCACGAAATGTTTTATCGAGACTTATATAACTTTTAGTAAATTTTTAAAACATCTGTCAATATGCACAGCATGCATCGTAAAAAAGTGCAGCCAAGTGGAGCTCATAATATTTTATTTCCCTCAAATGACGATATCATGAGGCTTGACTTCGTTGCCTTTTACTTCATTTTTTGTTCTACATGTTTGTGCATTAGCAGAATGTCTTGTTTTACTTCAGTGTTCACTATTTTGCTATGTGTCCTCCTTTATATTCATTCAAGTGTGCAGTTACGTTTGTCCATGACAGTCGTAAACCTAATAATTCATCTGTAGAACGTTTACAGTAAAGTCTTCCATGAAGTTTTTCAATGTGAACATTACGGTGAAGGGGCATACTGGTTCTTTTTTTTCCCTGTTTCTCTCTCTCTCTAGGAGTCCAAGGATGAACAATCGTCAGATGCTCCTGCTACAACACATGTAGCAGAACTTCGGCAATCTGCACAGACAGCGAGTGACGGCAAAGAGGATCCGCCAATCGACGAAGTGGCGCGTCTCATGAGCGAGGAGCTGAAGGCAGCCGAAGAGGCGGCGAAAAAGTCTGTCGATGATCTCCGAAAGAACAAGGAGCTCATGGAGGAGCTCCGTAAGATCAAGACCAAGAAAACAAGTGAGTTCTCGTGGGTTTTGTGCGCTGTTATGGTAGACCGCTGTACCAAATGCTGGAGCCGCTGCAGCCTTGAAAAAGGTGATTCTGCTTGTCGAAACGTCTCCTCCAGTGTCAACCCGTGTTCCCAAATTTTTCATCTCTTCGGTGTTTTTCAGCGAGTGAAAGCAAAGGCATGTAGAGGTTGTGGATAATCATGTGTACGTCAATTTGTGCTATCCTTAGCGTTGTCCGAAGCGACTGTGACATATGAGACTTTGTTTTTCTGACCTCGCAACATCATTTTCAACTACATCTTAAGTTCACCGGTTTTACGACATCGTACTGTTATAACGGAATGTTGCCACTTTCATTGCTTAGTGCACTTGCACTAATGGGGGGAGTTTTGAGTGCAGGTACAAAAAAGGAAGACGACGACGATCCGGATTCGGACGACAGCGCAGAAGCGGACGCCATTGTAGCCAAGGTGAGTACTTGGCATGGAGAGGTTGCATTTCTATAGAAGCAAAAAGCTAGAGGCTCGTGTGCTGTAAAATTTCAGCGCCTGTTAAAGAACACTAGATGGTCAAAATTTCTGGAGCCCTCTACTACGGCATCTATGATAATCATGTTATAGTTTCAGAATATATCGGGGTTTTCAAACAGGGTGGCTCTGTTGTAGAATACTGGGCTACAAGAGGGCCCAGATTCAAGCCCAGTTCTATCATGTATGTTTTATCTTGTTTCATTTCCTTTTTTTTTTTCTCTTGTTTCGTTTCCTTTTCACTACTTCACACTACAGTGGATATGCACACCAGAGGCAGCGAACAACTACGATGACGAAAAGAGCTCTTGTTGCGATCCCATAACAGCTTTTGCTGTAAAAACATTGTTAATACAGTCGATCCCAGATATATCGAACTCGGATATATCGGAATTATTGACTATATCGAACAGTTGAGAACTCCACTTTAATTTTTATGCAACAGTATGGGACCATTGCACCCATATATCGAACTTCAGCTCAGCGGGACATCCCTTATATCGAACGATGCACTGCGCCAAAGCCCCCAAAGTGAATTTTTTTTCCCCATTCAATATTGTTAAATTTTCGACTGTGTTCAAACGAGTTTCGATCCCTGTTCGCGTGCCGGTGACAAAAAGGCGGTGTTATTCTATTGCGCTGATCTAGTTTTTTGCGCGGCGTTTACGAGTGCATCGGTAGGTTTGATGCGCGATCTGAAGGTCTTAACGTGCGAGCATAGTGTTTTTTTAAAAAAGACCGATTGCCGAGGACACCAAAATGAGAATGCGACGTGACTTGACAATCTAGTTGCTATGTTCGCATTCACTTTCTTGATTGTTGGCCTACAATGGTGTGCGAGCCTGAAAAGCATGGCCCTCGAAATGTGCAACCTCGTAATGTATTTTGTGTTTTCGGTTTTAAAACACGTCTCGGAGGCTATGCTTTTTTTAGGTTTTTGCATCAAAGCAGCTGAAAACAGCGGCTCTCAGCTACAAAGCCACAAGTGACACCAATATCGCTAACATGTCGATGGTGGGAATTCTGCGTTTTCTTTTGCCCCTCGTGTACTTCTCGCCCTGTTCCTGATAAATCCTCATTCGGGAGCTGAACTGAACATTGACCTGCACGTAGTGATACTATGACCGGTGCTTGGAGCGACGTCAAGTAAAGCACCGTCGTAAACTTGCCTTGCGAGCCAGTGACAACATCGGGTGCGTCATGATCGCTGAAAACTGTGTACGGTGCATCGGCGAATTCTGCGACTTAGCGTTTCCGGAAATTATCTTGGACCGTGAGTATTGAGCGACTTCATCTGCGCAGATGATAATGTAGCTTTTTTGGACCGCATCTATGCTGAAATCATGGCTGCCGGTGCTGCGGAAGTATACCCTTGCAATTACGAATGTGCCAACGCTTTCTCTGCCGCCGCTGACCAAGCCGTTGTCGCGCTTCAAAGGTTGTATCGGCATTGTGCGTCAAGTAACGCTGTTGTGGCCGAAGAATCTAAATTCGCCCATTTGAAAAGCTTCAAAGATATTGAGGATGACTGGAGTTTGACAGCGCGCAAAAAGCAAAACAAGTTTACGGACTATTTTTGTGCGAAATGAGGTGAGGTAATTTGCAGTTCACTTCTTGTTCTTCATTATTCTGCGATCGCAATCATGTTAGAGCGTGTAATGATTTCCGAGGCCCGAAATGCTTTAATTTAGGCCTTAAATATGCATATTTTGTTTATCGAATTCTCTATATATCGAACTATTTCGGGACACTCTTCCGAGTTCAATATATCCTAGATTGGCTTATACATACACACTAGTGTACCACCTGTGACGAATGTTTTTGATGATAGCAAGTGAGAACAATTTCTCATTATCTTCCAAAAAAGACACTCCAGAATTGCCCAGAACTAATGCTTGCGTGATACAGTTATCTTCTCATTTAGTAATGTGGAAGCCCTTTTTCACTTCCCAAGTCAGCTGGTGCCTGTGATTTGAAAGTATCGCACTTCTAGCACGTTCCAAGCAATGTCGTAATAGTTGTTGGTGATCCAAAAGCTGTTTTAACACACCAGTTGCGAGTGCAGCAATTACGCCGCTGTTTCCCGTCTTCCATTTGCGCGCTGTCTCCGTTGCCTCTGTGCACTGCTTCACACATAAAAATGAGCCATTTAAATCCATACATCGTTTTTTCGATTCCCTAACGAAAAAAAATACGAACATGGGGAGTTCCTTACGCCACGGCCACCAAATGGCCAATTCCTTCTCTACTTGGTTGCAGGTTCTTGAGGAAGCGAGACTCGAGGAACTCGGCGATTTGCAAGAGCTCGGCTTGGACGAAGGCGGCGAGGTTGGTAAGGCTGGCTTCAGTCCATTCACTTGATGAACAGCACTTCGTGCTCTGCAAAGCTGTTTCAAAAGTGGTGCCAGTGTGCTCGCCTAAAATACACGATTTACAGGACAATAATTTGGAGAGAAAGCAAAACACATTTAAATTAATTTATTTTAGACTGCGAACAATCTACTAGTACATTAATTTATAGAGAAAACTTCAAGGGGGCTCTGAAAAGAGCCTGGTAGCGGGTTGCTAGCACTATAGCTTCTTCATATAGAAAGTAGGTACACACTCCGGCACTTTCCTTAGCTCTCCCAACAGGCCGCACCTCCGCTATATCCTCTCCCAAACGACCGCCGTGCGAGCGCTAATTATTGTGATAACTGGTGCCCGGGCATGTTCCTGCTGGGTGGTACCACCAGCAAAAAAAAAAATGAAAAAAAAAAACTTAAAAAAAAAATGGCTTGCATGGTGTTTCCGGGGCAACGGCTCAACGGCTGCTCCGGAAAGCGCAGAGACAAGAGGGGTGGAAAGGAGGGTGCGTGGCGCAGCAGCTCAATTAAAAGAAAGATGGTACTTTCCTAAAATTATCCCATGACTTCAGCTAGCATTGATTAGTGTTGCTCACTGACGCCTAGTATAGGCTAGTGGAAACACATAGCAGGGGCAGCCAATGCTTCACGCACGTCACAATTCTACAGATGGAAATTGTCTGCCATTTTTTAGCACTTAGTATCTACTTCACCATGCGCAAGCAGCCAAAATTTAATTAAATGTGGTATGTTACATCATAGTACCTTCGTTTATGCATTCAAACCTCGATATAACGGAATGCCAATTAAAATAAAGTACACTCAAACCTCGTTATAATAATACCGAATACAATGCAATATCAGTTATAACAAAATTAATGAAAAATAGTATTGCAGTAGGTATATTGTTAAAAATGGACCGTTATAACAAATTGTTCGATATAACGAACTTATTTTCATGTAAGATGCAAGTTTGTTATAATGAGGTTTGAGTGTAAATGAAAAATAGTCCTGCAATAGATATAGTGATAGGAATAAATCTGTATTATGAACTTTCAGATATAACAAACTTACTTTTGTCAAGATGCAGCTTTGTTACCATGAGGTTTGAGTGTGTTCAGTCGCAAAGGTCATCTTTATTCATGATGGGATTAATTCCCGGTCATGGTGGCTGCATTTTCGATGGAGGCCACAATGCTAGGGAATGCACGTTCGAGAACTCCAAGGGGTTGAAATTTTTGGAGACCTCCACCACGGCGTCCCTCATAATCCTATTGTGTTTTAGAAACGTTATATCCCAGCAAATATTATTTGTTTTTCCCCATTTTAACAGAGCATAAAGCACATATAGCTATCATCTGTTGCCCTTATTTTGGCTGGACTGTTTGTTTCTCAACGAGCGTTTTTCTCTATTGTTTTTAAGATGTGCAAATGTTGTACTTGGTAGCCTCTAACCAATTCCACCATGTCACCCACAAACTGAACTACTGCCCAAGAAAAATGTGAAAACATTCTCAACAGATTTTCTTATATGGTGGCAAAGCCTACTTGTATTACCATGAAGAAGTGCCGTAAAGCCACCTTGCACAAAAAAATGAGCTTGCATCGCATCTGAACATTAGCAGTCATCTCCCTGTACATTCTGTGGGAAAACCCGACATTGTATAGTTTAATATTGGTGGGGAGTTTTTTAGCGTGTTTCGGTAACAGTGGCTCGGGGATGCTGGGTCTTTTTGTAATAAAGTCTGTGAACAATCTATGCAAAACGATTTTGTTTCTGGTTCCTAAAGGAAGTTGAGGAGCTTCCGTGGTGCGTTATCTGTAACGAAGATGCTGTCCTGCGCTGCCACGGATGTTCTAATGACCTCTACTGCCGCCGCTGCTTCAAGTAAGTCGTGGGACCACGAAGTTACTTGGCCTTCATGTTTCTCGCGGTCAGGTTTACACGGCGTAGTGGAAAGCAAGCCGATAAATATGGCAAGCAAACAATGATTGGGTACTGACCACAGGTCGGCGAGCTCGCTCGTGAGTCGAGTCACTCGGACCTACTCAGGCTCAGGTCGAGCCACGAGTCCGAGTGAGTCCGGTTCAGGAAAATTTTCGCGAGTGTTAGTCCGAGCGAGTCCAAAGCTCGAAATGTATTTTATGAGTGAGTACGAGCGAGCTCCGCAAGTTTTGTTGACCTGTGGTACTGACAACATTTTTCAGGGGTGTGTTTACTCTTCCGTACAAATCTTCTATATGCAGAGATGGCTCTGAGCAAGCGCGAGTCTCCGGCAATGCCGGTAAGGTATTTCATCCTGATACAAAGGTCGATTCTCTCGTGGTGCCCCTACTGACATCGACACAGGATTCACGTCGGGCACGCTACAAGTACTGTCGACTTCACTGCGCAGTCTGGCTTGTCGTGATGATGTCACGCACTAAAGCTTCCAAAACGGCCCTTTCTGCGTTAGAATGAAGCCACGGTAGCCACCTTAAAGAGTGATCGTGAAATTGCATACCGTGTTGTCAAGTCAGAGTACGGTTAGAACTGAAACTAACTTACAAAAACACACTGTTTTAGGGGGCATTCACGCTTAGAAGTACACAAAAAAAAAAGTACAGCTGAAAAGTTTTGTCAGTACCACTTTAATATTGAAGAAAGTGTTTTATCATAAGCAAAATGGAAAGTCGAAAGCAGAGTTCAGTCGTGTTGTACTGTATCTACTCTAACATGTGTGCATAACTCATCAGGCACATTGGGTATGAGAACATTGTTGTCTGCTTTACAGAGATGTCCTTGAGATCACTGTGTACAGTCCTAAGCAATGTGGAAAGGAACCCTGAAATTGCTTTTGAGAGGGCGTAGTGGTACGCTTACATTTGTGTATGCAGAAATTATGCAAAGCATTGGGAAGTGCTTGGTAATGGCAATGTGTTTTTTGTTTGTTTGTTTGGGGGGGGGGGCGCTTTTGGAGTATGTCTATATAGATTTGTGATTACTTTGTTTGCATTAAGGTGCATTAAACACCACTGCTTGTTGATTATGATTTTTTTTGTGTACATTATGTTGCTTGTGTCTCTTCATAGCAAAGCTTCATCCGTTAGGCCATGTTAAATTTTTTTTTTCATAAATAAAAAACGATTCATTCAACACAAGGTTACCAAGGACAAAAGAGTTTGTAACACTATTAGGTTAGGTGGAAAGCACCTCATGCAAATTCATGTGTCAGGTGCATGTTTACACATTACCAGTATCGTTGCTTAAAGGGACACTAAAGGCAAATATTAGGTCAATGTTGACTGCTGAAATAGCAGTCCAGAAACTTCGTAGTGCTACTTTTGTGCCAAGGAAGTACCGTAAAAGCCCACATATAGCTTGGACCCATATATAGTCTGGGGTTTAATTAGGAGATAGCAAATGCAAGAGAACAAGTTTTAACCCGAATATAGCTCGAGTAAAATGAAAAATGCATTTATTGACGCATTCGTCGTCGTTGTCGGACGTGCTCTCTTTTGAAGCTCTCTCGTCGGAAATGTTCTTTCACCAGCACATCATCCTCAGTGCCATGAAGTGCGTTCGATATGGAGCACTTTTTGGACGCGTGGCAAACGAGCGCCTCGTGAATGCAGGCCCAAGCTTCAACTATCCACGAGCACAGCATCGCTGGTGAGGCCCATTTCGGCTGTCCGGCAGAGGTCACTTCTGGTTCTTTGGACCTCATCCACTCCGCATACGAGCACTTGATGTAGTCCCTAAATGGCTTATTACGGCAGTCATCAAGCGGCTACCGCTGTGATGTCATCCCTTCCAAAATGACGACGAGCTCGGTGCGGTAGTTGCGCAGCAATCTTTTTACGCAGTCGGTTAGGTGACACCAAAACCTGTCGAGCGCATGCATCGAAGGGAGCCCCAGCAGTGCTGCTCCGGGCCATCGACCTCACACGGACTTTATCCAGTCAGGCACTAGCGATTCGTCCATCCACTCCTTGTCCTGGTTTTCGATGACGGCATTTTTTTTGGAACTGCTCTCCCTTCGACAGTCTTTCGTTTGAACACCACATAGGGTGGTAGCTTGCGACAGTCTGCAGTGCAGGACAAGATTGCAGTCCCCTGCATTTTTTTTTTCCAGTCGATCGCTCGATAACTTGGCTGGAACTTTTCTGGTGCACCATCACTAATGAGGGCATATCCAGGCAGACAGGTGTTTGATCCCCGTTGCTGATCTAGCCCAGCTGAAAAAGGACAGCCTTTCACAATGCAATTGCATACTCTTGTGTTTGATGGACGTACGCGGACATAGGGAGAACCCAGCGCAGCGCATGAAGAGAGAGACCCAATGCTTGATCACTTTGAAATCCTCCGGCTGAATACCTTTGTCTCGGGCGATCTCCCTTGCCTTTGCTTGTAGCAACTCGATGTGCAGCTCGCTGCTTCCGCACAAAGCCTGAGAGTTCTCGTTCCACGTCAGGAAACACTCCATTTCTTGGCCTGCGAAAACTTTTTCGCTGGCCGATGCAACCAAAGAGTTTTGCTTCCGCAAACCTCGAATACTTCACTCGTTGACTCCGAACTAACACTCCGCAGCACAGTTGCCAATGGTTTTGGCAGCACCAATAACTTTCCTTCTAAAAGCAACCGAGTACTCTTTGCACGGTGCTGGCATGGTGTAAAATCACAAGAGCAAAATCGTGGCTGTCGTTATGGGCGCCAAGTTAAAACAAAGGCAACTGACCACTGTTACACGCATAGGTCTGTAATACTAACCCATGCTACTGCCGCTAACATTACCTAGCACAGAAGTGTGCAAACAGCTGATGATAATGATAGCCCTGCGCTATGCTGCAACCAAAACTGAACTTCAGGGGAAAATTTTCGCATTAAGTACGGGGCCCAAATTTTCTACCCTAAAATCTAGAAGAAAAAAACAACCTGGGCTATACGTGTGCTTTTACGGTACTTATTTTGAAATAAAATCATGTTTTAGTGGTCCGCATCGCATTTGCACACTTCAAATTGCCCACTTCAAGTGGAACTTTTCATGTCACTGTTGCCATGCACAATGTTGCTCAGCTTTACTGCGCGGCCACCAACACTAGTAGCAGCAGAACGAAAGTAGTGGGAGCCACAGCAGCAACATGGTCTATCGAACAATTTCCTGCTATGGTCTACGAGATGGGAGGCGTGCTTGGTTCAACTGCGCACCGCTAGATGGCACAACATATTCAGTTAAAACAGGTAAAACTAGAACTTTTGAATCACTTGTGCCATTCCCCATAGTAACATTTGGCGGTTCTTTTTTTCATGAATGAATGAAAAAAACAAGCAGCATTTTATTAAGTCTCTTACTGCACGGAAGGGTCTGTATTTAGTGGAGCTAGTTTGATTACTAGTGGTGCATTGTAGGCGGTAAGTCTGACACCATTTGGGATCATTTTGTGAATGTCCTGCTCGTGGCGCATGTGTTCTAGTGCATTTACTTGATTGCCCGCCAAGTAGGGAACTGCTGTTGATAATATTGTTATTTGACTTTAGTGCCCTTTAAGCGCACACTTAATGTTCCCTTTCATATCGCTCGTGACTGTACACCAAGCTTATTGTTTTGGCAGCATAAAAAAATCTACATTGGAGCAATTTTAAGCCGACTGAAGCGATTTCTCTCTTGTTTAATTAATCGTCCAACAATCGGATCATTTAGTGATTTCTGTTCTGTCTATTTGGTGCAGCTAGTTTCAAGTACTCCACTCAACTTTGAAAAAAAAATTTTTTTTATCTTTTCCTTTCCAGGGAATTCCACGACTCTGAGCCGCATGAAACAACGCTGCTAAAAAAGTAGCACTTGACTCTCCGCTAGTGCCACTAAGTATTTAAGTGAAAAGAGCTTCGGATATGCCGCCAGAAATTTATTTTCTACGGCCAAGTCACCATTGTTAAGTTGGCATGTCGTGTCCTGGCACAACTGAAATCCATAAGTGCACGCTGTACAAGAGCTTTTACCATTTCTTTGCTTGTTGTCTGTTGCAAAAAAAAAAAAAAGAACGAAGCGTTCAATGACCAAGGTGTATCTGTCTGTAAAAAAGAAGTGCTTTGACATTCTATCAAATAAACAACGCTGTCTGTCAAGTGAACATCCTGCTGTCGATCCAGCCGGCCAAGTATGTATTGTATCAAGTGATCGAAGAACCGAGGACACACCAGTGCAAGGCTAAAAAGTTATACAGTAGACTCACATGAAACGAAACCTGAAGGGACTGGGAAAATATGTTCAATCAAACAGGAGCTCCGTTTATTTGTCCTTCCAGGTAATTGGAAACTTCGAACACAATGTGAAAGTCGAGACGAATCATTTGATTACGTATTACATATTTGATTCGAATTCGAAAGGAATACTCGCACACCTCTACAGGTATTAGACTCCCAGTAAACTGAAATCTGTTAAACAGAACTGCTGCCTAAATAGAACAACTGCCTCCGATATGATTGGTTTCGTACTTAATAGTTCTGTCCGACGGATTTTCATTTACTGATAGTCTACTGCATGCAGAGGTGTGCGAATTTGAATCAAGTAATACCTAATCGAATAACTTGTTCCGACTTTTGAATTGTGTTCAAAGTTTTGAGTTTTTGACAGGACCAGAATCGAAAACAAGAGAAAGGCCTACATTGAACCCTGGTTAGGGATGAATGGCTTAAACTAACCCTGTCATTACAGCACGCCATTCGTTCAAACTTTCACTGGTGTCCTGGTTCAATAGCGAATGAATGTTTCTTTCAATTAAACTATTCAAAATTTCATTGAAGATGAAGTTTTACTGTACGCACGCCCCTATTAAAAGTACGAAGAACTTGGCACTGTACATCATATAGGTATTGCTAGAATTGCTTGGCGAAACCTTCTCATCCCTGCAACTAAAGGCTCCATTTGAGCGTGTTTTCGACTGCGGCAATCACTGTAATGTCACGGACGAAGCGCCGGAATATACCTCGTGTGAAAAAGCTTCCGTTTCTGCACGACACTTCGCAGTCTTTCGGTCGCAGTGATACACACCGGGTTATGTGGTAAAGGACGTAACCAGTGCCGCGCCTGAATGCACATAATGGCACATACTAGAAGTATCGTACGGATTGCCACATTGCAGGTCGTGCTTACAGGCCTGAAAAAACGACTGTCAAATCAAATACCTCGTACATGTCTCGTGAAAAAAGTGTCTTTTTTTTTTTTTTTTTCAAAAAGAAGGGCCATGTAATGGGTACTCCCAAGGGCTCAGATGTACCCATTACGCGCTATGTAGCTCAAGCGTCCCCCCCGAGCGACATGAGCTTCGCCATGCTGCAGCATTTCACCACCGCCAAGTGCGCTCGGTAACCCAAAGAATACCAACCGGGCGAGGGGTGTACCACCTAAGGATGAGCCACGTCTGAGTACATCCCTCTGCCTTTAAATCCGGTAGCTTTGGCCGGCACCGGTACGGATTTGAACCCGGTAATCTCCCACATTGGAAGCAGATGCTCATACCATTATGCTACCTCTGTTGGAATTTCGTGACCAATACACATTCCATGTCATCAATTGCGACCAAACCTCCGAAGTAAATTGTGAGAACATTGGAAGCTTTCGACATGCTCTATAAGACTCGCACTTTTGTCTGGAAATGGTCCTAACGAAATTTTGAATGTGCAGAACATCTGCTACCTCAGAAAAGCGTGGAATTTCCAAGGCGTAGCCTTGGGATTTTTTCTCAAAATGATGCCGAAATCGGATTATTCAAAACGCGACAAAACATCAAAAAAATGGGAAAATCGAAGCTTTCTGAAGACTATAAAGTCGCCAATTAGTCTCGAAATGGCCCTAAAACGGAATTATCGGCATTCAACGCAACCTCGAAAAATTGGGAATTTCCAAAAGCTATAGTCTTGCGATCTTTTCTCAAAATGATGCCGAAATTCAATTATTCAACAAGCTTTGCAATCATTCATACAAGCTTTGCAATCCACAAATTATCGCGAAGCGCTCCTTACGGACCCGGACACGCAGTTATTATTTGCCCAATATGAAATTCAGAGCGGCCTAATCAGAGTGGTTTTGGGGGTCCGACAAACTACACTACTGACCATATACCGCCTCAATACTAGTGATGGTGAATACAATAAGTGTAAAACCCGTGACATCGTGAACTAGTAGTGTAGTTAGAAAGTCCTGCTTATCTCCACAGAGGCCCTGTGCCTCCTTTTTTTTTCTTTTTCAATAAATGACTTCCCATCCATTCGTCTCCTTCATTGCTATACAAAAAAATGCCGACATATCCACGAAGTGAATGATGATGAGTGGGCGAAGCTCCGGAGGTAAACCTGGTAAACCATGAATCCTCCGTACATTTTGCCCACTCAATCATCATTGACTTCGTGGATATGGCGGCACATTTTTAATGATCATCGAGCGTTGGTGTTCGAATTAAAAACTCCGGAAGGATTCATCGGTAAACCGTGAATCTTCCGTGTAATTCGCCCGGTCGATCATAGTGTAAACACGTTAGAAACACTGTATGTGTATATACACAAATCAACTTTTGTTTGTTTTTAGACGATGAATGACTTACGATGTCCCTTCATTATGACGGCTTTATGGTCTGCGAAATGAAGGGAGGGCGGTTCCTGCATAGGTTGCAGTGGACATTTTGTAAATACTAGGTCTATGCATGTTCCTAGGATCGTGGTAGGTTTCATATGGCCAAATGATATACATCTGAGTGCATATGTAGAAGCCATATGTAGGATAAGCCTATGATATCCACGTTGAAGCCTCCAAGCAGTACAAATGGGCCATTCTTGTATTCTATTTTATAACATCTCGCATCTTTCATCAACTACAATTACCGCCATCTAGTTTATAACATCTTGCAACTTTTCATCAGCTACAAGTACCGCCATCTAGTGAACGCTCTAAGAACTAAACGAGAGGTGGCTACATACAGGGGACGCACAACCCACGCCTTAAGGAGTTTCGCCCCTAAAACAAATTTTGCCAACATTTCTTTGAGGATGCGATTTTTGAACTGGACGTCTGTTTTATGACTGAGTAGTATGCATTCCATCTACTGAAGCTGGAGAAGTACTCGGTACACTTACGCCACATTCGAGAAATCAGCGTACACGCACAGAATTGTCGCCGCTCCAAAGCGAATATAGATGTTATTCACTGAGAACACGCTATGGGCACATGGAACGCTTTGTATGACACTTCTCGGATTGACAGCCTATATATTTTTTTTGTTCAGACGTTAGTGCTTTAGAAAATACTCTTCTATGTTTTGGCTTTCGTTTTGGCCTTCGTGTACAGTTACATGATGATTCTCGAGGAATTCGCGCCCCGCCGTGGTGGTCTAGTGGCTAAGGTACTCGGCTGCTGACCCGCAGGTCGTTGGATCGAATCCCGGCTGCATTTCCGATGGAGGCGGAAATGTTGTAGGCTCGTGTGCTCAGATTTGGGCGCACGTTAAAAAACTCCCGGTGGTCTAAATTTCCGGAGCCCTCCACAACGGCGTCTCTCATAATCATTAGGTGGTTTTGGCACGTTAAACCCCACATACCATCGAGGAATTCGAGAGGCTGAAGCTTATGTTGCTGATGCGGTTGGTTGCAACAGCATATTACTAGTGTGTTGTTTCATGTTAGGCCCTCTGTTATAACGTCGATGCTGCTTAGCATCGAAATAGCCTAAATTTAGACTGAGATCAGCAAAGTGGTAATTACCAGGCTACACAGGAAGAAAGAAATATATGTGTTTTATTGAACTCGGGAAAATTAGGTGCACATACAGGACACCCCAGCTAATTTTGGCCGGTGTTTAAAAATATGCCGACGTACCTTCGGTGACTAAGTATATTTTCTCCACCATTGCATAGAGTATGTCACACTATCTATTTATGTATTTTGCTTAATTAAGTAAAGTTGTAAAGTTATCTAAAAAGGAAGCTGGGCAAAAAGTTTCAATTAGAAAGTTGCAGGCCGCTCTGCAAAACGTCCGATTGGACAGTTTATAACTTTCCATTTACGCCACTGCGTCCTACTCATGAGGGCGAAGCTCAAGTTTTCCCCGAGTTCTTGTGCGGCGCTCAAAAGTAGAACAAAGTACAAGACATACAGCAAGAACGGACACTGTCCATTGAGATGGAATAACATATCGCTGAGCAAGTTCCTGTTAGTAAACTGGGCCTGTGTACTGCAGTTTAGGCACCTCTATAGAACATTTCGAGCCCGACTATCATTGATTGATTGATTGATTGATTGATTGATATGTGGGATTTAACGTCGTAAAACCACCATATGATTATGAGAGACGACGTAGTGCAGGGCTCCGGAAATTTACACCACCTGGGATTCTTTAACGTGCACCCAAATTTAAGCACACGGGCCTACAGCATTTCTGCCTCCGTCGGAAAGCCCGTTTATCATGCGCCATAATTCTGTTTTGTTTGTGCACATCTTCGATTTTTTTGTCTTCGCAGTACGGTGGGCGCTGATGCCGATAAGACGGCGACGAGCGATATCGGGATGCAGTGGCGCGATCAGCTTTGGCTGCAACAACGCATGCGCGAATATGCCCAAACATTGCCTTCAGATACATGCGGTTGGCTCATCTCCAGTTTTCATTCGCTGCTCGTCATGCTGCGCAGTTTACAGACGGCAGTTTTTCGGTACCGTGAAATGGCGTCTGCTACAATGTTCAGGCGTGGGGCACGCGGTAGTAGAAGTTATGTTTCACCACTTTTTTTTTTTGTACGTGTGGACTCTACTTGGACGTATGAAACTACGCGCAAGAAACTCATGTCAGCCGGAATTAATCGAGGACCACTGCGAGCTGTGTCTTCGGCATCGAATCGGTAAGCCCCTTAATGTGACAAGCCAGTGGGGTGGGGGGGGGGGGGGGGGGGTTATGTGGTACAACATACATCTCTCGCTATATCTTGACCTTAGTTCAAGGAAAATTTACGCCTAGGTTGCGTGTAATTTTAGCGGTCGGGTTCCTTGAACATGTCGCTATACTTTAGGTCTATATTCCGGGGGACACGGGCGGGTAGGCTCAGCTTGCAGTTAGTTATAGGCAAGTAAACCAGGCAGTTTTTTGTGT